CTAATCGAATCCCAATAAGGAGCTCAAAAACACCCGCGAATTCCACAGACCATGCGTGAATGCGCAAACAAACAGATTGCCGCTCATCACGTAAGTATACGCCCAGGCCCAGCCGAGGACCGAGAGCGGCAGCATACCGCCGAGGTTCAGGTGGTGCGCAGCAAATAGCACGCTGCTCACTGGTATAGCCAGCCATACTGGCATGAAACAGGCGATTGCTGGAAGCAAGTAACCTCTGTAGAGAACTTCCTCGAAAACCGGTGCTGTTATACATGGGCCAATAGATCCAATTGCCATCGCGATACCGTCTTGGTTCTCGGGGTGAATCAATTTGCTGACGACGCTCTCTTCGTTGAGAATGTTCTGTGGAACGATAAACTGGTTCACAAAGTCAGCGATATTGAAGAGCAGGCTGCTAACATAGTAGACGCCAATTGCCCACCAGCACCAGTTCGAGTGCACCCGTGCTCTCATCCATTTTCCACGAGGAGGAAAGAAAGGCTTCAGGTTATTGCCGAGAATCTTGACGCCCATGAATACCCACATCAGGTGCCCTAGCAGCACTTTCAACGCACGCAATGTCGGCACCGTCAATGGTAATCCTATTACGCTCAAAAACAATAATACCTGCTCACATACAACGGCACCGTATCCAGAGAGCAGGTAGGCACCGAGCAGCATCAGCGTTGTCATGCCGATCTTGGACCGGGCGGTCTTGGGGAGCTCCCACGGGAGGCCGCGGCTCGGCATTGGACGGATCAGTGGCGGCAAAACGGTGTATCGCTGAGGGTTTCGCTTTCGGGCCATCCAACGGAACCAGAGGATGACGAGGATCAAAACAAGACCCGCTATGGAGTCGTATCCGACTGTGACCGGTTCCTTGCCGGAGGCAATTGCCTCCAGCGCCTCTGCAGCTGCCTTGGCGTTCGGTTTATCCAGAGGATCCGCGAACGACGCCGTATGTGGAGCAGCAAGCACAATCTTCCGCAGCAGCGGCTGGAACGCTCCCGGAGGTGCCCACGAGTGACGCGACAACACGAGCAGGTGAAAAGCGTAAAACGCCAGAACGACAACAACTTGTACCAACGCAGGCATCCGATACACAAAGGCTGGTAGCCACGCTGGCGCCCAGTCCGGTCGCTCCGTCGAATAGTCCGGTTGCCAGATGGAATTTGAGGCCGAACTCGGCTTTGCTGGTGTTACGCTGCCTGATGCGGCGTGAGCAGGCGACGTGCGCGCTACCTCTGCACCCTTCCGCAGCGACTGGGCAGAGTCCTCGTACGCACTTTCAGAGCTCGACGAGCACCAGAGAAGACGCCGTGCAGCTCCTCTTTTGACTGGCAGCACTCCATAGCACCGTCGCTTGTGACGCAGTGTTCCTCGGTTGCAGAGCGTGCTGCGGTGGTCTGTGGGGAGCGCTCTCCTGGCGCACCGAAGTGCTACTGCCTCATTCACTCCCTGCTGCCAGTTGGGGCAAAAAGAGAAACCGATCCTTCCTTGCATCATCGCTGTTGCAGCGAGTTCCCCGACACCAGAGAGCTCCTAAAGCAGACACGAACGCTACAGAGGCAGAAACGCTTCCCTTTAAGCCTCGGTTGCCGTCTTGCAGCAGTCGGCGAGGCGCTGTCACCAGGTGCTGGGGTGGTGTGGGTGCAGCGGGCATCAGCCAGGCGGCTGCCGCAAAACGCACGATCGCCTTGGATAGGATGTTTAGGGAGAAATATGGATAATATAGTTCATCGATGCCACGATTCGTTTCAGGTGCAACTGGTATCTTCTGAACTCCTCGATATGGTTATGCCCGTCGGAATTTCTCTACACTCGGTTTAGATGCATGGCGTCAACATCCAAAGTGCGACAATAAGGTTTTACAGCTTGATCCATCATGTAAGATGTCCGGTCGTGTTTGCGGGGCGGCTCCTTCAATACTTTGGAGCTGGAATTCGATACGTCATCGGAATCAAGTTGATTCGCAACGATATTGAACAAGGGCTCGTCAAGTAACCAATTACATGTTCGGAATCAGACGCACAATCCTGGATTCTTGTCAGTTTCTTTTACGTATAGCGTGCTCGAATCGCGCATGCTCCGAGTTTTGTGTCTTGCTGTTTCATGGAAACGCACGGGTGCAGCGATACGCGCTGCATGGATGACGACGACAAATACTCAGAATCGTTTCTTGGCATCTTCTTTGAAAGCTCGTACCGAAATTTCACATAACTTGTCACGCCAAGTAATCTATTCCTTTCGAAAGACATATATTCCTCTTTTTGCGGTTATCGACGCAGCAGCATTGAACCGCTCATGGGATACGCTCCGAGAGGCTCCCATGGCTCCTGTTTACGTTGAAAAAGGGTCTCGGACCCGGACCCCAGTCATCTTAGCGATGGCTTGTAGCAACGAGTGTGTCATCGCTGTGCACGAAGGGAGTGTAAACGGATCGGAACTTTTCAACTCCTTCGCTGGTCTGAGTACAGCGTGCGGTACGTGTTCCCTCCTGAACAACATCGCATTCCATGAATATTCTATCGAATGGAGGGGCATTCGCTTGTACATGCAGCGGATAGTACACTCGGGGGGTGAATTGCCCAGAAGAAGCCCTAAATCCTAGAGTATGGCACTGGGAACGGAAGCGGAATTTGGCATCGACGGGATTTTGATTAGCCCTCTAGAACATTTCCCGAGCGGTGAAGCAAGCGTTCATGCATCGCAGGGTAGTCCTCGGAAGACGAGGAGGTTCGTTGGATAGATGAGAAAACCTCACCGTCATCAAGTGTCGCCGCTGCGAAGTGCGCACCAATGCTACGTAAAAAGAAGAAGAAAATGGTCTGCAAAACGTCGTCCATGACACGCATCCGTGCATCAAAGACAGAAGCGACAGCCGGAAGCACCGTCATTGAGACTGGAACGTTGCGACGATCATCATCATCATCATTCTTCGACCGCTGAACATGAAACCTGAGACAAAAGAGAGACACATGCATTGAAAGCCGGTGTTACGAGTGCGAGCCATAGGAATCCTTCTCAGAAAATCCCACAAAAACTGTTGTTCATCACAATAGAGAGAGTCACAAATTTTAGGACCAGCATACCATTTCGTAAACTGAACCCTTTCGATTTCATGCGAACACAACTATGGTAAAAGTATAGGCATAAGTGCAGGCGCTTGCGTACGACAAGCGGCGCTATGCACGCGTGACGGGTAAGGCTTTCAACTGTATGGGCTCCAGGTTGTAGCGCGTTGCGAAGTTTCGAAGGGTAACCAGTCTTTCTGCTGCTTCTTGGCTGCTTGCCTGGGTCCCTGAACCTATGCAACTGGTGAAGCAAAAGCAGTGACTGCGCTTTCATACGAAGGAACGAGACGTGCTCTCCTGATCTCGCCGTTGCACAAGTTACGAATCAGCAGGTGCGTGCTCCTTGGCGATTCGGTCGTCGTCTTTCACCGGGAACGGCAGCGTAGCGTTTTCAGAGACAAAGGCAAGCAAACGGATGCAGCAGTTGCCGTTCGGTACTGTGGAAACCTTCGTGGGAGCTGCTGCGTGTCGGGATGAACGCGCTCACCGCTTTGGATTCAGCATTGAACGAGTTTGAGCAGCTAGCAAGTGAGTGGTGCACCCTAGTGAGACTCTTAGAGGCGGCTGAACTTGCGCGTGTCCGCGTAGAGCGTGGTGAGTGGGCGCCCTGGTGGAATGCCCGCCGTATCGTCCTTACCCGGCTGGCTCGGCGCTGGAGTCGGCACTTGGCTTCCAAAAGCACTGCAGCGTGCGTTACTAGCCTCCGTTCGCTTCAGCAGAGCGTCGTTCCGAGTAGCCGACCCGCTGTGACTGCAACAAGCACCAACGAAGGTTTGATCGCAACGCTCAGGCAGAAAGCACGAGAACCGCTGTCACCCCTCTCTGCACCGCTGCTCGGTGATACTGTCGAAGAACTGCCCCTGATGGAAGCGGACTTGGACTTGGATTTCACCTCGGCAGAAGTCTCGGGGCTCTGTTTAGACTTACAAGAAGTCTATCGATCGTACCTTTCGCTTCTTCCGCCATTGATAGCGAGCCAGTTACCGTATCTTCGTTTTCTTGAGATCCTCGAGGCGCTGCCTCGTTCCAATGAACTGCGTGCACTGGTTGTGTTTCGAAGACTCGATGGCAGGTGTCTCCCGCCAGAGTGTTTAGATGCCTCTGCGCTCGAAGCTGCATGTCAAAAATTGTCCCCGGGTTGCCGCAATGCGTATGCCGGGTGGCTCCTTGACGTCCTCCGCTATTTGGTCGAGTTTGCGAGGCGCGCCATGCCATGGCTCTCCCCAGCACACTGGGACAGGATGCGGAGCACTGGGCGAAAAATACCTTCGATTGTCCGGACCAAGCGAGAAGCAGAGGCGCTGAATACACCGCGACCTACAAAAGCGATACTCCGGATCGCAAGTGCAAGTGCAGACCAGCGACCCGATCACGATAGCATGCCCTCATCGAAGCACTCCACACATGTGGATACCGTGAACACTCCTGTCGACGTTTGGCTCGGTCAAGAGCTCGATCAGAGCGTTGCCCCCAACCTGGCCGATATCGAGACGCTTGAGCAACATCTCGCATCGCTTGTTACAGATGATGAGTGCGGCATTTTCAGGGCCAGTTTATTGCGAACGATTCGACACGTTGAGCGCCAGCAAGTCCAAACACTGACAGAATGGATGTTTACGAATCGTGTGGAGCAGGTGACACGCGAAGACCTCGCAACGGAGCGTAGCGGGCAATGGTTCCTCCGAGCTGGACCACCAGACGCAGATGCATCGAACACAACGGGAATCAAGATCAACAAGTCCACAGCTGTGACTTCCAAGGAGGAAACCGAGAATTTCCCGGGCTGGTTACGACGTGCTTTTGCGCTTCATCAGGTTTATCGTTGCGAGATCTGCGATCCTGTCCAGACATATTATGGACCGCTGGCTTATGAGCGTCACTTTCGATCGGCTGTGCATGTGCGCGGTCTCCATCGTTTGGGCGTTTACTATACCGCAGACTGGGATTATATTGATACTGTGGCTGATGCGCTGCGACTCAAAGCACATCTCGCGAAGCTGAATGATTCGGGTCAGGTGGGCATCGTCGCTGTCGAGCGGGAAGCGGATGGCGCGCCCATGGAGGCTAGCACTGGATCCAGTCGTACGTAAGCACGTGATGATACCGCTTCTGTCCAGCGCTCGTATCGATATGCTGCGAAAACGATTTTGGAATATGACCGCTCGTGTCGGGCTGATGACGCCTTGTTTTCGCAGCGCCAAGTCAACAGAGCGCTGGTATCGGATGCTGGCCTTGGGAATCGTCGTCATCGGGCTGGCAACTGCAGTGCAGGACCCTTTGGCAATCGTTTACGAACGCAAGCAGGCGGCGTCGTGGAACTGCAAAAGGCGAAAAAGACTCACTGTGTACGGAATAATATTTGGCGCGCGGAAACCTCAACTAGCCAATAGAGTCCGGCATTACAACTGGTCAGGTGCACCACTCTCGTCAATGGCTCTGCTTTGCCCTGGCTCCAGCATACCGGAAAAGCGACTTGGTTGCCATGGAAGCTTGAGCTTCACCAGACGCTTACCGCGATGCGTAACAAGAGCAACATACGACGCTGCCAATGGATGCATCGATACGAGTGCGCTTACGCATTTGCGTCCGTTTCTACGCGACTGAATGTTTTCGCTCTAAACAGTAAACCTCGACTGCAGCACATTGGCGATTCCATGTCGATTCGGAGGCACCGACAACAAACAGTAGACCTGCGCTGATTCAACCAGGGAACAAACTCGTACTGTGTTTCACCGGATGCGACGCGACATCTAATCGCACGCAGATTGGCAGGCCTTCCATAACAATACCTTGGCGTCAGCAGTGATAGCATCTCTGGTTGATAGTGGCAGAATGAGGCAGGCTCTCTCGCCCACAAACGACTATCTCCGCGTGAAAGCTCTGGAGGGAATCATCGTCCAGTTTTCACCTAAATGCGACGACACGGGAGCTAATTCCATCCACCCGGTATCCATTGGCTGCGAATCCAAGTCTGTGAGCGCTTCTCTCAAATGAAGCTGCGATGATGCCCCAGGTCATTGTGAAGGCACCAATAACCATGGATAGCTCGGCAATGGACCGCTCTCGCAATGTGGCGCGCGCTTCGTACATGCGGATGCTGCGGGATTCTCGCGGTCGTATCCGAACCGATTATGCATCATTCTTGTTCGTAGCATACGCTGCAAAACCTGACCGCAGGCCGTGGTGAGCAAGCTCCTGCTTCCGCAGCAGCATCTTGCTCCAGCTGATGGTATCCGGAGTGCGCCCTCGAACGAGCAGTAACGTCTCTACGGCTTGCAACATACGCAGAAGCACGCTCCGCTGCGTCGACGGGAGCACATCCTCTGCTTGACTCCGCAGACGATGCTCGAGTCCCGCGAGACGCTTACCGCACTCCTCGGCGAAACCAAGTGGCAACGTTCCATGTTCATTATGATGCACAAGCTGCTTCAGGAATAGCAACAGACTCCCTTCGAGCAAGAGAATACGACGTCGCTGCCGCTGGGGCATTTCGCTGCTGCTGTTCAATCCCTGCAGCCAGTGCAGCACCAACATGAGTCCGAGACCCATAGTGGGCGTCTCGAGGTCCGTCCAAGTCATCATTGGCGCCCAGACTCCATAATGACCCGTAAGGTGCAGCGCAATCGATATCAGACGACCCATCGCTTGCTCCAGTTTGTCCGCGAGCGTCTCCTGGACGATAGTCAGCGTGCCCGAGATCGACGTTTGGGTGTGTCGCTCCCCGATTCCATCCTTCATCGAACTCGATAGCATCAGCGGGTACTCAGCAAGTGAACCGCGCAACGAAGCATGCGTCCACATGCCCAGGTCGGGCAACGGAAGCGACAGCCACCGTGGTGCCATTCGGAGACAACGCAGTGCCGCAGCCAGACTCAAACCGACTTGTTGATAGCGTTGCTGGAGCCATTCTGGAGACCATTGTGACTCCAGTTCTGGTAAGAGATCCGCTTCGGGTGGCGAAGTGAGCAGCGCTTCGAGAAAACCCGCAATCGCAGAGAATTCAGACAGCATCGCCCAGTGCCAGGCGTAGGTTGTGGACCAGGCCTGGCGCGTCTCTGACTCACTCAGCCGAAGCGCTGTATCTAACCAATGACGGGTGAAGGCAGCGAGTTGCGTCGGTGCACCCTCAAACGAGGACACGAATGCGTACACCTCGAGCCGTAGACGCTGCTGCGTTGCTGCAGTCGTGTGCGCACGCGCTTGCTGCAGGAGCACTGCGTACAATCGGAGCAGCATCAGATACATCATAAAGTCCGATGTTGGTCGCTTACCATCTGGAGTTAAGCGTTGATGAATGCGAGCGCTTGAGAGCCGTCCCAGGCTCCAGAGTCCCTGCTGCTGTCGAATGATCACATCTGCACAGCGCGCTGAACGCACTGCCCAGTTGAGCAGCAGCAGGACAAGCCACCAACGATGCGTCTGCTTGTTTGGCGGGGTTACCGGCGCACAGAGTGCGCTGAAAACGACAGGAAGGAAACGCTTCGCCCACTCGGTTTCATCTAAGCGAGCCGGCGAAAACCAGAACTGACACAGCAGTGCGGTTGCAGGTTGTAGCGATGGCCAACGAGCCGACCGCTCCAGCAGACGCTGCAGGAGCCCTTCGCCGTACGCAAGCTCCGAGGCAGCGTATATCGTGGAGGCGGCCTCTCGATGCAAGCCTCCGTGGACGACCTGCTTGCAGAGCGCAAGCACAAGTCGTTCCGTAACACCAACTTCGAGGAGCACTTCGACAGAAGACGTCTCTGCGTCCGGGCGTAGCAGGCGCCAGCTTTGAATCCCAGCAGGATACCAATCATCGGTGCCTTTCATTTCGCTCATGACGCTTGCTTCCAGACGGTCCAGTTGCCTTTCGAGCGTCTGCAACAGCATTCGAACGTGGGATTGCATTCGCTGCATATCCAGTGCAGCAGAGGCTGCGAAAGCGATTCCAGTTGTTCGGCAACTCGCCGCGTTGTCTCCAGTAACTGCTGCTTCCAAGCGACTCAAGCGAAAGATGAGCTCAGTCCATGCCAGGCGTCGCATCGCCCCGAGTCCGGTACCAGTGTCGCTCGCACACAGACGAAGCAGTACCTGCTCGAGACGCTTCAGTGAAACGCTCCATGAAGCCTGTTGTGCAGGCAACGTCAACACGGGACGCTCCGTGGAAGGCTGTGGAGCCTCCACGACACACAACAGCAGCTCCAAATTGGTTGCCAAGACGGTCTGATGCAGCCACGGTATCCAAAGCTGGTCGGATGTGGCTAGGCTCTGGAGGACGAGCGCTTCTTTTCGGCGATTTTGCGGCTCGACGTCGAGATCCCGACTGAGGATCGTCTGCAGCACCAACAGCGTCGTCACTGACCAGAGCCCTGTGACATCACTTCTGTAGTGTTTGTTCCAGAGGATTTGGCCTTCTGGCCAGAGCACACGCTGCGACTCTTCCGTTTCGCCTATGCTTGCCGGTGGTGAACACGTTGCGGAACCTTTCCCGGGCGTTTCGATATCGTCCGTGGGTACACGGCAGAGCAAGGTGATGAGCTCGGTCCACGCAGAAACGAGCGCTGGGTTCATCGCCGACGACTTCGGGGCAGCCTCTGCGACGAGTTTGCGCTGTACTCCTTGCGTTGGTCGTGATCGCATCCAAAGTCGGTTCACAAGTTCGAGGAAACACGCGAGCACGATGCTCGTCGTAAAGACTGCTACCGCGGTTACTGAATCTGGTGCTTTGGCGAGAATACGCTTCCGCCAAGGGATCAACATATCTCGAAACAGCATCGTCAGCCAGGATTCTACCTCTGGCGTCGACACCTGACCTAGTCCAAGGCGTACGAAGAGCGCTCCGAGCGGAGCGAGCTCCGTCAAGTTCACTCGCTGCTCCGTCGGAATGAAACACCGCCATTCATCCCAGAGGAGCTGCCAGAGGCGGCTCGAACGCAGCACACCAGATGCTGGTGACGAGAAAGGCGACTCTGAAGCGCGCCGCTCAGCGCTGCTGCTTCGCTCTTCGGTTTGCTGCGATACCCGGGCTGTAACAGATCCCCAGCTAACAAGCAGAGCGGCAGCATTCGGGTTGTCCAGGAGCACTGGCTGGTCGACTGCTAACGCTGCCAAAAGAAAGCACAACACTGGTTCGGGATCCACTTGAAGTGCCCGCTGAACCAGTGGAAAGAAATCAGGCCACCAAGTCGTTGGCCATAGTTCGGAGAGAGCATCTGCTTCCGCAATAGATGCATCTAGGCATTCCCGAACACCCAGATGTAGCAGGGCCCAGATATCCCAGATATCTGCCGCAATTCCCCGAGCAATCAATTCAGTTCGTGCTCGACAGGCAGGCCCTGTTTCGAAGTGTGCAAGCGCCGGTGCCTGGGGATGCAGCGTGCGCCACAGGAACCTCCACAGCGCGGGCAAGTGCTTCGCATGCCGCCCCTGAAGTAGCCAATGATCGGGTTCGTGCTGGCTGCCAGCAAAGTCCGCTCCGCGAGAAACCTCATCGGAAGCAATGCGCACCAGCGCCTCTCTGGACCAGGTCCGCGAAAAACGGACCGTCAGCATGGTGCGCTGAAAGCAGAGCACCGCCTGACACATCCCAGCACAGCAGTTGACGAGACTCAACGCTGCAGCGGTAAACTCGGACGCATGCCGCACCTCCGCACGGGACAGGTTTGTGACGGCACTGGGCAGCACGTACGCTGCTCGACTGTGGTGCATCATCAGCTCCGTCTGGATAGCATCCACGGTATGGACAACTCGCCAGGCATGCATCCAGAGTTGATCCAAAAGGGTCTGGTGCTGCCACCAAGGCCATTCTAGGGCGCTGGGCGCATTCGAGCCCGTCGGCACCAGATAACCGCCGGCTCCGTTCCAAGTCGACGCTCCTGCTGGTCTCTCGCGTTTGGTAGCAGATTTGCGCGGTGGAAGGCTCTTCTCCAGAGCTCGCGTGACCAGCGCATAGCGGACCTGCACCGACTCCAGCAGGGTAGCGGGAGAGCGTTGCGCCTCTGTCTCGAGGTCCGCGGGCAACGTTACCAACCAATGGTGCCATGGACTCGGAATAAAGGCGAGTTGCATCCAGGCTCGGGCAAGCCAAAGCGCTTCAGCCTCGTCCTTCGGCACTGGAGCCGCGGGATTCAGCAGATCCACCGCCTGCGTAAAGAGCTTCTGCTCCACAGCAGACGACCCTGAAGACGCGTACCTGTTGCAGATGATGGTCATCAGGGTGGCCATGGCCTGCGCCTTTGGCAAAGACGCTAGCGTCGTGTGCAGCTCACGCTCGCCACGGTGCTGACGGTAATCCATCAGCACCCGTCGAAGGCGCGTCCAGTGCGTCTCGAGCCATATCCAGAGCTGTTCGCGCGTGTCCTGCAGGTACCTATTGAGGGTTGCGGTATCGTTGCAAGCATCCTGGATACTGGACAGCGTCGCTTTGTGCGCACCGAGGAACTGCTGCTGCTGCTGCTGCTGCTGCTGCTGCGTATCAGTACCATCTGGCTCCTGGCCTGGTGCCTGCGGTGACGGCAAGTCCAGGCGCTCCATTTGCATCACTCCCGAAGACGAGAACAACACCCATCCGATGCGGTGGAAAAGCGCTAGTCCCGCTGGACACTCGGGAACGAGCAGCAGACCGTCCCAGTGAACTTTCCAGATCGCTGCATCGAAGTCTGCATACCAGAGTCCCTGCGATCCTTGTGGTAGCACCAGCCCGGGCGTCTCGAGCACTTGTCGCGGAGCGCTCGTTTGTAGTCGGTGTACGACGAGTCCAGACTCATCTCGAGCGGGATGGGTATCCATCGTTTGCACATAAGCCGGTGCAATTTTCCAAGGCTCTGCGAAGCTTACACATTCCTGTTGAAAAAATTGAAACGCCAAAAAGGCCCCAAGAGGCTCCTGAATCGCTGATGCAGCCACTCGAAACACGTAGGTTGCTGTCAGCGGGAGCAGCATGCAGAGTTCTCGCCAAAAGCGAGCCGCTGTCGCAGAACGCTCCCAATAGGGAGCGTCACCCATGTGTGCTGTTGCTGTGTCTGTGGCGCCGAACCAAACCGCCTTCCAAAACGAGCGCGATAGCTGCTTGGACTGCTGGAGACACACCGCCATGGCATCGACAGTGTGCTCCAGGAGTACAGGGTTAGGCGTCGACCACACCAGGACGCGCACCGGCACCGTCCTTGCCTGCAGCAGGCTTTGTTGTGCCTGCCATAACGCCCATGCAGGATCCGTGTTACAGGTCGCAAGCCGATGTCGCCAAGCAGGTGCACTTGCGGCAAGTGGTCCATCCAGTAATTCCTGGACGGCAGCCAGCGCCAACTCGAGCAAATCATCGCGGATAAATGCCTCCATTGCAGGTGTTTCTGCCTCGGAATCGATACCCCGCTGCCGTGCATCACCGTCTGGGGCGCCTGCGAAGCGCTCGCTTGAAGCCACACAGGTCTGGGCGAGAACACACAAAAACGCCAGCAGACGGGTCAGCGTGCCCGACCGATGATATCGATCAGCGTTTGGAAGCGATGGCTCTGTGGAAGCCTCCAGACTGAGCGATTCAAGTAGCTCCTCGGTGGTGCTGACCACCACCACCGGGTGTGCCCAACGGTAGCGCGTGCCGCTGGAATGCATCCGGCAAAGCAACACCGCTACGATACAAACCGCCAACCCCGAAGCCGTTCGATCATCGATGAGAAACCAACGTGCATTGAGTGCAACAAAAAGTCTCTCAAGAATAGAGTCCCAGAGCACATCCAGCTGGGCAGCTGCTTCCGTCCCGAGCAGCGACGACGGCATCAGGGCGAAACGCAAGAGACACTCCAAGTGCCAGGCTCGCTCGAGCTGAACACCGTATCGTCCATGAATCCCCTCAACTGCACGCCGTCCCAACAACTCGATGACGTTGCCCAGCTCGAGCCGGTGCAGTGCTTGGCGGGCGGCCAAAGCGAGTGCGGAGTCCGAGTCTGCGGCGTGCTCAAGCAGAAGCCAGAGCGTGCCCAGTGTGGCCCTTACGAATCGCAAATACCGGTTCTCTAACCACGTGACCTGATCTTCAGTCAGCGTTCCTGTACTTGACGGCGTTGAAACAGGCGGGAACGGCTCGGTTGCGGCTCTTTCGAAGGGCGGCTGTCGTGCCAGCCTCCTCGCCACTTCTCGTGCTCGTTCCCTCGATACCATCAGTCGTGCGGCAGTCAGGGTAACGACCAAGCTTGGTGGTGTGGGGCCAGAATCTTCCCCGGGTACCAGCGTCGACTCCATTAGCACCCAGTTGAGGTCTCTAGTCCAGGAGTGAGCGTGTGATTCCAAGTCAGCTGCCGCGACTTGGGCTCGCTGTAGTTGGTACCAGAGCGCCTCACGTTCCTCCAGTGGATCCGGCATTCTTCTAGCGCATGTATAGCCTAACGGTACTAGAGGACAACTGGGCGATCAACCGTAGGACAAGGCAAAGAAAAACTCGAATTGGTACCAGGAGCGACACAGCCTAGTGCGTTGAGCCGCAACGCCGCCCTTCGGCCTTCTCGAGGTCGGAGATATCCACGTGAGCACCGCGGCGACTTGGGAGCTTCGTTAGCGCAACGCTCGTATGCGTTTCGAGCGTCTGCGGGCTTGGACTTGCTGTGTTTTGAAAGGGATTCGGGTCAAGAGCACCGAACAGTGGAACAGGTAGCTGTGCCGCAGAGCAAGCGCCGCTGGATAGCTATTTTTCTTGAACGCGCTCTACTACGACCTGGGGCCTGACGAAGCGCCCCTCAAGCTGGAACTAGTTTCAGTATCGTCGAGCAAGAGCAGCTCGATAGCTGTTTCCCCTGAACATTCTTCGTCGACGATCCAGAAATAAACCTTGTCAAGGGCGCGGTAACAAGTTTGTGTCTCCACGTTTCAATTCGCTTGCACATTTTTGGTACAACTATTGCGCTCACAAGCAGCCAAGAGGCGCGCAAAACGCTTTCCAGAGTGCTCATGTTGATCAGCGGTGACGTATCGGGTACGCAAGTCACGTTGATGCGTCGACGCCCTGCCGCAGTGGTCGTGGGTGCGGGCAGTGTTCACGAAGCCGGGCCCACCACGTGCTTTGGTGGTCTTTCAGAGCCAGGTGAGCCGCTATCACCACGGCAGTCTGGTCTGCAACAGTACAGCACTCGAACCAGTCATTTCAGTGATCTTTACGTCTGCTTCATTGTGTTCATAGCACTTGGTTTAGTGCCTGGTCTTCTTTTCCTTTACTGGGGGACTCGGTTTCCGCCTCGGACGTAGATGCACCGTGTACTTACATGTCGTAGCGCTGGCCTGGAAACGCAGGTCTCTCTGGCGAGCCGATCCACTGAGGACGAACGAAAGACATCAGCATCATTCGAGGCCCAGGAATCTGGCACTCGATGAGCATAAGGGAGTTGCCGCTTCGAGAGAGTTCGAAGACCAGTAGCGTCAGTACTTGGGTTCGCGACGTGCGCAAACACTTTTCGACTTTTTCCCCAGCGTATCCCTTTACTGACCTGTATTTTCATTGGAGCGCGTTATTGTATGACACCAGCGGCACGTAGTGCCTGCGCTTACTTGCCGAATATAGACGTCTTCTTTAAACACAATTGCGCGCTCGGGGAACATTGGTTAGAGGAAACGACCCTACACCCCAGAAAAAAGGTCCTTCATGATCCAGCGAGAGCCTATTCCCTGGTAGTCGTGAGCACATGGACTTGCAGTCGCAGACACTTGTTCGACAATGGCGTCGCATTCCAAGTTGCCTGCACCTTGGCGTTCTAGATGAGGGTGGATCCACGAATGAAGCGATTGGGTGCAACTCCGACGATGGTGCGCATCTACAAGTGCGAAACGCTCCGCAGTTCTCAGTCCTGCCAAACATACAGCGACTTTGATCAAGCGACTGTGATCCACGAAAATACAATAAAAAATGAACGCCGAATTCACGTCAAGGCTCTTTCTACATCAAAACTGGTGATAGAGCGGTGCAAGTTGCGGCGAGCAGCCCGCAATCAATGTCGACTCCTGATGCCAGCGCATTCAAAGACAGGACAGGAATCGGTAGTTTCGTGCCTCAATATATAGATACGTTGCAATGCAAACTTTTGTTCATGTTGGATGAAAAAGTTGCTTCTGTTTCCGTTCCTATCCGCTCCGACGTCTGGTGCAGATCCCAGCCGTCCATTTTACCATACAGCTATGAACACAAATGTGCCAGGTGCGTCCCCGCGGGCGTCCATGGATTGACGGCTGTTCCGGAGCTGCTGCTACACCAAGCGGCAGGCGATTCGAAAAATAAACATCTCTCCCGGTATACGTTTCCAGTCGTTCAACCATTCGCGGTAGCCGCATGGTTCGCGGCAGGGTTTCGCACTCGCAACCGAGTCCAGTGCTTGCTCGTGTGAGGCGATCTAGTAGACGTCGTAAGAGAGGCTTCTTTCTCCTCGTTAGCGCTGTAGGCAGCGCTTTCCTCATCGGTCTTTGGCTTGGCTTGAAGCTCGTGTCGCAGTCGCAACGCGCCGCGGCAAGCACGTCGATCACGCAACGGAAAGAGAGTCTCCGTCAGGTTTCCATACCGAGCATAGGGCGCGCTTCAGACGCCAGTTTATGCGGTGTCCTGCCTGCTCCTTGTTCCGGCCACGGTGAGTGTCGCATACAACAAGGCCTGCCTACGCTGTACCCGGCACCCGAAGGAAACGTCGCGCTCCCCAGTGAGCTTCCTCCGAACAGCGTTGCTTTCTGTGCGTGCGACGCAGGCTGGGCGCCACCGGCTTGCGATCGTCCTTTATGCCCTGGAGGCGGTCACTGCTCTGGAAACGGCGTTTGCTTGCAGGGAACCTGCGTCTGCGAGGGCGCCTGGGGCGGAGAGGCCTGCTCGGAGCTCCAACCGGGTACGGCGACGATGACGACGGCAGCACCTTGTCCACGGGATGCGGACACTGGACTTGTCTGTGGCGGTCCCCAGCGGGGCGCCTGTGTGTCCAATGGCACTTGCGTGTGCCATGCACCCTGGACCGGGACTTTGTGCGAAAATCAAGCCTTCCGAACGGTCTATGAGTTCGCGCGACGTGGAGCGGGAACACTCCAGCCCTGTCAAGTATCCCCGTCACCGCAGGCAACCCCGTTCATTGTCGCTGCATTGCCACCTGCAGAAGCAGGCCGTCGGTGGCTGGGTTTCCAGGCACTGCTCATACCAACGAATCACGAGCCGTACTTCGGGACGAAGTTACCGTGGCTTTGTATAGCGTACGATTTGGCAGAGCGCTTATCCAGCAACTCGATTGTCAGTGCATTCGACATTGTGGTGACTCGGTGGATCGAAATGCTCATTTCTGGTGAACGGGCTTGGCAACTGACTGCCGCAATGTACGTGCCTGCGAACTGGACTCTGGACACGTTCCTCCCCCGGTACGTGATGCAAATACTGCCAATCAAAATCGGTGTACCGGTCCGAATCGAGGATGTGCGGATTGATGGAGAGGTCTCTTTGATCATAGCGAATGACTCTGAGCGTGCTTCGCTGTTCAGTGCGCAGGTGACGCGCACCACCACCGCCACCCGGAATGCATCCTCCGTATCCGTGGTAGAGGCGATTGGTATTGCTGCAATGGGTGCGTTGACATTCGTTGCGGTTCTAGCCGCAGTATTCGGTATCGATGCATGGTTGCAGCGACGTCGCCGCAGCCTGCAACACCAACAGCGCTACGCTGACGGAGATACGTCCGCGAATAGCAGTGCAGCGACGAGTCCACCATTGCCACTGGGAACTGCGGACCCAGCGGCTATGCCATCGGCACCGCCCGCAGATCGAGCACCAGACTCGACACCGCTCGGTATGAACCTCGAGGAATTGGTTACGATATCGCTGTCACCAGAGCGGCCTTGGAAGTATCGCAGCTGGCGGCACCGATAGCGGCGGGCAAGGCGACGTGTGCGACCCCTGCCCTGCAGCAGCGCACTCGATGCGCAGCGTGCTTGTGGCAAACCCACGTGAATGCCGCCGCATCGTAACGTTAGCGAGCTGTCAGGTTCCTATGATCTGGCATGTGAAGCGCGCATCAACCAAGAGGACGGCGGTAGGGGAGCGAACGTTCCCGCGAGGATCTTGCGTTCGAGAACGCATCTCCCGGCTCAGATGCTAGAGGCATTTGTAGTTACGGCGCTTCGAGTAAATAGAATTGTTGCGATAGCTGCACTGTTGTACGTGACTTGCAGATAGATAAAAACGTAGCTGTTCATCATCGACGAAGCGCACAAATTGAGTTGCTGATGTTTTGCACGAGCGCGTCTAATGTTGCAAACTAGTCTCGATCGCTTTCGCGCTCATCACGTGTTCGTTTTGCGAAGAGCGACTCTTCACAGCCGTTACCATTCAACGTTGCATGGTTGCTGGTCCATCGATCCATGCTCTGAACGCTTGCTTTTTTTTCTTTTGGAGGCGCAAAAGCCGTACATCGGGCGACACCGACAGCACGCGCTCTGCGCTTTTGTTGCCCCATTGCTCTCGAGAATGCACCCCGAAGATGCACACGAAGGAGCGCTACGAAGAGAACGAAAAGAGCGGCGACTGTTCTTCCTAGACTGCTGGCGCCCGAGCACTTCGTCTCTATATTCGCTTTTGTTTCTCAGCGCTTTGAATCTGGCCCTGGGTACGGAAGTGGACTCTAAGCCAAAGTAAACAAGGTACCGACCTGTTGGATGCTGCGAGGTCGATCCCTCAAAGTACACTTACATTAGAATCAAACGTGATTGGTCCATTCTGCGATCTAGAGCGTACGCACGGAAGCGTTGGTGACATCCCACTGCCGTGAACACCAGCTTTTGTGCGATTTTCCTGGGACTGATTCCTGTCCTTCCCTCTGCGCTTCCGCTTCAAAAGCGCCGACCTCAGCATTCACTCCCGCTCCGCCGCCAGCGGTCGTCGGATATTAACGGCATCGTTCAGGCGATATTTTTGCAGGTACCGGCTGCTGTCAGCGCCCTTCATACACGGGTCGCATAGCGAGTTATGCTCTGCACGGAACGTTCATATGCATTGTATGCAGTCTCAGTGCATACTTCGTTGCCGTCACATTCGACTCTGAGCACCTCCTCCCCTTGGTGTGCAACACCTACGCCTCCGACCACCGCGCTGCGAGACGTAAACGCTTTCTTCATCACTCGGTATATGGTATTGACGGGTACAGGAGACTCGCCTCGTTGCGCACCTCCGAGCTGTCGCTCGAAGTCGCATCCAACGATCACGGGCCTCTTCTGGGCGATCGTTTCGGCAACCACTCTGCCGGCTACGCATGGAAGCGCAAAATGTTCCATTTGATAGAGAATTCGTGGCATACGATGTGGTTGATGATGGAAAAAGCATCGGAAGGCAAATCGAGGTTGGAGATCCAGTCGAGCAATGTCGATGCGTCTATGCTCTTTTGACGAAAAGCGATGACGCACGCGCCGCTGGAAGCGATCTCTCCAATGATTGTGAAAAAACGAGTCCAAGTCTCTTCTCTATCAGAAAGCACGGGATACCCTGGAAACGTGTCCCATGAGAAATATCATGCTGCTCTACATCTAAAAAAGTTCGAAACCCCCGAATTCCAGGAACAGAGAGAAACACTCGGTGTTCCTTTCTAGTCTTTTACAGGTGCAGCATCCGCTGGAAGCGCAAGTGCTATCGAGCAAAGGAGTCAAGCGCTTTTCCAACGCATTCCTTGCCACCAGACACGTCCATGGAGCGTTCGGCACGGCGCGGCTCGGCACGGGCGGCACGGCACGGCACCGCTGCTGAAATAGTGCAGCGACGCGTCCCTCGACGGTTGTAAACTCGGCCCAGCGAACAGTCGTGGCGCCCCGAGTACGCTGTCACTGCACTGAACCTGTACTGGGCAGGCTGCTGTAGGTGCGAACCGGATTCGGCAGAGACTCGAGTTTTGAAGCGATCACATCTATGTTCGACACACCAAGCGCTCACCTGCTGCCGAGCAACCCCGGTTCCACAACTGCTACTATTGGTGCATGGCGTGCGGAGCAACTCGAGCTGCGCTTCCGCTGGCAGGCACAGCACATGCGTGCCTTCATCACGAACAGCGTCTGGACTTTTAGATGTCCGAGGTTCGGACACCCGTTGGGACCTGTGGAACCGTACGCAACTGATCTGCAACGAAGGCTTCACCGGTACTTGAGGCCTGCGTTGCAGCGCGCTACTTGTAGACTTGTGGAGGACGGCCTGGAAGCGCCCTCTCGCCAGCACGACGGACTTGAAGTAGACTCACGGGCACCGATACGGGTAGCAGTGGTTGCAATGGGCTGTGCGAAGAACACCGTCGACGCTGAGGTTTTCCTCGGAGACCTCAGCGCTAAAGGCTTCCAGATTGTATCCGAAAACGAACCCGCTGACGCGATCATCGTAAATACGTGTACCTTCATCGACGAGGCCAAGTCCGAGTCGATTTCCGCAATCTTGGAGGCTGCAGCACGGAAAAAGAGCGGCACACGTGCTCTAGTCGTAACAGGATGCATGGCGCAACGCTATGCTGACGAGCTGGCCAAAGAGATTCCCGAAGTGGACGCTGTGATCGGCTTTGCTGCTTATAACCAACTTGCTGAGCAGATCCAGCGCCTCGTCAGGAAGCAGCATCGCATGGAGAAGCAGTCGACTGTTCAGGTTGGAGCGGTGGACGTCCCTTTTCGACCAGAGTATCGAAGGCATCGACTCGGTGCCAGCCATACAGCGTACTTGCGAGTCGCCGAGGGCTGCGACCATCAGTGTGCGTTTTGTGCAATCCCCCAGTGGCGTGGACGTTTTCGCAGCAAACCGTTCGATCAGCTCGTGGAGGAAGCGCATCATCTTGTTGAGAGACAGGGTGTACGTGAGCTGTGTCTCATCGCAGAGGACACGAACATGTACGGCATGGACCGGGGTCCCGAGACGCCCCGACTAGCCGAACTGCTTCGATATTTCCAGAGAGAACTCGTTCCCCGGGGTCTCGTCTGGATTCGACTCCTCTACTGCTATCCATCGTATTTTTCTGATGACCTTATTGCGGCCATTGCGGAATGTCCAGCAGTGGTGCGGTGTATCGATATTCCGCTCCAGCATGCAAGTGACGCCGTGTTGCAGCGCATGCGTCGACCGCTGATGTCGCATACAAGTGCGCTGCTGAACAAGCTGCGACAGCGCATTCCAAACCTCAAACTGCGCTCGACGTTTATTAGCGGGACCCCGGGGGAAACCGCCCGCGATCATCAACAGCTGGTCCGGTTTATCCAAGAAATGCGCTTTGCCCGAGCGGGTTTCTTTTCCTACTCAGCAGAAGAGCGTACGCCCATGGCTGAAATGGAGGATCAAGTGCCGCCACAGGTCCAGGAACGTCGCCGCGACCAACTATTTAGTCTGCAACAAACCATTCAGGAGCAAATCGCCGAATCCCTCATCGGAACCGAAATCGACATCCTCATCGATCGCAGCGAAGGCGGTCATCTGGTAGGCCGCACTTTTATGGACGCTCCGGATATCGATGCTGTGGCCTATGTCCTGCAGAATGACTGGGAGCCCGGTTCATTGGTTCGGGCGCGCGTTGTGAGCACCAGCGGCTGGGACCTTCTCTGTGTGGCATGTCCACTGCCCTGAAGACCCGACAGACTGCGCAACCTCGCAATTCGCGAAACGTTGACCATAGCCATGGATCCGAGCGTAGCCTTTCAATGCTGGACGCAGACTCGACATCGCGATGCAGCCTCATCGGGCGGATTCCTCTATATATGGATTGAAGGATCGAGTGCATGGTATTGGATCTCGAAGGTCACGCGCAGTGATGCGGGATGTTTGCGGCACGATGCATGTCGTTGATGTGTGCGCGCATCGCAGCTGGTGGACGCATCTGCCGCAGCGCTGGACAGGGCGCGATGCGTGTCCCTGCGTTTCAGGTCGGATGCGTGCTGGACACGTGTCCCGAGATGTGATGGCGTTCGTGCCCTGCACGATATGCGACGATGCAAGGCATGACGACCGCGCATTGGTGTTCTTCATGGAGCGCGCCGATCAGGATGCGTCGCTGCAGCTCTGTGCGTTTTTGCCGCTGCCGCAAACGCTACCGGGCTATGCAATCTATCGAGCCTTCAGTTGGGTCGATACGCAATCGAACGGAGGTCGTTGCGGATGATCATCGGCATCCGGGTGGTGCCTACCAGGCGAGAGCGCTGGAGGCACGCTTGAACGGGTGCGGTCGCTGAGGCCAATTGCCGTACGCCAGGGAAGGTGTAGGCTCGATGACACATCGTGCTGCGCTCTTAAATGCCCTGTGATGTAATGTTTCGTTTACTGGACTATTCTTTGAGTCTATGTGGTGCACCACAATCAGTAACATTGATGCGAAGACGCGGCGTCTTTGTGCAGGATGCGAAGACAACAACGTTGGCGACGTTACCAGTGCTCTGCTGCGATGTCGTCCAATGCGCTCGGGTTCAGGTCGATGAGGGCGGCATCGACGCCCTCGGGAACTCGTGTCGAGAGAATCTGCAAGAGTGTCGACTCGACGTTGCCGATTTCGTAGCGACCGAGTTCGTAAATATGAGCGAATCCTACCGACAAAAACATCATCAGGCCCAGAAGAAGCGTGCTAATGGCAGCCCTACTTGATAGGTTTTCGGCAAAACTGGAGATCCATGCCATGGCCGGGACTAGTTGGAGCTCTCGCTCGCCCGAATACAGTTCCTTTTCATATTCACTGAGCGGGCGTGGCATTGGGGCGGCTCGCAACCACTCCGGGGGTACCGCGGACGCGCTATCACCTCCACCAGTGTTCTCTGTAGATGGTGAACTCACTACCGTCGAGCGTAGTGGTGGTCCCAGATTCCATCCAAAGACGTACTGGCCCACGAGACGATCCTCTTCGTAACGTTTTTCAAACCATTTCTGAAACGCGCGAACGTCCTCCTCGTTGCGGCGCTCGGCCCAACGTCGAACGCGATCGAGATCATCGCGGCTGCGTTCGGTGATGGCCGCGCGGGCTTGCCGATCCATTCGAGTGCGCTCTGCGATGAACGTCAGCACGGTACGCAGGTCCTCCTCCGACCGCCTGTCGATGAGTTTCCGGAGCATCAACAGACGTTCCCCAATGGTCTCTCGTCGCCGTTCCCGCGTTTCGGGATCACTCCGGTTCGATCGGTACACGTTCCATTCGGGTGCCGGGCTAATGTGGCCCAGTCGCTGCTCCATGTCGGCCCAGGCCTTTAACATGGGGTCCGTCCTCTTTGCGCCCTCGAGTTCGGAGCGGACACGCCGAACATCATCCACTCTGCCGCCTGCTGCGAGGATACCACGCTCGAAGACCTTCCGCGCCTCCTCGTGGTTTCCCAGTCGATCCTCCATTGTTGCCCAAGCATGGTACACGGGAACGTGCGATGGCCACAACTCAGCCGCCCTCTGGAAGAGATTACGCGCTCTTTCGTAGTGACCTTGTCGGGCCTCGGCAATGCCGTAGGCCTGCAGCGTCGGCACCGACACCGGATCCAACCGGAGTGCTTGTTCAAATTTGGCTGCCGCGTGCTCCCAGTCGCCTTGTTTACTGAGCGCAATGCCGTACGCCTGCCACGATGGCACATGGCTCGGGTTCGACTCCACCGCTCGTTCGAAATACGCGCATGCTTCCACGCTCGCACCATTGCGCAGATGAAACATTCCAAAAGCCTGCAGCAGAAAAACGTTCCTCGGATCACGAGCGAGGCCGGCCTCGAACAACTCCTGCGCACGCTCGCTGTGACCGGTACGCTCCTCCAGCAACGCATACGCTTGCCATATGACGCCGTCAGAAGGATCTATTTTGAGTGCCTTGTCTAAAAGCGACCTAGCCGCGTCAGTATTCTGCATACAACGCGCTTCGAACATAGCAAAAGCGTGCGCAAGCCTTGTATTCGTACAGTTGACCTGCAGGGCGGCTGCAAAGGTGGCTCGCGCTTTTTCCAAGTCCCGCAGCCGGTACGCATACAGCTGCGCGAGTAGCAACCACGCTCTTCCGTTCGTTGGCTCACGGTCGACGAGCGCGCGCAGCAGACGCTCTGCTGTGGGCCAGTTCCGACGGCGAATCTCGCGACGAACGTCCCGTATCACGGCCTCTGCGTCCTCTCTTGCTTGTTGAGCAAGTGCTTGTTGGCGACGCGCACGTCCTGGTTTCCGTGGTCGCTCCACAGTTGCTGTCGCCTCAGGGTGCGCACTCAGCACCGCCGCGGTAGCGCCAAAGTCGTCGCTCGCCAACGCAGTCGAGCTAGACGCAACCGGCTTTACAGAGGACCCAAAGTTTCTACTTCGAGACAGGTCAGGACCGGAATCCTCGTCAGCTGTTGGTACGTTATGTGGTCGCGTTACGGTGACTGGGTTCACATGCGGCGCGCTCACCGCTTCCTCGGCGCGTAGCGTAACGCAAGCGCGCTTGCTCCGTTCCCAAAACGGATGCCTGGTGCGGCCTGAGCACACCTCCCCAGTTCCAGGCGCTTTTAAGCGAGACAGCTTCGCCCTCGATATAAGCGAGCCTACGCCCCATCCTAGACCGATACTCGTGAACATGGTCCCGCACGAGTCGGAGCGCAGCGTTAACCGAACGATTTTTCACGCCTGTCGAATGATCATGCTTCGCGAAATCGGAGCTCGCGTGCAGCACCGGGGACCACCCGGTGAAACGATACATTTTAGGACAGAATAGCATTTAGCTGTCACGCGCGGCCACCGCCATAACTGCATCTACTGCTACCAACGCTGCACCGTTACCGAAACGCATCGACGCTTGCCCTGAGCAACAGCCGCCTCGGTATGCACCGTGCGCTGCCAGCGCACTATCCGTTGAGGGTCCCGCTGCGTCTGCTGGTGACGATATGAGTGCGTCCTCTATTCCTGATGATGTCGATGCGCAGAGCACGGGCTCCTTCTCTTCCGCGGAGGTGTTGACGAGAGCGTCCTCGACACGGCGACGGCTATCGTCGCCGCGGCTCTCTCAACTCGGAGGCGAAGGCACTTTTCGAGATGATCCGTTCGCCACCACTGGACTTGGTGCCGCCCTGCGTGGCAGACCGCCAACGGTCTCAGTCGATCGAGCTGGAATCCAGAGTTTACCGTTCCGCTGACCGCTGCGGAGACGGATCTGACGGCGAAGGACTCCGTACCTGCCGAAAGTCTGGATCCGGATAGGATGGGTTGTACTTGCGGGGAAGCTCACTCGCTCGACAGAAAACGATTGCAGTGTGCAATTCGAACTTGCACTCGTCGGGGCGCCAAGACAGGGCGTTCAGAGCAAGCGAAACAGGTAGAGTTACCAGGCACGCAATTCCCGGATTCGGTTAAGGACTGGTGTCGTCCGTACCGCGAACCAGAATTCTCCCTAGACGATACCCGGGTGTACACGCGGCCGCACGGGAATCCCGAGGTGGGGTGTTATTTTCGGCGTGTCGATTACGTCGCCCTCGATCCGCAGGTCGCCCGCTCGGGACGCGTCTGGCAGTTTGTGCAGTGCCTTCGCTCCCATGCGTGTTATTCGACAAGAGATGAGGTTGCCTCGTTCGTGGTGGTGGGCATCCTCTGTGACTGTCTTCGACAGCCGCGGGCACGACTCAATGACATGGGCGCCTTGATGGGTACCGACCTCGGCTCCATGGCGTCCGCACAACGCTTCGGCAACGGACGTGCCCGTTTCTGCACAGATGCCGTGCCTGATGCAGTCGCCAGTCTCGCAGATGGTCGTGACGCTAACGCACCTGCAGCGAATCGAGAAACGGATACCAGTGCACCAAGCGGGAACGGCATGCTCGCCCGAGGGCGTGCATCGCCGGCTCGGCGAAGTGCTTCGTCAGCTTCACTGGATCCTGCACAACGGAACCCGGAGTGCTGCCAACAGTGCATCCCTGGCGCCAGTACCGCTGCATTCACGTCGGTCGGTCGCCCCGGCGAGTTATTGACTGTGAGCACCAAAACCTCAGTTCGCAGCAGGAACGGTGCAGGGCATCGCGCGAGCGTTTCCCCAACAAATAGCGCATACGCTAAGCATGGGTCACCGGACCCCGACGAGAATCACGATCATCATACGGGTCAATTTCGGCTTCTACACGAGGTCTCATCCTTGTCACCGGCACCAACTGTGGGATTTCTCGTGGGTGACTCGGCGCCGCGCCCTTTGCGTATGATTAGTGACCTGCTGGAAAAACTTGTCACAGAGGGCCGTTGGGTCGCAGCGCTCATGCTTGTTTCTGGGGCATTTATTATGAGCTGTGGCCTTGTGGCCTTGATTCTGGCGCTTCTATTACGTAGCCTCTATGTGACGCTTTTTCTGAAGCAAAAACATCCACTGGGCTTCTTGTCATGAGCGAGTCCGCTGATTACCGGGTTTCAAGTCCCTAAAACACTACTGACGCGTCGATCGCTTGCCAGATATACGCACCTGGAACGAACGAACGCAAGTGATCAGCCGCAATCATCCAGCGCATTCTGGATGAAACCTGGCGCCTGCACCTCGACAGCGACAACATGTTACACCGCGGGATATGTACACCGAAAGGCGCGCTCGGGTTCGCGGAAGCATCCTATCCGATTGCTCTTCGAGAGCGAGCCGGGTCCACGGATGGATACGTGGCCGTCCAGGTCCAGTCTGCGGCAGCATCGATTGCGGTTCCGTCGGTATCCAGTTTGTCTCGCGTTCCTGCCGTCATTCGATCCGCGATCTTGCAGCGGCTGGGTGCGTCTTCAAGCGATGGCGCTGGGGCCCGCCACGCCTGCTCGATCGCGTCACACACGCCTTCAGCCGTCGACTCGCACCGTACACCGCCATGATGCAGGAAATGTGCATTGATCATCTTTAGGGATGCCGCCGCCCGCATCCACTCCACAATGGGTTCCCAGTAGCCGTCAACGTCAAATAGCACGATGGGTTTATTGTGGAATCCGAGCTGACGCCATGACAAGACCTCGGCGAGCTCCTCGAGGGTCCCGAGGCCCCCGGGCAGCGCCACGAACGCATCTGAATCGAGGTAGAGGCCACGTTTGCGCTCCGCCATGTTTGTGACGGTGCGCACGGATGGCAGTTCCGGATGACAGTTATGGACACGAAAGATATCGAGTATGACGGCATCGACGCGACCACCAACGGACAGCGCACCTTCGGTGAGTTTCCCCATAAGGCCAAAGCGGCCGCCACCGTTGCGCTGCGACCAACCGCGCTTCGCAATCGCGACACCTAGCTCGAATGCTGCCTGTTGGTAGTGTTCAGGGGCATTCGCAGACGACGACGCGTAACACGTTACAACGGGAGTGTCTCTGGGGGCGTCGGGGTTGCCCGCCATGACGAAAAAAAAAGATCGCCAAGCGCGACCCTCTTTTGTTCCCGTAAAGCGAGCACTATCGACGCCGATACCTGTCGCTTGGACCCAGAACGGCTTTTCGAAAAGCCAGTGTATACATGCGGCCTTTCGGACCGTCCAAACACAGAAGCTTTCGCACTTGGAAGCGCGTTCAGGGATACAGGCGTACGGGAGTGTGCGCGCGCGCATCTTCGCCGGATACGCGCCTTTAACGATCCGTCATGAAAAACGGGCCAAAAGTGGTTGGTATAGTATAAAAAGAATATTTAGGGATGAAGTGGCCATAGAGCATGGATGACGGGTGTGTCGTTTGCGTGTGGCGCACGCGCGCATCGATCACGGAATGATCGCCATACCACCTCAATGCATAACTCGATCCATATGCACGACTTGCTTTTCGCTGACTTGCAGACTCGGTGTGTCTCACCGGCACTCTCGAACAGAATAACACTTGCTTGAGGGTCACGCTTCTTCTGGTGTGGAGTTCGAGCTCCGTCATACGCGCCCTGGTCGAAGCAGTGTGATTGACCGGAACTCGTGCAGCTCGTCAGCAATACCTGCACCCTGGGAGCATGTTTCAAGTCGTGCCAGCGATTCAGCGCCAAGTGCCTGGCCACCAAAGCGGCTACTCCTGGGCAACACGGCTCGAGGCGAGGCGCCGCCGCCAGCTTCGTGCTGGCCGTTTCACCATGCTGTGGCCGTTCGGTGCGCTGGAGAAGCGCCGGCGCGCGTTTGCCGAGCTCTTCACCAACCCGAACTTCCCGCCAAGCTGGCCGTACACTGCGTCCGATTTTGAGCGTCTCGATGAATCGCCGGATGAGTTGTTTTACACACAGCCGCGATTCGTGACCCATATTGATGACGACGCAATCGCTGCGCTCAAGTCGTTCTACGGGGAAACACTGCGTGATGGAACCGATCTGCTCGACTTGTGTTCGTCATGGATTTCGCACTTACCGGAGCAGTATCGACCACGCCAGGTCGTTGGGCTCGGGTTAAACGATCTTGAATTGAAAAAGAACACTCGAATGGACCGGTGGGTGGTTCAGAACCTGAACGAGAACCCGGTATTTCCGTTTGCGGATGATTCGTTTGATTACGTCACATGCGTGGTATCCGTCGACTACCTGACCAAGCCGTTACAAGTATTTCGCGAAATACGACGGGTACTTCGTCCCGGAGGAATGGCCATCATTGCCCAGTCAAATCGATGTTTTATGCAGAAAGTGATTGCGATCTGGCTTTCCACGAATGACCTGGAGCACGCTTATATCATAGGATCCTATTTTCATTACGCCGGTGGTTTTGAGAACTTGCTTGCACGCGACATTTCACGGGGACGTGGCGACCCCATGTTCGTGGTCACCGCTACGAAGCAGAGGACATAGTTGCTGCTGGCGCTGCCGCTGCCGCTGACGAAGATGATGACGAAGGGTGGCGCTTCGCGTCTCGGAACATGGACGCAAAGAAGGCCTTGTCGCGGCGATCCTGTTCGCGAAGAATGCGCTTCAGCTCCTGGTATTTGCGTTGCGCCGGTTCGTTCCGAGGTTCGAGTTCCAGGATTCGCCGCAAGTCGCTCGCTGCTTCGTCGTAGTCGGCGCGAGCGATGTACGCGCACGCTCGTCGATACAGCGCCTTGGTTTGGGCGCTTTCGCGCTCGAGCACCTTGTTGCAATGCTCTATGACCTTGTCAGGGCGCCGGCGTTTCTCGTACACAGCGGCAAGGTTGAGCCATGCTGCCCGCATGAGTTCCGCAGCCTCTGCTTTGAGGTCAGCCGGCAGTTCTGCATCATGACTGCATGCATTCACAATAAAATCATAATGGGGCTCGGCTCGATCGTAGCGTTGCTCTTTCTAAAGTTTGTTACCGATTTCCTTGTGGCGTCTGGTGGCCTCAATTTTCTCCTGTGGCGACATTTCATAGCCGTGCTTGCCGTTCGTGAAACCGCAAAGCTTCACGTGATAGCTTTTCGGCAACTCGCTCTCTGGCGTTGCTGGATCAGCGTACTGCTTGCTATGGATGGTGACAACCGCCTCCGCGCATTTCTTCATTTTCGCGAGCGCCATCTCGAGGCCCGTGCAAGCCATACTGCCGTCGCCGAGCCTGACCTCTTTTCGCTGGGTTGGCATCCCCAGCGACCGAACGAGGACGACGTTTTCGCCTTTGAGGAGGATCGTCCCTAGAGCAACCGTCCGCCGCTTATGCTTTGCAGTACTTCCCCACTGCTCCACGGTGTCGACCAGAACTAGATTGGTGTGTTCGTCGAAGCCGCGCAAGGTGCCTTCCAGAGAGTATCTGGTGTTTTCGAATAACCAGACCTCAACGCGGGCTTGTTGGCGCGCCAGCGTTGCTAACAACTGCTCTGGAACTATCCGTCTGTCCAGAGCGTCCTTCGGCATCTATGTTCACCACTTAAGTTGGCTGCAGGCGTGCAACCAGGAGATTGTACCTGCTTTTCACGGTTTGCTCGGGAGCATATAACAGCGCGAATGCCGGAGCGAACAACGTTACGTCAGTGCAGCAAACCCGTTTCGCAACAATATCGTGTACATGAATATCCACCCGCAGACGTCTCTCAGCCTTTTCTTACAGGTTTCTGGTATCGGTTTCAGTTTCTCCATATACACCCCGACGCTGTGAGGCTGCCCAACAAAGTTAGCTTGCCGCAGCGCTGCGTGCCTCGTATTCAGCACAAGCATCTCCTGATATTGATACCAGCGTTGAGGTCTCGGTTCATGGACTCCATGCGTTTGTTGCCGCTGGTTGATCTCACCAATGATAGGAGACCACGAACTCGTGTACGCTGTGCCATTGGGTGCTCTGTCAGCTCTTCGTGCTGATTTGTCGACGAAATGCTCCGCTGGCCTCGCTCCAACTCAACGTCCTAGGGTGTATATTCCAGCTCGTCCCTTAGATTTTTCGAAAATGAACGCACTTGTTTATAGCCTGAGATGACGACCTTCCCGCATCGAGCAGCACATGCGGAATAAAGACCAAATGTGCCCCGGTTGGTCACCATGTGCTGAACGCTTCATCAATTCGCCCGGTGGAGCGGTCGTGACGATTCAGGACGCAAAACTCTCCTTCTATGGGGATGAAACACAGTTGAGAAGAAGGAATGAAACCAGCTCTACCCGTCGATAGAATTGGCAAGCGCTCGAACTGAAGCAGAACGGCTAAATACCACTATGTCCAATAGAAGGACTTCACCAGGCGTTTGGGACAAGTCTTCAATGACTCGACAAAAAGAGGGCGCTGCTGCATGAGTGTTCTCTTCAGCGGAACTGAGGCAGCCAAATGAATCCACCGCAGCTAGAACAGATGATGATGTCGACGTTCTCTACGATTTCGAGCGTACGAGCAACGGGCTCCCGCTCAGCAAGTATTCATCTGCGCTGCGATTGTCTCGTTTGAAGCAAGTCTCATCGAGTGAGAAAACAAACTGATGTTCCTGTGCTTCATACCGATCGCGACGTTCCAGGAACGCCGTGCCTGCGATTTCGGTGGAAGCTGGCCGTGAATGAACTAGCACTTTATTGCGATTGGATCCCGGTGTTTTCAGGATCACTCGAATAAGCTGTTGAGAAACAGAGACGCCCGTGGTGGCTACTATGGACGCATTTGCTTCCCGTAAATTGATCAACTGGTCGTTTTCTATCACTGAGTGCAGGCAGGCTTTGAGAATATCAGGTTTCGGCCCGGAGCGCATATACTTGTTTCTTTCAGTGCTCGTCAAGCATCTGAGTATAGTGGTATGATTGACATCGAGGAGCAATGCAATCATCATTGCATTGTTCAGTGAAGAATACATATGCCGTATGCAATTCGTCGACAATCTATACAATACATTACCTAGTGATTTCGTCCTCCTCCTATACACCGTAGCCGCGATGAAACAAAATTGAGTTGAAAGACTCTCAACAGAAGCGCCTCTACGTCGTAACAGCATCTGGTACTCGAAATTCTAACGCAGCCGCGTACCAGCAGCGGATCGAGACGGTGAACGGACGCATCAGCGCATACCTCTATGAATGGCATTCGCCTCTACCAGATACCCAGCATGCCTGCGATCGATGCGAACAGGCATCGAAGTGCCCTTGGTACCCAAGTTTTGCCGTCCGAGCATGCCTTCCTCGAAGACGCACCTTGCATCGATCCTCAGATCGTCGAAAACGACACCAAACATGCTTCTGCACAGCGTCCTGTCGTACAAGCGCACTATGTAGGCGTTTGTTTTCAGCGCGGTGCTGTCTGACGCTTGGACTGCACGAGTGTAGATGCTACCGCTCCCGACCACGTCCATGGCACCTGATAGCTGACGAGCAGGTTCCGCTGCGACTCCAAGCCCGGTCATTGGCAAGCACACGAGTCGCGCTCAACCTGCAGAGCGCTGTGTCGATCGTCGATGCTGCCCTTGGTCTAACGATTCAGAGTGGCAGTGTTGACAGCAGGCACGCGCCGCTGACGCACAGCTCGAGGATCGCTTCGATTCGAGACCACGGCGACAATACGTGACCATTTCAGCGCACCGAATGCGACTTCTCCGGCACTGGCGTGCAGCTCAACTAGGCGTCGTGCAACGCGCATCTTAGCTTCCAGGACCTCGAGAGAAGCGTCCGTCGGGTCGCAGAGCCATTCCACAAAGTCCGCCATACTAGCCAACGCGACAACTCCGATTCTCGACAGACTTAGCGCAGCGAATACCGCCGCAGCAGCGAGCCGCTCTTCTTCCGAAGGATGCCGTGCACAGTCCAGGACAATGGGCAGTGCATTCGTGAACGCCTTGACGGCATCCGCATCCCTGATCGCATCAGTGAACAGATGCAGCACCCTTTGCTGCCGAAATTCGAGGTCGGATTCGGAGGCTCCGTACCCTGAGACGGCTGCTGATGAAAGCGGCTCGTCGAGACCTGCCAGGAACACACTCAAAGCACGCAAGGAGGCCACTCGAATATCGCACACGCTCGCCGTATGAATGAAACGAAGCGTTAGTTTCAAGGTGTCAACGTCCGCAAGCAGCACGTCCATGCCGCGTTCACAGAGCCCCAGAGCGCCTACCGCGGAGATCAGATGCACCAGCAGCGTCGTCCGACGAACTTGATCAAGTTGTACGGACCAGTGTGCTGTCTCAGTCTCGCCATCTACCACGTGAACCAAGAGAAAGCGCCCAAGAATCTCTACGAGATTGGCGTCCATCCAAGCGTGGAAGGCGCAACGGCTGGACCCGGCACTGGTGCGCACGAACCTCAGAATCCCACACATCCAAATAAACCAGCGTTCCGCCAAGTCGCTCGAGGCAGGCTCGTCTGGCGCCAACAAATGGGCAAGGTGTTGGCGTAGCAGCACATCGAATACCGAAATTTGGTCGAGCAACTCGGCTGCTATTGCACTGCGTTGCATAAAAGCCCCAAGCACATCCAGCAAGTTCAAGCGGAGTAGCAAGTCCTCATCCAAACGAACAGGAGCTGCGATTTTGGCTACAAGCACGGTTGGCAACAGCCGACGTGCGGCAATCTCTGCAACAGACGAGTAGTCGCAGATCTCAAGCAGCAAGCTCAAGGCTCGGATATGCGCAACCGCACCCGCTGCACCCGAGAGCATCTCCTGTACGAGGATTTGCGCGCCTCGTGCTTCGCTGAAGAGCACAACTGCGCCGCGGAACGGCTTCAGCTGTACCAGGTTCTTCAGGATTTTTTCACAAAGTCCCGCAGCTTCGGTGGATGGATCATCACGGAAGCTCAGCAGCACCAGTGACAGGATATCGCTGGCGTGCTGTGCAGTTGTGCTGGGAGCGTTCACTTCTGGACCTGGCGCTTGTGCGGCCTCTATCTCCGGACGAAGCTCGTTCGTACTTTCAAAACGTTCGATAATGGTGTCTGCAACTTGCTGACAAAACGCTTCAGGCAAGTCATTCCGTTCAAGAAGGAGACAAAGCAGACGAAGCGCAGCTGTGCGTACCAGCGGGTACCGGCTGCTCAGACCGAGCTGGATGAGCTGGAGCACCTGCTCTATAGGTACGAGGTGACGCACTCGGGCACTTGTTGCAGAAAGCTTGACCAGTTTCTCCATTGTTTTCGTTAATACCCGGATGGAATCAAATATGTTGTCAGAAGGTACCGCGTCGCTGTCTGAAGCCTCGAGCGACGCCCGCACCGCGTACTCCTCCAGTGTCCAGCCCAGCAGCGGTAACGGCAAACGCTCCAGCAAGTCCAGTGCCGCACACTCCGACAGTGCTCCAGCGTCTACATATTCCCTCACTGTATCCAATACTTTATCGGGAGTCCAGTCATTGTGGTGAGCGTTCATTCAGCAACAGGTTATCACGCTTTGAGATAGACATATCCAGAAGCAATCTCCTGATCGGCGGCGGGGCGCAGGTCAGCCGCTGCGCGTGCACGCGCACCTGGCAGATCCGGCGGGCACGAGACACGACGCTCTGGTCGCTCCTGAGGGGAACAGTGATCCTGATCATTGGCGTGCTATTCTACTGTAAAAGTTGTATTCGCGTTGAGGTCGTAGCAAAGTATAGGTTTTCTGTTCCATCCTATTCCGACCCTCAATTGAGTATATTCAAGTGTTTTTTCGAAGTATATAACAGAAGCGTTCAAAGAGCGTTCGTTTTCAAAAAAAATTAAAAGGAAAGTCATGGAAATGGAAGTGGAGGATCCCGGAGGGCCGATATCGCCGGCTGTCGGAAAAGAAGGATAAACATGGCGGAGCAAAGAGGAACAGGAATTGATGAAGAATCAAAAGGGGGCGAGGTTCTAGGTCGAAGGCGGCAAGAAAGGCAACTGTACAACGAGATAGTGGTGAAAGCCTGTGTTCTTAAATATATCAAGGATCCGTAGAAGGAAAAGTTGCGGGACGCCATCAAAAACCGTCTCGAGTCGTACTCCATGAGTATTATAAAGGCTTCTTCAGGACCGACGCATTTGGTGAGGGAGATGTATCGCTACGTGACGAACATGGAAACGGTCGGGATTCCGGACGAGTTTTTCGATAACACATTTTTTCGTCACTTGATGCTTGGCACAGGGGAAGAGCGGAAGGATATAAGAGCCAGTGCATGCCCTTCACGAACAACATCCCTTTTAGAGGTTCGAGGGTAATCGAAACAAGGGGGCAGGGGTATTTACGACTATGGGGCGATGAAGTACATCACGAACCTGAAGAACCATTTGACAACGAACCTCGAACGTTTCATGATACGCGCCGTGTTTGCACTCTACCGGGGCCTGTCTCGCAAAGGAATATGGGCGATTATCAATGGCATCATGAACGATCGAAACTATGGAAATGAGGTCGAATTCGTTGACAAGAAGGAGTCAAACCAGAGCACGAATGAGGATTCTGTAATCCGTGCGGCTATTAAAGAGCATCGTGCGGTCTTGGGGTTGGCGAATCCAGCAGAAAAGATATCAGCGTTGAAAAAAGATAGGGAAAGATACGATCGCCTCATTCTGCGCTATTCTGTGTTTCTGGACCGAGAGCTCGAACGCAAAGCGGAGATGAAGCTGAGTGAAGAGACAAAGGAAGAGTGGGAGAGACGGAAGGCTTTCCGAATGGGTAAGCGCTTCGACGTGGTTCCAATGTGCAAGATCAAGTCACATTTTATGACTATCGACTCCGGCCTCTTTTACGGCATCATGAAGGAGATCTGTCCGGAGTTCGATGTAAGGAAGACAGAGTTCCCCGGTGAAAACCGTGAGACGTACTGGAAGAATATCTTCGATTTCAAACGTCTCAAAGTCAGCAAACAAAAGGTATTCACTGGGTTGATCGAAACCGATGGAGTAGCCACGTGTGTACAATATCGGCGCTTGAAGAAAAATCGTCCAGTTCCGCCCTCGGCTTCGCCCGTTACGAAGCATGAAGATGAGAAGGAGTCGGATCCAGCGATGCAGGAGGTAGAGGATAACGACCTAGTCGTTGACGCGGAGAAGCATGAAGATGAGACGGATGCGGATCCTGCGATGCAGAAAGTGCAGGGTAACGACTTTGTCGTTGGCGCGGATCCCGGAAACACAATATCATCACCATCGCAGTACCCAAGCATGCGAAAGATGATATCAACGGCAAATTATTCCAGAGCGACATGCGTCGGTTGAGGTCCTCTAGAGCAAGATAATATCGAAAAAAGTCGGGAATCATGAATGCAAGAAAGAAAATCGAGACGTAGAATGCAGGAATGAAAGGGCACCTGGAAGCTTTGAGCGAGGTGACGAGCCGCAGAGCGGACTTTCAAGCTTTTCCGGAATTCATGGAAGTTCGTGTTGCTCATTGGGAGGCGCTGTGGAAAGAACATACAAAGCCTCGGTGAGCTCGATTGCGTATGAACCTATACGGTGGGAGGCAGCGGGCGTTTGCCAACTTTTTCAATCATTTGAGCGCCCTCTAAGAGATTGAAAGTCAGAGGCCCGTAGTAGCTTATGCAACAGGGCGCTGAGCGCCCAAAAAAGTACGTACACCAGCTCCAACGACGAGAGCGTACAAAGAGTGTGCAAGGCGTTACGTAACGATACCGATAGATGAGTTCCGAACAGCGTATGTGCATTATGAACTGGGGTGCGTACTTCAGACGGTCGAAATGGAAAAATGCCAACGGAGTCCTGAAGACATAGCAAAGTACGGGCCGCTGACCGAAGAGCAAATGGGAAGGAGAGCGAAAGTTCGAGGACCACTTTCATCAGTAAGTACAACCAATGATGGCAAGACGCGTATGGAGTTTGTGAATCGTGACTTTAACGCCGCTATCAATATACGGAAGTGCGCGGTGCTGGAGAGAAGGCGTCCACAGCTGACACGAGAGCGCTTTGTTGGACAATTACTCAAAGCCGAACTATATGAGAAACAGTTGGAAGCAGTAGTAGGTGGCCGTTCCAAAAAGACCGGGAGACTTCTGCGCATCAGTTGTAGACGTTTCGTCTAGGGCGGGTTTCTCGCCACTACTGTGCACCGTTGGCAGGAACGCTTTTCTTTGGAAAGGCGTTTGATGGTGTACACGGATGCGTGCATGCGTGCGTGCATGCGTGCGCAACATCCCGCTCACAGTGAATACGCACAAAGCATTGTCGTTGTTCGCCGTGCAGTGCCGAGAATGCTGCACCGCTGCAACAGCAGTGCGCGTCTCTTGGCACTGCTAAGCGCGCTTCGCCTGCATGTCGCCCATACACCGTCGTTACGGACCCAGCGACTGCATCATGGGCGCTGCATTAGTGGCAAACCATCGGTGTCTGGTTCACCGCCAGGAAAGCAGAGTCACCCGCGCCTGCATGGGTGGCGTCTAGCGTCGACTTGCGGTCGCCGGCGATGCTTCGGTTGCCGCCAGCTGACGAAGCGCCTGCAACGGGCCCTGCATACGCACCCCATGGCGCTCCACACGGTCCGAGTCCGGAAAGAACGACAGAAAATGACGCAGCTGACCGTACCAAAACTTGACAAGCGGCGCGAGCGCTTCCGCGACCGTCTCATCATCCCGAATATACACCTGAAACACATCCCATTTGAAGATGTAACTGTAGCAGGTGAGCGCCAGTTGCAAAACCGTATCGCTCTGATCGCGCAGGGCGTAAAACACCAACTCATCCGTGCAGTAGTGTGCCTCGAAGAGCAACGCTGCGTACGCAATGGTGGCGCCCGCCGCCCCGCCAACGACACCAGTTGCGCGGCGGACGCGCTCGAGCCAGACGATCAGCGGTTCGCGCTCGTCGCGATCCTGGCCGTGCTGTCGAGCGCGAAGGCGATGCACCAGGTCGCCGGCACCGCGCTCGCTTGCCGTTACCGCCAGATGCATAGAATCGGTCCCGGCACCGGGGGTTCTCGGACGCTGGTACGGCGCCCAGAATGCCGCAAATTGGCAGAGGAAGCGACTGACCGTCTGTTCCAGCACATAGACGCGCGTTCGCGGCGGCGCAGCACTGAATTCGGGCACGGCGCTGCCGCTGCCGCTACCGCCACCAACATGCAAACGCAGCCGAATCCAGAAAAATTCACGGGGGCGTCTTCGGTTGTAGATGGAGCAGTGTTCTTCGATGTATTTCTCCGAGGGTGCTTGCTCGGCTACCACACTGAGCCGTGGCTCGATGGACAGCGTTCCTGGTTGTACCTCCGTGACCGCAAAGAACAGCGCCGAGGAGCGCAGCTCATACAAGTGATGAACTCCCGGTACCAGCGTTTCGATGAAAAGCTGCATGCTGGGCATCGGTTGCCACGCCAGATTCGGCACAGTGAATGAAACGTCGTTCGTTGAGACGCGAAGCTCCGGCGCATGGCACGCACATCGAATCTCGATGCACTCCTCGAAGTCTCGCACCAGGCGACAACTCACATAGAGATGGAACGTCCGCGTCACTACACTGCCGCAGAGCTGATCAGTCTCCGTCGATTCCGGTTCGGGTCGCAAGTACAGAAATACTCGGCGAGAGGAGGCTTTTTCAACCCAGACGCTGGTGACCTTGCGCAGCGCCAGATTGCTGGTGCTGAAGTGCAATTCGCTCCGAGATTGCGGATCCAGATCGTGGCGCAAGAGGAACTCCAGCGGCTGATCGCTCAAGTTTCGAATGCGTATCGACTTGTTTCGATAGACGTGGTGCAACATGACGGCACCATAGTCGATCTCTCGTGGACTGGTCTCGAAGATCGTCGACGCATCAGCTCGCTCGGCGACGACTTCCATGCGAACGCGCAAGAGCGCCAAGTTCGCTGGCGATTGGCGATCCGTGAATAACAAATACTCCTGGAAGAACCCCAAAGACTCCGGTTTCATGGTCAAGCAAATCGTCTGGCTGGGTCGTGTCCGTTCGAGAATACCACCCATGCGATCGAGCGCGAACCATTCGGTCGATTCCGGACGCGCACGCCGCCAGTGCGTCGGGACGCGATGAATCTTGTACTCGAGAACGTGCTCAGCAGTTGATGCGCTCGCCTCGCTCTCAGACTCGGGATCTACCGATGTGGATACAGGCATGCATCGTTGCAGCGGACGCTGCACGATGATGATTGTCCGTTGAATCGCTTGGCTCCCGAGTGGTACAACACCAGCGTCGAGTTCGTAGAGGTGCTCACCAATGTCAGCACAGCCGTGGAGACCGAATGTGCGCGGGCCCCGCTGTGGTGCTGTTTCGTCTGCGTCCACGCAGGTGGTGGTGGTGGCGGCGGCGGCTGCGGCGAAGACGTCGCCATGGGTCTCCGAATCATCGATCGCGGCCATTGGCTGCTCTGGTGCTGATAACGTATCCTTCGGATGCAAGCCGGGAGCAGTTGCAGCGTCGGAGGCCTCAGCGCTAAACGAAGCGCTGACCGGCTCTTGCTCGACACCGGCTTGCGCTGCTGCGCCAGTCGTGCACGAACTCGTCGCCAAAGTCGCAGCAGTCATGTCAGACTGCGGACTCGTCGCCAATGGCAGGCGCTCGGGGTGCCCCACGCGAGGCGCCGCAGCTTGTCGCTCACCGACGACAACCGGTTCCAGTGCCGCGGCGTCCGTGCGGGATTCGTGCGGCTCCTCTGCCGCCGCCAGTGGCACCGGTGACTGCTGCACACGATCATCGCGCGTTTGCAAGTCGTCCCGATTGGACGCTTCTCGTGCCTCGGATTGTGACGAGGCTCGCGTGTCGCTCATCATCATCATCATCATCATCGACGTTGTCGGTGGCGGTGGCGGTGCATCGGAAGTATCCGCGGGCACCATGACCTGTTGCATCGGCAGTGACCGCTTTCCTTGGTACACCGGGATGCGCTCCAGAGGGCCCGCCTCGGCGTCCTGTTTTCGTCGCAGAGCTAACTCAATCCAGGCGATCGGCTCCGAGTCGATGCCCAGATCCAGGCTTGGTGCTGCCGCAGCGGCCTCCGCGCCTCCGACCGAACAGCCCGCAACACGTTCATGCTCGGTTTCTTTGGGCGTCGCCACTACCGCCAGTTCGAACTTTTCACCACTGGCGAGCGTTAGCGAACGTAACGTCGCTGAACTGGCACGATCTTGGAGCACAAGGTCTCGATAGGGCCCGGTAGGTACCACGCTTGTCTGCCAAGTGACCTGAACATCACCACGAGCAGCCTCGGGAATGCTGATCGCCAACGTGCCGTGGCCTTGCTCATTGAGCAGTACCGGACTCGATTCCTGTATCAAGCGAACGGAGAACTGACCAACAATGCGGAGTTCCAGGTGCTCTTGCGGTTGCCAGACGTTCTCAATTGTCACCAGGAGCTCAAATGGACCAGCTCCCAGCGATAGCGCCGCTGGCCGCACCACGAGTGGTACCCAGACTTGCTCACCGGGCTCAAGTTGGCCTTCAAGGGCGCTCGCATCCGCTTCATGTAGCAACGACATGCGCGTCTGAGTCGGTACCAGTTGCGAGGTTGCAGCGGTCGCCGACGTCGATGCGGAGGCGCCCCTGCGATCCACGTCTGCCGAAGCGGCTTCGTGCGGGGGCACGCCCATACGCGTTCCGCTTGCGTATGCATCTCGAAGATCTTGCGCTACTGGTGGCGTCATGACGTCGGCACTGGCGCTGGGCGGCACGAGTGTCTCAGATTCGGCATCGGGATGAGGCGAGCTCCAAGTCGCCTGCGGCCGCCACGACGCCTCTAGCGAGGCTGCATGCCACGCATCAGGTGCGTCTTTGGAGACGTTGCCCCTAGTGCCATCAAAACGATGCTCAATGGCACTGGGCTCGAGGTGCGGCGTCTCCAGGGCCGGCCTCTGTTGCTCGTTTGGAACAGGGCTGGCTCCCGGGGGTCCCGCTTCGACCCCTGGCGGCAGTACCGAGAACGGCAAACGCCAACGTGCAGCGACTGCGCCCACGTTCCGAAGTAGAGCGTGCACCACCACGGGAGCGTTGCGCTGCGCGTACCCGATGGTGCCAATGTCGATCGTCGGGGTCACCAGGGCCATGCGCGCACAGCCGTATCGCAACGATACCGGAACGCTATCGAGATAGCGTCCGGCGAGCTGGGCCACAAGCAAGGCGCGTCGTTCGACGAGCGAGCCCTCGCGAAGCAGATCCCGTTCGCGTTCGTGGAGCAGCGACGGCACCAGCTGGTAGCGAAGCACCTCGGCCGGAACCGCTTCCCAGAACACGCCGTTGAGTCTCGGCTCTGTCAGATTCGGTAGCATCCGCGCTTCTTCTTCTTCTTCTTCTGCTGCTGCTGTTGCTGATGATGATGACAGCGGCGGCGAGTCCGAGCCACACGCAACATGCGGCCAGGGCCAGTGTTCAGGAAAGCCATCTACATACAGGCGAAATGAGACGCCTTGGGGTGTTGCTATGGTTGTTATTGCTGCTGCTGCTGCTGCTGCTGACGACGACGACGACGACGGCGAATCGTCGTTGATCCAGCGAATGTGCCAGTTGCCGGGACGCACTTGCCCCATCGTATCCGCTCGAAGCAGACAGGGCTCGTTAAGCTCCAGGTGCAGACGCGAGAGCCGACTATCCTGCTGCACTGCCGGCACCCGATGCACAAATACCAACTGCAAGTCGTAAGATCGACGCGAGTACGCCAGGTTCTCGAGGCGCACCCGTTGCTCGAGGAGCGCTGCTCGCCTGCAGTTACGCCACTCGAAGGTCAGCACATCTTGAGACTGGGGAGCGATGGTGATTTGCTGCTGAGCAAATACCAGAGATGGTTGTTGCTCGCAATCTTCGTCCTCGGGGGCGTCATCAGGCACGGCAGGATCAGGGCGTCGCTCATCAACAGTGACCTCCGAGCCAAGTTCCGAGCGCCCGAGATCGTCACCGGCAAAGGCGTGGAGCACGGAACGCTCTTCATATCGAAGTTGCAATCTGAGCGATAATCCATTGCTGAGATTACGAATTTGTAGTCGGCCTCGAGCACCAAAGCGGAACCAGGCAGTCTGGAACAGATGCGATAGGCCCGGACGCCGTTCCCCCGATCCAGTGACTCCATCTGCGATACCGGAACTAATACTTTGCTTCCCGTTGAGGTCCACAAGTGCTTGCAGCGTTGCAGTCGGCCACAGTGCAAGCAACTCGGGCGCCGGTCTAATCGGGTGTCGTTGTCGCAGTCCACGCCGCTGCTCTGCTGTGAACGCATGAGTATCCTGCACGTAATGAATCGTCGCGATCGCGTTCTCCTCTGTTGAGAACGCTTGCGTATCCTGCACATCATCAGTGGATTCCATCACACTGTCTGCAACTCGACCGCGTACACCTCTGTCGGCCTCTGTGACTGCAATCGGGCCCGTTACCCCGAGCACCAGCACCAGTGATCGCAAACACACTGGGTAGACGAATCCCGCCCGGGCCTTCAGTTTCACCGTAGCGATATCCACGAGCGCAGCTTGCGCACATCCAGCATCCAGGGACGCTTCGCTCTGGACTGGATCAGGGCGCCAGGCTCTCAGCAGGAGCCCCGCAACGAGCTCCCGAACAACCCCTGCATATAACTCAAGAATCGGAATGCGTGGTGCGAGACCCACGTGCACGGTAACCGTCGCGCCCGGTGCAACGCGGACTGCTCGCGGGAACGGTGTCTGCCGCATCGCGTCTGTGAAAAGCAGGATCTGTTTCGCCAGGTTGCTCCGAACCTGTAACATTAACGGTTCATCGCTTCTCGAGACAATCGTGAGGCTCCGCACCGCACACACACCACCCTGCTCGGGGTCGAGAGCGAGATCACCCCAATCCCACACGAGTACGGTCGAAGAGGCTCGTAGCGGCTCCGATGAAGGCGCCGCTTCCCTCTGAACACCAATCGATGATAGCTCGACGGCACTGGATTCCAACTGAGGCAGGTACAGCGCCCGACGAGGCAGCACATGACCCTGTACCCGAACACGCACCGTCTCAACTGGTGCAGTCGAGGCTGGCGAGGTGCCAACCCAGCCACCACCACCACCACCACCACTACCACCACTGTTCCCGCCGGAGCGTCCAGTGGCGTGCACGAGGCGACTCGCCGGAGCGCCCACCAAAGCCTCGGTCGCTGGTTGAAGCCAGGCGGTTACCACCAGCGTTCTCGATAGTGTACCCATGCGGTCGGGGCGAAAACTGAGGCGCACCTGGGCAACACCGTGCACGTCGACGGTACCGCGCATGGGACTCCAGAGCAGCGTGGCAGGAAGCGCCACCTGCGTATCCTCCAGCACCGAGAACGCAACCTTTCGATCAGAAACGTTCTGGATCGTCAGGCGGCTGGTCACCGTCTGACCGAGCGACACTTTGCCAAACGCGATCACCAGCGGTGATATCTGAATGAGTCGCGAGCTCCCTGTGCGCTCCACGCGTCTTGCGGTACTGGGCAGAACCGGTACCGTTTCCGCAAATGCAGGCCAACGTCCGGCGCTATCTGGTGACCCATTCCAGTCACTGGACACGGTGTCGTTGCATGCGCTCTCGTGCGCGGAGCTTCTCGTCGCCATCACGTCTTGTTCAGGGACGACGTTTGACGGAGCGTCGTCGCTCGTTGCCGTCGGTGGTACCGCAGGGTCCGAATCCCAGACCTCCATTGAACAGCAGATACATTGCTGCTCATCCCGATTACGTTGTTCAAACACACGCAGAGATACTTGTCGACGACCTCGTACGCCTGCAACCGACGTCAGCGACACAGCCAGACGAGCGACTTGACCAGGAGCAAGCGTAACGACCAAGCGCCCGGCATGAAGCGCGGTTGCTGCCCTGCGTGAAGCAGTAGGTGCCGCTCGAGGTCGCATCCCCGAGACACACGTCGATGCCTCGCGGACATTCTCCGGTGGCATCGAATGCGCTTCTGGAGCGTCCAGCTCGGTGACCGACTCACCTTGCGTCAGCGTTCTTGTCGATGAGTCCGCATCCTGCAACTGATGCGTTCGCTGCTGTGCGATTGCTGCACGGAGGCGCTCCACTTTTTCCGTCCGGCCCTTTCTTTCGGCGATACGGAGTTTCTGTTCCAGTGCCTCGATCGCTGCGTTGGTATCAAGGGACGTCTGCATCGATCCGGGTATAGCACCAGCACCAGCGAATAGCGCTTGTTCCTGCTCATGCGCCTGCGGCAGCATGGAAGCAGCAACAGATTCGGCTAGTGCCGCTTCGGCGACGCGTCCTCCACAGGCGCTGCGTTCGTTATCCGGGGTCTCGTGCGCTCGCGATTCCCCGTCGTACACTGACGAGTGAACCACAGACTCGGAAGGCGTTGCTGTTTCGGTTGCTTCCGTTCCTGGTCCGGGCAAGAACGCCGGCCGAGACTCACCAGGCTGCACGCGAATCGACATCGAGGACTCGAGAGCGTCCACCGCAAGCCACACCGTGGCTGTCGTCCGTTGATCAGCAGCGTCCTGCTCGATCACGAAGACACGCCGACGATCCGAGCAGTTCTGGAGCTGAAAGGAACGCCGTATGCCAGCACCGGGCGCTACTGCACACGATACGCTCCCAAAGTCGAGCTGCAGCGGTCGCACGACAAAATGGGTACGGCGGTGTACGAGTGCCTTCATGGTTACCGGATGGGCATCGCTGGGATCCAGCAGATTGACAATCCAGACACACTCCTCGAAGGCACCATGAAACGAAGGCCGAAATACGAAAGGAACTTCCTTGGCACTGAACGGCCGCAGAACTCCGCGCCGATCAGACCCAAAGTGCAAATAACTGCTATCCACAGAACCAGACTTGCGTACAGCGTAGAAAGCCGGCATCTCCGATACGTTCTGCAGAAGCAGCGTCTTAGATCGTTGCTCACCTGCGACGATACCCCCAAAGTTGATATGCGGCTGGGCAACTTCCATTCGAGAGATGCAAACCCGACCTCGCAGCACCAGCTCCCGTGGCGGCAAAGACGACGCATGCAGCCGTGTCGGTGTCAGCGGGAGACGACTTTGATCATAGTCCACGAGGTGCAGATAGAGGCGCTCCTCAAAAGGACGCAGTTTGGTGCGCAGTCGGCGGTCGGCGGCGTCGAACTGGATAACCACATAGAGGGTTGCCTCGGCGTTGGGCTCGATCTCCAGCTGCTGCTGTTGTATCCGTCGGAGCAGGCCTGCATCACACGCCTGGACCAGCGCTTGTGCGGGACGCAGCGACTCGCGAATAAAGTCTGCTTCTGCTTCGGCAGTCGAAAAGAAGGATGGAATGGCGGGCGGCATCCGCATCAGCTGCGCGAAAATGTCAGCGGCACGTAGACTCACTGGTGAGGTTTCGTTTCTACCCAGTTCGTTTGAGTCTGAGGTCTCCGACAGCGTCTCCTCATCTGAATCACTGGAAGCCTGTGATCGACGACGCCGAACTGTCTGCCGCAAACGGACGCTATGTCGATACCGACGACGATGATGACGAGACGGCTGCAGAAGCTGACTCGCGCCCGTTCGCGAGGCATCACTGGAGTGCTCACCCGCCGACGCATTTCGTACTGGTGTGCAGAGGCGCGTTCCGGTTGTCGTCGAATCAGCGGCTGCCGCTGTACCTGGAAGAGCCATCGCTTCCTCAGTGTGCTCAGTAGACTGTGTTTCGACGCCCGTGTTACGCCACTGGGTCCGTGCTCGAGAAGCAGGTGCCGCTGCTTCCGTCGCTTCCGTAGCCGTGCATGCCTCGTTGCCAGACGTGCGAGCCGAGCACTGCAGCTGCACACCGTCCGCTACGACATGCGCTGCAGGGGCAGGTGCCGCTGCCTCTGCATCCGCCAAGGCAGCGTGCGGTAGACAAGCTTCCGTTGGTAACGTCGCTGGTTGGCGTTGCTGTTCCGAAGCGTCCTTTTCGGAGATTGACGGGTGCGGTTGAGCGCGCTCGAACCGGGGATCCGCGAGCAGCTCCACATGCGGCCGTGCCGGGCAGGTAAAACCCAGGACAAGGCGCTTGTCGGTCAGGTTCCGCACCTGAAAAGCGCGAATGTACGCGTGACCAGCCACCACGTTCCCGTAATCAAGCTCATTCACCTGGGTGGAACGCTCGGTAGCAAGTCGGTAGAAGAGCGCGTGGTAGAGCACGCGAAAGCGGTCGACACAGTTCGCGCGTATCACCACGACATGTTCATCGCGAGGATTCCGCAAATTCAGTATCGTCAACTGTTTGCTATAGTCTGGATTCACACGATGCGGTGTAAAGTCGATCCGGAGATCATAGATCTGGCGAGGGCCAATGATAGGCTCAAGCGATGCCACCCGGAGCGACGTCGAGGAGAAGCGCACCGAGAGAAAGGCTGGGAGGTCGGCAAGGTTCACCACCTGCACAGACGTGGTCACTGTGGATTCCACGTAACAGTCGCCCAGGTGAATTTCCGTCGGATGCACCCGCACGAGTGACTCACTGACTCGCGCTCGTCCGTAGAGTATTTTGCGCTGGGCGAGTACCTCTCCGTCGTCGAGAGCGTCGCGTCCCGAAAGCGAACGAAAAGGCACAACCTCTTCACCAGAAGTTGCCGACGACGTGTTTGCGGCTGGCATCCAGGCAGCTGCACCAGCGGGTACGGTGCTGGGCGCGCAGGCGCTCCCGTCCAAGAGGTCGGACCTGAGCTCAGCGCCATTACCCTGCTGGTGCTGTTGTTGTTCGTACATGGTGCGTTCGCTGGCGCTTAGCGCGTGCAGCGACGCCCGTTCTGGAGCGCTCTGGAGGCCGGCATCTGGCGCGGATACCGCACTGTCGATTAGCGGCTCTTGCTGCTCGTCCCCGAGCGGAAAGCGACTCGCTGCAACTCGCGAGGCAGCGCTCCCAGTGCTCGTTCCGCAGACGCGATCGGATCCCAGCAAGCCGGTGTCATCGGTGTACCCCGCTGGTCCAGGGAAGACATGCTCGAGCACCTCGCTCGGTGAACCAGGAGTTGTCGCTTCTGATTCCATCGCAACTCGCTGCGCTCTGGTACGCTCTGGTACCTCGGACGTCCTGAGCATTACCCAGAACACCAGAGGGAAGCGCCTCTCCACAAAGCGTCCATCTACTGCGGCGATCACTGCCTGCGAGCGCAAAGGTGGTTGATAAACAATCCGAATGGGACGTGCCTCCTTTGCTGGGACCTCGACCGGTGCAACAGGTACAATGGACCAGCGGGCGGCTAGCTCTTGGTCCATGGATATCAGAATTGTAGCGTCAGTTGCACAGTTCTGCACAACAAGGTCGCGCGCAACTGTCGAGCCAGCGTACACGTCACCAAAGTCGAGTTCATCGATCGCCACACTCGCCGGTTGTTCAGCTAGGCGAAAAACGGCCAGCGTGGCCGGTTTCTGGATACCGCACAGGCAATGGATGGAGAGTAGCGCTTGATTCTCCGGATTTCTCCAGTTGAGGCACCGTACTGTATACTGGAAACGCCCGCATTCCGTAGCTTCCAAGGCAAAGCGCAATCGTCGGTACTGCAGACCGCCAATTCGGTGAGGTCCCGGCCCCAGAGGCACGCCACTCTCCAGGTCGGTGCACGTTAGACTGCCGCTCTTGGGTTGAATTTGTAAACTGAACTGGGTAGCCAGCTCACTTTGGTTCCAGAGAAGCACATCCTTGGCGGTCGTTGTTTGCGATACGGGCACCTCGAGCAGTAGCGTCTTCTCGACGCTGGGGCCTGACTCTATGCCTTGGGTCGCTTTCGCGTTGACGGGTGTAGCGGCATGCCGCAGGTCGCCACTAGACTGGTCCATGCGTCCACTGTTGTTGTCGGTAGGCGTTCGCGGACTCGCAGCGCCTGTTGCTCGCTCCTCCCCGCCGGTATCCCGTTGCAGCGGTGCGGTCGCGTCGGGCCGGCTGTCCAGCGTGAAGGTGAGCAAAGAACGAATAACACGGCCGTTCACAGGTAACGAGCAGAGCAACGTTCCGTCTGGTACAGATGTGAGGTTGATCAGGCCGTGTACGCGTTGGAAGCTGAAGCCAGCTTGCCGAACTAGTTCAGGTTTGACCTGTACGATTACGGGCAAAGGTTCCGTCTCTGCGGTTTTCGGAACTTGGAACGTTTCAGTCAAGTTCAGCTCGTGAAAGAGAGCGTTTTGCTGGGCATAGGGGACGTCCCAGTTGGCGTTCTCGCGCTGGAAACAGATGAACGGAGCTAGCGGGCCTTCTACGCTGATGCGCACCACCAGTGGCTCTGTCGGACTTGCTGCTCGTGTTCGCTGTAAGTGCACGAGAAAGAGCGTCGGTATTTCCGCGGTGAGCTCTCCGAGTTCCAGTACACGCTCCCTGAAGACCACTGGAACGTCGGGAGGTCGCTCTTGAGCCGATTCGCCAGCGGTTTTTGTAGCGCTTGCCATGAGCATCAGGATTTTTGTCGATACGCTGTCGTTGTACCAAGTCGTAGCGTCCACGACGCCTCGGGTAACTGCTCAACGGTCTGAGTGCGAAACGCAGCGACTTTTGCGCGCAAGGCGCTGCCAAAGAACCCAGTGCGAAGGTCGGGTTCGCCTTACGTAACCAATTAGCACGCTCACAACAGCGGTTCACAGTAAAACGCGTTCCGAAATAGAGTCCTCCGCGTTTCACGACTCGTCTGCGTTGGATGATGCGCTCAGTAGACGCTTGTTTACGAACTGCGTCTCATCATTGAGGTTACACGTTGGACAAGGAAAAGGTCGTCAGCGCGACGAAGTCAATGACCTCCTCAAAGTCTACCGGGTGTCTTGTTCTCTGGTGGACGCAAGTACGTCACACAACTTGACCAGTAAAGTACTGACCCTGGTACCGGTACCCGCGTCCAACGAACAGCGTAGTTGTTGTCGTCGTTGCCGCATTCGTACACAGCGGGCAGCGATCATCGACTGCAGATCGCGTCGCTTCGTGGCGAAGCCAGATGCCAAACGCTTGAAAAGCGGGCATTGTGTTTGCGTTTCAAGTGCCGATCTTGACAGTCTGGTGTCACTTGGGGAGCGTGGACTCGCTCGACTGTGCTCGATACAACAGCTGAACGCAGGAACCCTGCTGCCTGTGGAGACTGTGTGTGCGTCCACCACGAAACAGTCGGAGGCGTCCACTGCACCCGGGGGCACACCTGGAGCTCCCGGTGAATCGCTTCGTTCTTCTCGTTGCCAACGGTTTTACCGGTGATCTGGTTTCTACTGGGGCGTTCAGCGTAGTTTTCTGTAGAGCGTCGTGCTTCTCGGTGGTGCCTGGTGACGATTGCAGCGAGCTCGCGCCGGGGACGTTCCATAGTCTCTGGAGCGCACTGAGCGCCGCAGCCGACACGCTCCAGACCTGCTCCGGCAGTCCCGCAAAGATAACGTGCGACTTGTCGCCTTAAAATTTTCTCTGTGGCAATATGGTGCTACGATTCAAAGGATTGCACCGCGGAGCAGCCCGGGTACCCGTGTTTCGATTTGCGCAGCTGGCGACTGGCTGCCGCTCTCCGCGGCCACCGCAGTGCCTGTCCAGCGCTGCTGGACTTGCTGGGCTGCACCAGCGCTGCTTTCATACGACCGTCCTGTCGAGACAGCGCGGCACTCCGTTGCACCACGTGAGGCAGACTTTTCGCAACACCCCTGGGATGATGCATCCGCGGTGCCGCGCTCCGAGCGACAATACATACAGGCAGCGAGCCGCTTTCGCCACGCTATTCGAAACTCCGAAAAGACTTGTGCACGGGGATGTCAGCGCTACCCCAACACCCACGATAGCACCAGGGTCGATTCGTCTAGCGAGCGATCTCGAAAGGGATTCGAAGGTTCTTGTCTATAGATCACTGCATCGTTTCGAGCCGTCCTGTTTTGCTTCGGTATCCAGGGCGCTCTTGGATGCACCCTTTAGACCGGACGTTATCCACCGGGTGGTGCTCTACCAACGGGCCGCACAACGTCGAGGGACAGCGCATACCAAGACAAGAGCAGAAGTGTCCGGGTCTGGTCGAAAACCTTGGGCACAGAAAGGCACCGGAAGGGCCCGCGCGGGAAGTCTCCGTGCACCTCAGTTTCGGGGCGGAGGTGTTGCGCACGGCCCACGCGCTGATCGCATATGGGCTCAGAGACTACCCAAGAAGGTTCGCTGGCTCGGTTTGGCCTCTGCGCTTACACGACGTTTTCAAGAGGGACGTCTCTGGGTCCTGGAACGTTGGTGCAACGGGTCACCGCAAGAACATGCACCCACAAACATATGTCTGGATGTTTCGGATTCATCCGATACGCGTTCGAACGCGTCCACGGCTGCCGCTGACTCGACGGAGGATGCGCTAGCGGGGACTTCAACAACGAGACATCTGCAGCCTTCGGTAGCTTTGGTACATGCCGACCAGCTGGAACTCTTTCTGCGTGAGAGAGGATGGCGCTCACTGCTCATCATTGGTGCTAGTCTCCGAGATCGCTCTTCCGTCGATGACGCAGACAACGCTCAAAGCGTCAATATCACAAATAGATCAATCAGCTTTGCGGATCTAGACCCTGGTACTGCTGAGGGTCTCTGGGACCTCTGCGGGCGACTGGGTCGCGATAGCCTCTCAGAATGGCACCAACTTGAACGAGCAGCGAGAAACCTGGATGCGAATGTTCTGTTGCGCACGTCACTATCCGTGGGCGTGTACGACCTTGTGCGTTACCCGCACATCCTCATCACCGTGAATGCCTTGCGCGAACTGGAGTTGCGAATACGGGGTCAGTCTCGAGTGCTTGTCCAGGCAATGCGACTGGGCTCCCTGCGGTACGCGCTTCAACCGAGTTTGCGACAGGGATCGGTTGGAAAACCTTAGACGAAGGAAAAGCTATGGAAGAATTTGAGGTGTTCTCGGTGAAGCTGGTGCTTTCGGATGACCAATGCATGAGTGTGTGTGTGTTTGTTTTCGTAGAATGGTGCTCGTATGAGGGCAAGAGCAGCACCATGAACACGTTCCAGATGCAAGGCACGAACTCGGATCGCATGGACAATGCATCTGTATACTGCAGCATGATCATCTCGAAGTGGTAATCGAACGATGTTGACACGGTTGCAAACGCTAGAACGGCAACATCTCCTTTGCTTTTCTCGACGCACGTGCAGCGCCATGATGCCCATTGCGTATCTGACACCGCTTCCTCTGCTGCTTACTGTGCATCGTTTTCCGCACCATATGGACGACGCCGCTCGTAAGGCATTCGCGAGCGCCCGCGTAACTTGGACGAGGGAATGCGTCCACCAAGCGCAAGCGCTCCCTACGACTCTGTTTAAATGCCGTTGCTTGGAATAACCGCACATGCCGACGAGGAATCGCGGCACTAGAGGCCCGTGTCGAAGCACGGTCTCGGTTTGCGTGCTCAATAGAAACGCAACAAACGTGCCTTTCTTTTTTTGTGCTGGCTTTCCAGAACGCGATCAGGTCTGTGCCGCTGTTCCCGGGAAAGCGCACATCCCATCTTTTCCTGGTATGAGAAACAGGAGTTTCGTGGTGATGCGAAACGCAACAAACGTGCCTTTCTTTTTTTGTGCTGGCTTTCCAGAACGCGATCAGGTCTGTGCCGCTGTTCCCGGGAAAGCACACATCCCATCTTTTCCTGGTATGAGAAACAAGAGTTTCGTGGTGATGCGAAACGCAACAAACGTGCCTTTCTTTTTTTGTGCTGGCTTTCCAGAACGCGATCAGGTCTGTGCCGCTGTTCCCGGGAAAGCACACATCCCATCTTTTCCTGGTATGAGAAACAGGAGTTTCGTGGTGATGCGAAACGCAACGAACATGCCTTTCTTTTTTTGTGCTGGCTTTCCAGAACGCGATCAGGTCTGTGCCGCTGTGCCCGGGAAAGCGCACATCCCATCGTTTCCTGGTATGAGAAACAGGAGTTTCGTGGTGATGCGAAACGCAACAAACATGCCTTTCTTTTTTCGCACTGGCTTTCCAGAACGCGATCAGGTCTGTGCCGCTGTTCCCGGGAAAGCACACATCCCATCGTTTCCTGGTATGAGAAACAGGAGTTTCGTGGTGATGCGAAACGCAACAAACATGCCTTTCTTTTTTTTGTGCTGGCTTTCCAGAACGCGATCAGGTCTGTGCAGCTGTTCCCGGGAAAGCGCACATCCCATCGTTTCCTGGTATGAGAAACAGGAGTTTCGTGGTGATGCGAAACGCAACAAACGTGCCTTTCTTTTTTCGCACTGGCTTTCCAGAACGCGATCAGGTCTGTGCCGCTGTTCCCGGGAAAGCACACATCCCATCTTTTCCTGGTATGAGAAACAGGAGTTTCGTGGTGATGCGAAACGCAACGGCCGCAATACGGCCTCTACCTCCACCCGAACCAGATGAGAACGGGGTATTGCATTGCTCGCGCTGCTCCTGCCTTGAGATTTCTTACCGCCCGCTTCGTGGATATACAGCCTCTACATTTGCAATCCATGACAAAGCACTTTCGTATACATATGGAGTTGTAGGAGTCTCGGTCATGTTTTCGGAGTGCTTGTGTCGATCCGTTGCCGCTCGGGATTCGTCGTGCCATCGGATTGGAGCGGATTCACGACGACCTCGAACACGACTTTGTAAAATCGTCGATGACGTCATCAGAGTCGGACGTGAAAAAATCCACGCTTTTCGATTCCCTCAGTGCTCTATACGCAAACGACACACGCTTCAACTCGATCGTTCTGATTCAGGGCAATTCGTGGGCACGGCAATTCGTTCTGATGAATCGATGAGGAAAGAAAACTCGATGTCGTGCTTTGACGACTGGGTCACGAGCATATACCGAATGTTCATTGGGCTTCTCACGTCAATTCATCGATATCGTTCGAAAGAGAAATCCTCTTCTCTTTGTGGTCAACGATGAAGCGGCATTCTACAGCAGCAGCGTGAGACGTCTCAGAAGCTGCTCCCCGAGGCTTCCGTATCCTCTGTTTGCCTGGGTACGGGTCTTGGACGCAAACCAGAGTCACTACAGCGATCGATAGCTTTGGAGCGTGCGTCACCGCCTGGAACGACGAGCGTGCAGATGGGACGAAATGTCTCGACTAGTTCCGCAACCTGGGTTTTCCATCGGCTGCCTGTTTCATCGATGAGCTAAATCGCTTTCTCCAATTCCGCAATCGAAACGAATCGCGCGCACTTGCATATGCAGCAGACAGCAAAGTCGCGGCGAGCATCGCTCAGAAGAAGCCCGTGATCTTCGGGTACAGCAGCGAGCGCGGAAACAGAACAGGGCATCCATCGGTGCCGTCAGCAACTTCCAAGGACGCGTGTGTCGAGCCGTGAAGCACGGGGTCACGCGCCTCAAGTCGGTGCTCGGAGAACAAAGTGTTGCGGGTGTGTATAGGAGCATCTGAGCGGCATCAAGCGTTACCGCTGCGAAGCGCGCTCAGAGACTCTAGACATAGATGATGAAATGAACAAGCGACATGCAGACTGCGACTTTTGCCTGTATATGTATCTTATCGTGAGCAACAACCGATAACTGCGAGCATGGGGCTTTCACGTTGCCATCAACGTCCTTCCACTGCTGGCAATGTAGCTGGAGGAACGGGAAAGACTTTCCTGTATTACGCCGGAGATAAAAGAACGGAAAGAAGCAAATCGACGAAAAACCGCGGAAAACCCTGTTCTAATTCCAGTCGCAGGAGACCCGAAACATAGTCCGTACGCCCAAGTTAGTCGACTTGACCCGTTCCATTTTATGCGAATATGGGTGTACACCAGCCTGAGCGCCCCAGAACAACAACAACAACAACGGCTTTTCTGCTGCGCCGATTTTCCAAAAGCATCCGGACTCTGTGGAACGATTTTTCGTGGAAACATGCGGATACCAGCATGAGCGAACATGCATGGACGTGCTGCTCACGGACTTGTACACACTGTGCTCGTCCTCGCTTCCCAGGATTCGCGTCACGATGCTTCCGCCTGTCACTGGCTGCGTAGTGCCCCACGTTACGCCCTGACGCTTACACGTCGCAGCTGCAGCAGGGACGACGACGACGACGACGACGACGACGACGCCTACGATACGTAATGACCTCGCCTGAGCACGTTCAGAAGCGACGACCAATCGATGAAAACAGATGATCCAAATCGCTCACTACCGTCGACAGAGCGATTCCGCTCTGGTCTGGGTCCACACAGCTCCTGTTGCCGTCCAGCGGCGATACGGCGAAGGTAGGTGACTGCCCTGCCGTCCTGGAACGCTAAGAGCTGTTGGTAGTTCGCGTCAGCCTCGAGTCGTTTTGCGAATCCAGGATCTTGCTGCGCCAGCGTTTCAGCACATTCCAAACAACGGGCCAGATACGGCAGACTTGCCAAGTGAGTTCCCTGTTTCCGCCGCTCCCAGAGCTGCCCCGGCTCCGAAACTGCCTCTGATGGTTTTCGCTGCTGAAGCAGCTGACGCTGATACCACTCAAAATCAGCACAGACCCCGCGATAGATCGCTTCGAGGACAGAACACCGGGCCAACTCCGTGGACTCGGACGCCGCATGCGACCCAGAACTCGACACTTGCTGCGATGCTTCTGATTGCCCTGCTATCGCCTCGCCAAACCAAAGTTGACTGCAGAGTTGGCGCCCAGGCGTCGTATCTGCAGCGTTCGTGTGCTCGTTTGGCGACCACCGAGCCGCATCTGAAACTTGTTCGACGATCGATAGCAGCACCGCGTGGACACAGTTGGACCAAGGATGATCCAGAAACATCATCATGACGAGCGAAAGCGCGCTAGTGGACGCGAGGGCGCTATCGATAGCAGCTCGACGTGCTTGAACAAGCCGCTGCAAGACACAGAGGTACCTGTAGCGCGCCAGGGATACGGGTCGCTCAATCCAGAGCCCTGCTTGATTCTCTCGTGGTGCCGGCTCCGGAAGCGCCCAGATGCCCCGCTCTAGCACGGTCAGGTTCGCAACCAGAACGCGCAGAAGGAGCGGAAGACCCTGACTGGAAACCTCCGGATCATAGGACTGCTCTGGAAGAGCGCACAGGGACGACGGTTCAAGAGATGTGGGCAGGTTCTCCATTGACGACCCGGATACCAGGTTTGGGCCTCTCGCATCAGTGGTACGCATCGACTTGCCGACATCGTCGTCGTTGCCATCGTCAGGTGGACGCGACGGCGACCACGACATTGACCTATCGGCAACCGCTGCACCAGACGCCACGGGCGAGAACGGAGTCTCCAGCGCTAGTCCCGAGAAATGATTGGCATCCAGTCCCAGCAGGCGATCCAATCCATGCAGGAGACTCTCCAGGTAGTCGTTCACTTCGGAACGCGCAGCGCCGTCGCGATCTGTGTCCTGGATTTGCTCCAGCGCCTCAAAGAGCTGGTAAAAGTCGTATCCATCAGCGTCATCAGGGGTATCTTCGTTGCCTCTTGGGGTGCAGGCAAGCATCGCTGCCTCGGTGGTGGTCTCGTTCCCGTCGCCCGATGCAGCAGCGTCGAGCACCAGTGCATCAAGCGTAGATGTCGGTTGCTTTTCGGTATCGGCTGCTGGGGTGCTTTGCGTTCGGTTGCTCAAAGCTGGGCGTTGCGGACTCGAGGCTGCGCTGCTGTCGCCAGTTGCAGCACGAGGCGACGACTGGTGTCGCCGACCGGGGTCCGCGGTCAGTCGGCACCTCTGTTCAGCGTCTCCGAGTATCGCGTTGTCACCTGCCTCCTCAACGGCCGCGTCCAGATGCGGAACATCCGTATAAATCGCCCAGGTGCCGTCACCGAGTGTCAGCACGAGTCGACTCTCCTCCAGGGACATTTTCAGACACGTTCGACCGGCTGCCGCAGAGGAGCGCTCTTCATGCCTCGCAGCATCATCGGTGCCTGCTCCATTTTCCAAACGTCGTGCTGTTTCCCAGAGCGCACGAATCGTGCTCTCCGGATAGATGTTGTGAATCTGGAGAATATGACGCGGAGTTGATGGCGCAGCAGCCGTGCTGCCGTGTCTGCGTGGCGCTGCCCCAGCAGCGGTGCTGGTGCCCAGGGCACTCGTGTCGCCGGGTGCACGGGTCAGCGTGTCTGCTCCAGCGCGTGCGTCAGTCGCCAGCGGCTTTTCAGCCAACGCAGTGAGGAGAAACACTGCGCTCTCCTCACTGAGCCCGCGAGAGCCATCGAGAACGCAGTGTGCCAGGACGCTGCAGGCCGGTGAGCGCAGCAGACGCAGGAGAGGCCTCGCTACCAAATGGCGAGACTCGTCGCCATCGCCCTTCTCCAGATTGTCGTACAAGTCGCATTCTGAAAAATCGAGAACCGTGAAGAGCCCATCCAGTTCCTGGGTAGGCAGCGGGGAACCGTCCGCTCCGAGAAGCGCCTCCACGAACGCTTCCAATGCGCTGGCGTTTAGCGGGTTTCGTCCCATGTCCAGAGCGATACCACCGAGTCGTCGCTTGCGAGCGGCCTCCCTGATAGCCATGCCCAACGTCTTCGCTTTGCGGTTCGATACACCGCAATGGGATACATCCAGAAACAGGAATGCGCCGTTCTCTGCGTTACGGATCTCGTTCAAGGCACTGAAAAAGACGTTTTCCGAGCGTTCTCGTTTCGAAAGCGGCGGCGGTCGCCATACCGTCTCCGCCGAGTCTGACGTTTTCGGAGGTGCAGCCAGGCCGGTGAGCGACTCGGTAGCCGTCGTTCCCGAGGCGTCTGCTGCAACAGCCGCGCTATCTTGTTTTCTCCAGAGCGGTTTCTTCCGGGCGCGCCCTCCGCGTCGCCTGCTGCGCCTCACGAAGCTCAACGCTTCTGCGGTAACATTCGCCTGCGAGTCGCTGGGTGCACCCAAAGTGTCGTGTCCAGCTTCAGCACCCGTACTCGAAGGTGACACAGCGACTACCGCACCGCTGCTGCTCGTGCCGCCCGGCGAGTGCACCGACAGCGTTGCCGCAAACAGCTCAGTGCTGCTTGCACCAAGCACTTGAGGTCCGTTCGAGTCCAAAACACCTGAACACGGTGCGTTCGACTCGCGCGTCGCAGGATCCTCCCTCACCAGCACCATGAGCCGGGGTCCATCCAGCGAAGCGTAGACGACTCGTTGATAGCGATAGCGAGCTGCTGGCTCACCACCTGCCCTAACCAGGTTCTACCCTGTAGCTGCGTCTGTTACTGCTGCTCCTGCGGCTGCTGTGCGAAGTAGTCGATCCATCGACGGCGATGCCGTGGCGCTGCCGCTGCCTCCCAGGGAGTGGCTTTGGTGTGTGTGGCAACAGCCGGGGCTGCGGTGTCGCTGCGCAAGGTGCTTGTGTCAACCGAATAGACTTGGTGTTTGTGTGCTTCAATCTGTACAAACACTCAAATCCTAGTACCTTCTCAAGTGGTACCGGCTCGGGGGTGCTATGCTCGGCACCTCGGTGGCTCGCTTCAAAGGCGTCACGGAGCCGGTGTCGACGGCGACGCCTACCGCCGCTGAACTACGACTTACCCGGACGCTTGAAGAGTGCTTGCACGCGAACAACCTGTACCCTTCGCGGGAGGAGCAGCGTCAGCGCTTAAATGTTCTGGGGGCACTCAACGCGGTTGTCGTCGAGTGGGTTCGGCGGGTTGCGCTGGCGCAGCGCCTCAGTGAGGACGTCGTCGAGGAGCACGGGGCGCGCATCTTCACATTCGGCTCGTATCGTTTGGGTGTGAACGGCCCTGGGGCCGATGTCGACACGCTTTGTGTCGTTCCGCGTTTTGTTGAGCGCAACCGCTACTTTTTCGGTTTACCGGACGAGCAGGGTAGTCGTGCGCCGACGCAAGTCGTGCTTGCCGACATGCTGCGCCAGGACGACCGCACCGAGGAGCTCGTTACCGTGGAATCCGCATACGTACCAGTGATAAAGATTCGGTTTATGGGTGTGGATATGGATCTGCTGTGTGCGCCTATCGCTTTGATGAAGATACCCAAGAACTTTAACATCTTGGATGATGCCGTGCTGCGGAATGTCGATGATGCGACGCAGCGTTCACTGAACGGCGTCCGGGTGACGGACTCTATTTTGGAACTGGTGCCCGATGTAGACACGTTTCGCACGACGCTTCGCTGTATCAAGTTTTGGGCAAAACGTCGAGGGATCTACAGCAACGTGCTCGGGTACCTTGGTGGTGTCGCCTGGGCGATGCTGGTGGCACGTGTGTGCCAGCTGTACCCAAACGCGACCGCTGCTGTGGTATTGAGTGCTTTTTTTCGCCTCTATAGTCAGTGGCAATGGCCCAAGCCTGTGAAACTATGTCCAATCATTCGTCATCAACATGCTGGACTGCGCCAGCTTAAAGTCTGGGATCCGACTGACCCGCGCGACCGGCGGCACCTGATGCCGATCATCACGCCTGCTTATCCGTCCATGAACAGCACGTACAACGTGACGCATAGTACACTGCGTATTATGATGGAAGAGTTCGCCCGGGGTCAGCAGATATGCGCGGATGTACTTGCGGCTGCCGGGTCTGACGGTACGGGCGTCTCCCCGCGTGACTGGGAACGTCTGCTGGAGCCGTCCGATTTTTTCGCCCGTTATAAGCATTACTTACAGATAGAGATAACCGCTGGTAATATGGATGACTTGAAAAAGTGGCGCGGGCACGTGGAGTCGCGTCTGCGACTCTTGGTGCAGAGACTCGAAGTGCTGCCTCCGGTCTCGGTTCATCCCTGGCCTGAGGCCGACGAGAGAGGCACTTCCGTTTTCTTCTATTTCGGTCTTCGCTTGGAAACCGATAAAATCGCTCGGGAAGAGGGCACGAAACGTGCTCGTATTGACCTGAACTCTCCGGTGGAGTCCTGGCTATCGACTCCGGACCCGCGGGATACACGCAGTGTTCCGGTGCTGCACTGGCCGGAGCGCACACCGGACATGCTCGTGCACGTGACTCCGCTGAAGCGTGCACAGTTACCAGAATCTTTGCGCGTGCAGCGAAAACGTCCAGCTGAGACTGATCCCTCCGCTGCCGCTGCTCCTGCAGCGCTCCAAGTCGTGACGAAAAAGTCGCGCTCGACCCCGGACGGCGCTTCTGCGTCCCTGCTTCGTGCTCCAACGGAGACGTGACAAGGTTGTTGCGAAACGCTCACTGGCCGGGCGCTTCCTGTTCAGGCGGTTCAATGGTGAGCGGGGCAGTCGTCGCCAGGGCAGTGGCGATAGATTTCGAACCCCAATGCAAACGCATAGGGCGTGTATCTCAGTGAAATGCTATAGAAACCTGTATATTCCAAAGAAAAATCTGCGAAGCGTCGGAGTGATAAAGTGCATGCCGGGGACAAGCGCTGATCCGACGTACCCGTGGCATGCTCGGAATCGAGTCACGACTTGGTGATACCTTCCTGCGCACATCAGCGCACTTTTGCTTCACGGACGTACGCGAAGTACTGATGAACGATGGAACAACATATGTTTCTACCGATTGCGCAGGAAAAATCGTAAACGATATATATATGGCGCTGCTATATTCATGGATTGCTGGACGGATCGTACCAGTGCCTCGTTCGCGCGAGAATCGCATGACTTTACACCTCGCGACTGATTTTTACATCGCCAGACTTTCTGTTTTCAGCACCATGTCCATAAAGAGTACTACACGAGTACCTCGCGAGCCCGCTCGACACAAGGCTGTTGGACGCTCCCGATGCACGAGACATTTCCGGATGTTGGTTGAGGCATACAGGTCTCCGTGCAGAATGCCTCTGCCTATGTTTGCCTGCGGAATCGCATCATTGCAAGACGCTCATTTTCGATTGCCTCGCCAGTTGGCGTTCGATCAGCTTACCGTTCACCATCTCGTGCATGCGACTATTCACTACGCTCTTCTTCTGTGCACGGTTCAGCGTACAGCCATGCTTGTGCAGCTTGCGTATCGTCCTGAATATATCGATGGAAATTGTCCGGCATGGATTGGTGCACTCTTTGGACGCTCTCGTTGAATGAGCAGGTGCGCATCCAGTTTGACAAGTGCTGTATTGGATGCACGGAACGTTCAGGATAAGCATGCGAAGAAGCGTGCTTCACTCATCGAAGGACTTTCGAATACCTGATTTGAACAAGTAAGGCCGTTTCATCCAATTACCATGAAACATATCAGTTCCTTTCACCTCTTTTTCCAACCCACAAGATGCATTCCTTTTGTTGAACACATCCCAGATAAACACCCAAAAAAGTCCTAATGGTCTAGGCGTTCTAGAATTCACCACCCTAGTTATACCGACAATCACCATTTGCGTGTCCGTGCATCTTCGACGAGTCGCTCGCGGTATCGACCGCCCCATCCGCACCGCAGTTGCGCTGCAGCGTGCAACAGCGCATGCGATCCTGCATCAGCAGCTAGCCGCGAACCTGCATGGCACGCGGCATCCACGCCGCCGAGTCTCCAAAGCGTACCAGGAACACGAAATCCCAATCCCGAAACCCGAACGGTCTGGTACGAAGAAAGCATCAATGCAGCTCCGCATGTCCATACCCATCGCACACATGAAGAAGCACACCAGGTACTGGAATGTAGCCTCTAGCAGAGCATCCCGGTATTGGGTGATCGTTCCCGCCCACGTTATCCCGGGATCTCGCTTCAACGATGATTGTACAAGCGAATCGCCCTCTTTAGAGCCCCTAAAGGTGGACGCTGTACAGATCGTCCTCTCCAGCGCACATGAAGGCTGCCGCTGTACAGATCGCCCTCTTCAGAGCCCCTAAAGGTGGACGCTGTACAGATCGTCCTCTCCAGCGCACATGAAGGCTGCCGCTGTACAGATCGCCCTCTTCAGAGCCCCTAAAGGTGGACGCTGTACAGATCGTCCTCTCCAGCGCACATGAAGGCTGCCGCTGTATAGATCGTCCTCTTCAGAGCCCCTAAAGGTGGACGCTGTACAGATCGTCCTCTCCAGCGCACATGAAGGCGGACATCGACGCGCATGCACCGAGGCGATCTCTCGCCAAATATCTCTGAGGGAAAACGAGAGGGCTCTCTACTGTACCTCAGGTGCGCGTGCCGCTACCAAGTCCGATTGAGTGGAGAAAGGCTCACTTGGAATGCCCCGCGCAACGAATCGGAGTTCTAGTGCGGCTGAAAGTGCTGCTGACAACGGGGATACGCAGAACTCGGGCAACCTGGGGAGTGGAAGCGCGCGAGCAGCGCCGCGACTGCGAGGCCCCGGGAGAGCTCGTGGTGCCTGGCGTGGAGTAGCAAACGCGAGCGCTGCTACCTCGGGTCGGGTGCCTGCATCGCGATCACGAGTCACGCGAAGTCGATCAGGGACCAGTGCGAGTCCAGAGGCGACAGAATCGACGGATCCAGTGGCTACGGCAACCGGAGCAGCTCCGCCGACACCTGTGGAGCTCTCCGCGGTACTCGCCTCGGTAAGTGCAAACGAATACAATCAGGCGCTCGCAGCGGAGTTGCTGGAGTTAGCGGAAGTCTACGAGTCGGGGTTTGCATCGGCGTATGAGCCGTCGCTATTCCAGCAGTTTGATGAGCGAGACTTGCGGCGAGCGCAGTCGCTCCGGTATGCGGCCTGGCGCGTTCGCCAACTTCCCGAAAACTGCGGTATTTTGGTACTGGATGAAGCCAGCCTAGCACAAGTGTTGTTTGAGGGACAATGGATAGCGTTTGCAAAGGAGCCTCATTTACCTGTAAGTCAGAACGGCGTACCTGTCCACATAGACGTGCACCATGCTGAGGCGGCAGCAGCTGCAGCCACGGGACTCGACACCGAGGACGCGCCGTATCTAAAACTCTTCCAGAGGGTTCCCATGACGCGCGTGATTTTCTTCGATGTGCTCCCAGCCGTGCGCGAATTTGCTCTACTTTGGGGATCGGGTATCGCCAGAGGCAGATCACCAGAAAATCTGCTCGAGCTTCGCACCTTTCGAGACGAGAGTGCAGCCCAGGCGCTGACGCTCTTTCATTGTGTCTGGCATGCGAAACGAATTCGCGCAATGCAGTGGTATCATGCGGGGTGCAAAACGCTGGAAGAAGTTGCATCGCGGTGTCGTCTCACGGACAAGAGGTTTCAATTGGGGATTCTCTACTACGATGATTTTCGGCTCTTGGTGCCGTACGGCGAGGTTGCAGCGATTACGAGCATCTTTGCGTCGGCGTCTACGGAGATCGATGCAGATCTCTCGGTGATTCCGGTCGGTGCACTTCGACGCAATTACCAGGAATGCGGCGATGTGGACTTGATCGTGACAGGCGAACCGGAAACCCTGCACCCCGACGGTGAACGATACGGCTCGTTGAAAGCGCTTATCAAACTGCTCCGTGAGCGACATTTCATAACGGATGAGGCGGTTTCCATAGAGGTTGCAATGCAGCGACTGCAGCGGATACGCGAGAGCGAGGCCTACATGGCCGCGCACATGGGTCTGCTTCCCGACGAGCGCACGAAGCCCTATGTCCGACCCGACTGGGCGGGCATCATCCAGGCGCCCGGATACCCGTCCGGGCCGGATGGTAACAGGCACAGCGACAGCTGCACCGATGCTGCGTACAACCTTCCAGCACTGGGCGGTGCCATGGTGCAAACTGCATCTAGCTGGGCGGGCGTGGACTTGCTTTCCTCGTCGCTGCCAGCAGCGGAGTCCATGGCTGGCGTTACGGCATCGGTGTCGGAGGAGTCGACTGCCCTGATGGCAACGGCCGCGAAGTCACAGTCCCCGCTACCGTACTGGTGGGCAACGCATCTGCACGACGACGAACTCGATACGGAGGATGAGGTCACCTGGTCTGGAGTCGTTCGTCTCGCCGGGAAACCGCATCGCAGAGTGGATATCTATGTTGTCGAGAAAGATGAGCTACCCTGGGCACTGATCTGCTACACGGGCTCGCGAGCGTTTGTGAACGCCTTGTTGCGCCACGCCCGGCAGAAAGGATTGTACCTGAGTGCCCGTGGTGTCCGAAAGCTAGGTCATGCGTTGGGTCCAGGCTCGGGAGGTTTCGTAGCGCTCGAAGGGCCCGCGATGCACAAGGAGCGATCGTCGGACGCAGGCTCCCGCGCAGCGTCAACTGCGATGGACTGCTCGGATACGCGGGTCGAGGTCGATCCCATGGAACGGTTTCGCAACGTGCATTCCGAGCGTGCAGCGTTCGAAGCACTCGGTCTGCGGTATCGAGAGCCCACCGAACGGGAATCAGCAGATGATCTCATCGTTGCTCATGAAATACCGGAAGTATCTTGATTTCTAGCCTTCCTTCGCGGGCGCAGCGTAGAGGCGCTTAACTGACGATCGGTACCTATGTGGCTGCGAATATCAGCTGCAAAAACGAAGCAGCATCGCTTGAGCAGCGGCCTGCACAGGAGCGGAATCCAACGGAGCAGCTGAGGCTCTCATTTGGCCACCAGACCGGCATCGAGCAGCATTCGGGAAGCAGGTAACGAGAACGTGGGATTCGGCAGTGCTGCTGCCTGCACTGGGCGATGCTTGCCATCACCACAACTATCCGGTTTGCAAGAGGCGCTCAACAGCTGGCTGCGTTTCTCCCTGCACACTGAGCGGCTGTGTTGTGCAGGGACCTGAGATGCTGCCGAACGCAACTTTCGTGTGCAACTCGCTCGGTCTGTCGGGCGCGCAGTGGTGCAACACGCCAGCACGCCTCGTTTTTCGCGGAGGCAGCTTGGGATCTGTTGGTCGCTCGGGCACGAGCCAGCACCAGACGCGTACGCTGTGATGCCCAGGCTGTTTGGTGCCGCGCGCATTCGCAACATGCGTGGGTGTCGTGGTCGACGATGTGGCAAATTCACAGACTTTAGATCCTCAGAACAAACAATCCTGAGCCTGAGTAGAGCCCTGGGCGATTTCGACTCCACGTATGTCGTTGTAATCGCATTCGCGGACGTGAGTCTGGATTTCGCCAACTCGCAGATCAGCGTTGCGTTGTGTGGCTGCACCAGGGCATTTACTCATCGATTGGCACCTGCTGGAAAGTTTTTGTATTTGTGTCGTCACGTGTATTACGAATAGTTCTATACTGTTGGCGTGTACCAGAGATGCACGGGAATCTATTTCTGCTTGCGACGGTGCGTACTTAGGCGGACCACCAATGCCCCGTCGACATGCAACGCTCTGAATCGCAGGCATCCTTGTCATTAGATGTGTCGGTTGGCGAGCGACTGGGCGTGTTCGCGTTGCGGTCATTTGGCGCGATAATCACCCGGTTGGAGGTGAAGCACCTCGCATCTCTCCAACGACGAATTGGCCAAGCTGTTTCGACAACACGTTCCACCGTGGACTCGGCAGCAGTGTCCACGGAAACGATGCCGCAGACGATGGCGCGGAAGCCGCACTCGACCCAGTATTGTCCGATGCGCTACGCACCCACAGGTATCAGAGCTTTAGAGTCGCGCCTGGAACCCGTGATCGAGCACGTTCGCAGGTGTTCAGGGAATGAATACCGTTTTCGTAAGCCCGCCATACACTTTAATCAGCATATCGCCCGCCAGGTTCAGGATAAACACTGCGCCAACGGTGCGGATGCCTCGCGGCACGAGTCCCGAAAAAAAGAAGCGGATACTTTGTTTCTCCTGGTACACTTTTCGAGCGGTTTGGAAGAAATTTCTATAACGCTTCCCGACATCCGGTGTTTCATTTGGATCGCCCGGGTGGGGAATATCTGCCTGCTGGATGGTCTTGATGGTATCCGCCCACTGCGAAGCGGACGCCGCAACAACCCCAGCGATGATGCCGCTGGATGCGAATGCGACCACGCCTGGTCCACCTGTTCGCGCCTCAATTTCGGCCCGAAGAACTGGAGCAAGCCCTAAATAACCCCCCGTGTAGATACCCTCTCGAATAGCGGTGGCGAGAAACCCCTTGTAGAGTCTGAACGGCCCCTGCCGAGCAACGTTCACGAACTCTGAAACGAGGGTTGTCCCGCGTTTTTGTTGCTGAATCATGACGAGTTCCGCGGGCGAACTTACCGTTGCGGAGAGCGCACCGCCAAAGCACGCCGCTGCAATCTTTTCCCCATTGGAGAGACCAGTGTCGGAGCCAGCGTCCGCGTGCCGCGCAGCAAAGAAGTTGCGACCAATGCCGGTCCCCGCAAACTGGATACCCGTGATCGGGGCAATGCTCGCTGCATTCACGAAGAGCCCTCTGTACCAGTGGCTTGGGCGAAAGACTATTTCAGCGCTCCGTTGAATTTGGTTCTTGAAATAAATTGTCGGTTGTTGAATGCAGAGTTCGATGACACCGGCCAAGGCGCCGATGCCAACGAGCTCACCCGGTCGTAGTTTTCGTTCCTGCATGCTCTACCAAAGCCGCAGCCTCCACCAATAACGTACAGAATGAAAACGTAGTCCCAGAAACGTTCGAGCGCCTCTGGAACCCCGACTTGTCCACAAGGCGCTGCTCGTGCTCGTGGCGTGCACCCCAGTGGTGCAGCGTCCGGGCACCACGCAGGCAACGCTACGTGTCCATGCACGCATCGATCGCACGTATCGATCGATTGATCGATCGATGCGCAGCGGCGGCTAGAGGCGCTCAGCGGCCGCCGCTGCCGCCTGTGCATCCGGTCCGGTGCCGGGGTGAGCACGACGCGCCTGCTCGAGCGCGAAGCGGCAGCGGCTCTTCGCATGCAGTGCCTGTTCGTTGTAGCGAGGTTTGTTCTGGGTCGGCGTTGGGTCATTCGACGAAATGCTCTCCGACGCACGGGCGCTGGTCGTTGGCGATACATGAATACGAGCTGGATGGAGAAAGGAATAGCGGCATCGGGCTGAGCGCTGGGAAGCGGCGCGTCGATGCGTGCGTGCGCTGCTGCGCTCTTTTCCCTGATCTGCGCGGGCGATGTGTGTCTCTGGCGTTTCCGCATCGATGCAGCAGGGATCCGAATAGTGATCTGAGCGTCGCTTTCTCGGTTATCCTATGACTGCGAAAAAGTGTCGAGCGCGGAATTTGCGGTCGACTGCAGCATCGACGGAGCGGATACGACGCCCGCTCCCTGGCGACGTCGATTTGGGGCGCTGGCAACCGCGGTGGCCAGCGGGGCTGTTCACACCCAGCGGTATGCGAGCGCTGAGGTGTCGCGCAGAACGGTTGACCGTCTCCATGGCGACGCTACTGAGACACCATGCGCAATAGCCGGTGTGACATGAAGTGCCGGATGCGATCACGCGGCTTTGCTGGACGATTTCGGATGCTTCTCGTAATCGAGCGGCATGCTTTCCGAATCACTGAGAAAGCGCGCTTCCGGGGCTTCGAACACGCATCGCGCTCCGCTGATGCATCTGGAGAACCCGGCACTGTGGTCAGCTCGAGGTCGGAAAATGTGCTGCTCGGCTTCGCCGGCTGGGAAACGGAATCGCATCGACACGAAGTGTGAAGAAGACGCTGTCTGCGTTCTCTCGTTGCAAGACAGCTGAGCGTTGTGTTCAGCGGTGCCCTGGTGCCCAGCAGCGCAACCGCGTCCATCTATGCGACGTTTCACCAATGACAGCCACGTGCATGAGCACTCGCACCTGACACATCGTTAACGTTCTGAAAACAGCACCGATGCGACCGCCCCCGTCTGCTTCTGGCCAAGGAGCGCTCCCGACGTACAGTTAAGGAGGTCGCGAACGGTGTGTGCGGCACGCGCCGGTTGCGTCACACCGGTACGTTCCGAGCGAGCGGTTCCCCCACACGCAGCCGCAGAACGCTAAACCATCCTCTGGACCCCAAAACGCTGGTGCAAAGAGCCGCCCCCAGCCAAGTACCCTGTCTATGTGGAAGGCATTTCGCACTGGTGCATGCGCCTCGCCCACCTGTGCATCGCGTGGGCGCGCGGCGAGCATTGCGGCGAGCGCAAATGCAGGATACCGGGAGATAATTGCAACATGGGCGACGCCCAGACGCAGCTTAACTGCCCCTAGTCCCAGAATACAATGCGTTGCGGACGATTTGCGCAGCTCACGTAGCAGTACCTGCCACTGCAGAGTCGAACGGGTGACGAGCCTGGCAGACTGCTCCGGCTCGCGGGACCTTTCGCGTGGAAGGAAAACTTTCTAGAATACGAAAAGCTTTTCCCCTTTCAAAGTATATCACAGAAGGGGAAAGCAATACATATACATGCCGGTGAATCCAGAGTCTATGTGCGTTAATCTAAATAGCGCGCGCTAGATACGCGCATCACGAGATCTGGCTGGCACGAGATACGATGCGCATGTCGCCGTTGAAGAGAAAAGCGATTCCGATCAGAAGCGTGTTCTACCGGAACAAGTTGGATTTCCGTTGGAGTTTTACAAAAGAGCAGTTTTTTCATTTCATTTGGTCTTCAACCCTCAAACAAGTCTAGTAAAGTGTTTTTTCGCAGTATATGACAGAAGCGTTCGAAGAGCGTTGTTTTTCAAAAAAACTAAAAAATGAAAGCTATGAAAAAGCAAGTCGACGATCCTGGAGGCTCAGTGTGGCTGGCTGCCAGAAAAAAAAAACAATAAACATTACCGAGTCCAGAAGAAAAGGAAGAGAAAAAGAACCGAAAGGGGGAGGCTCTACGTCGAAGGCCGCAAGAAAGACGACAGTACGACGAGATGGTGGTGAAAACCTTTCTTCTTGGACATACCAAGGATCCCTGCAGGGAAAAGTTGCGAGACGCTGTCGAAAAACGTGTCGACTCTTACTTCAGGAATATTGTGAAGGCGTCGTCAGGACTGATGCATTTGGCGAGGGAGATGTATCGCGACGTGACGCACATGGAAACGGTCAAGATTCCGGACAAGTTCTTCGACAAGACCTTTATTCGACACCTCATGCTTGGTACAGAGGAAGCGCGGAGGGAAAATGAGCGGGTGCACGTCCTCCACGGAAAACACTCCTTTTACAGCTTTAATGGTACTCGATACAAGGGTGACCGGGATATGTACGACTATGGGGCGATGAAGTACCTCACGAACCTGAAGAACCATCTGATCGTGAACCTCGAACGTTTCATGATACGCGCCGTAGTTGCACTCTACCCGGACCTGTCTCGCCAAGGAATATGGGCGATTATCAATGGCATCACGAAAGATCGCAGGCGTGAAGACGAGGTCGAATTTGTCGAGAAGAAGGAGTCAAACGAGAGCACGAATGAGGATTCTGTAATCCGTGCGGCTATGAAAGAGCATCGTGCGGTACTGGGGTTGGCGAATTCAGCAGAAAAGATATCAGCGTTGAAAAAAGATGAGGGAAGATCCTATCGCCTCATTCTGGGATATTTTGTGTTCCTGGACCGAGAACTGGGACGCGAGGCAGAGATGAAACTGGGTGAGGAAAAAATGAAGCGTGGGAGAGACGGAAGGCTTTCCTAATGGGGAAGCGCTTCAACGGCGTTCCAATGTGCAACATCAGTTCACATTTTGTGACTATCGACTCCAGAATCCTTTACGGCATCATGTAGGAGATCAGTCCGGAGTTCAGTGTCAGCAGGGAGGAGTTCTCCGCTGAGAAGCGGGAGACGCACTGGAAGAACATCTTCAATTTCAAACTTCTCAAAGTCAGCAAACAAAAGGTATTCACTGGAATGATCGAAACCGATGGAGTAGCCACGTGTGTACACTATCGGCGCTTGAAGGCAGATCGTCCAGTTCTGTGTTCAATATTGTCCGTAACGAAGCATGAAGATGAGAAGGAGGCGTATCCTGCGACGCAGAAAGTGCAGAATAACGACTTTGTCGTTGGCGCGGACCCCGGAACCACAAATATCGCAACCATCGCAGCACCCAAGCGTGCGGAAGATGGTACTGACGGCAACCTACGTCGGAAAGACGTGCGTCTTTTGAGGCTCTCGAGAGCAAGATACTATCGAGAATCGGGAATCATGAATGCAAGGAAGAAAATTGAGGCATGGAATGCAGGAATGAAAGAGCACCTGGAAGCCTTGAGTGAGATGACGAGCCGCGGAGCGGACTTTGAAGCTTTTCGGAAATTCATGGAAGTTCGTGTTGCTCATTGGGATGCGCTGTGGGAAGAGTATACAAATCCCCGGTGCGCTCGTCTGCGAATGAATCTGTATTGTGGGAAGCGGCGCGCGTTCGCGAATTTTTTAATGAGTGCCTTGAAGGAGAATGAAAGTCAGGGCTCGTGGTAGCGTACGGAGCAGGGCGCCGGAGGATACAAAAAGGGTGTACACCAGCTCCAACGGCAAGAACGTACATGGAGTGTGCACGGCGTTTTGTTACAATACCTGTAGATGAGTTTCGAACATCGTATACACACCATGAGCTGGGTTGTACACTTCAGAGAGTGGAGATGGAAAAGTGCCACCGGAGCCCTGAAGATATAAAAAAGTATGGACGGCTGACGGAAGAGCAAATGGAAAGGACGTCGAAAGTTCGTGGACTCCTTGCATTAGTAAGTACAACCAATGATGGAAAGAAGCGTATGGAGTTTGTGAATCGTGACTTTGATGCCGCTATCAATATCAGGAAATGTGCGGTGATGGAGCATAGACCTCCAGAGTGGACAAGAGTGAATTTTGTTGGACAACCTCTCAAAGTCGAACTATATGAGAAAAAGTTGGAAGCAGTATTCGGTAGACTGTTCAAAAAAACTGGGAGGCATCTGCACGTCAGTTGGCGACGTCTCGTCCAAGGCGCGGTTGCCGCCACTACTGTACACGCCCGACGTCGTTCGACTTTCGAGCGGCGTTTGGCCGGTGTCACCTCTAATCCATGTCAGGAGTGGAACTCCCAGAAGCAGAGACGAGGTCAGTTCTTTCCGATGCGATTCAAGTGGCGGTTCGTGTTCGTCCTATTCTTCCGAAAGAAGCAGAGACTAGGGGTGCGGCTGAGACCTGGCGCGCTGTACCTCACGCAGGTCAAGTGATCCGCGTTGGCCGGCTTCCCACGGGTGCCGGAGGCACGACGACCTGCCCGACTGTCTTCTCGTATGATTTCGTGTTCGGTAAGGAGTCCACCAACGTAGAAGTCTACGAAAAGGTGGCGAGGCCTCTGGTTGAAAGCGCTCTAGTTGGTTACAATGGCACCGTCTTTGCCTATGGGCAGACGTCTTCCGGGAAAACGCACACCATGTGGGGCAGCGAGGCGGATCCCGGTGTCATGCGTCGGGCTGTACGTGACCTCTTCGAGCTTGCGCGCCGAACGCCTCAGCGAGAGTTCCTCATTCGGGTGTCTTACCTGGAGATCTACAACGAGACTATCAGAGATCTGCTGCATTCGAACCCAGCCGTGACCAATGTCCGGGTTCTTGAGGATAGCGATGGTCGCATCTGCACCGATGCGCGAGAGGAAATCGTTGTCACTGCTGAGCAAGTCTGTGAGTTGCTCAAGAATGGCGAGGCGAAGCGTATGACCGGAGCAACGGACATGAATGAGCGAAGTTCTCGCTCGCACACGATCCTGACACTAGTGATTGAGAGCAGGGAGCGCGCTGCGGAAGACTCAACCTCTGGGGATGCCGAAGACTCGTCATCCGCGAGCGATTCCGCTGTGCGAACCGCAACGCTCACACTCGTCGACCTGGCCGGATCAGAGCGCCAGAAGGACGCCAAGTCCGAAGGTTTACGTTTGAAGGAGGGTGGCTACATCAACAAATCCTTGTTGACATTGGGCACTGTCATTCACAAGCTCTCGGAGGGAGGCAGTGCCCATGTACCTTATCGCGATTCGAAACTCACGCGAATGCTGCAGAGCTCCCTCGGTGGCAACTCTCGAACCGCGGTTATCTGCGCAATTACGCCGGCTGCAGCGCACGCTGAGGAGACGCTGTCGACCCTCAAATTCGCAACACGAGCCAAGAGTGTGCAAAACCGTGCCCAGCAGAACGAGGTGCTCGATGATCGAGCCCTGTTGAAACGTTACCAACAGGAGATCGCCAGTCTGCGTGCACAGCTAGCGAAACTGCAACAGGGAGATCTAAGCAAACAAGGATGCCCAAACGACTTTGTTCGTGCTCTTGAGCAGAACGCTGCAGAAGCGGAACGCGAGCGTGAGCGTATCCGTTCTCAGCTAGAGGAAGCGGAGAACAGGCGTCGCCTCTACGAGGAGAAACTGGAGCGCTTGACGCGTTTGATATTGAACTCGCCAGCTCCTGCGCCGAAGGTGCGGTCGCGGGTCTCCGTGTCGACGGCGTCCTTGTCGAGTCCTCACTCGGACACGAACGAAAACAAGGACGTGGCTTCGCCCGGCGCGTTTGCTTACGAGCCTCGAACACCGCCAGCTGCTGAACCACAGCTTGATCAGCGCTTGACGAGAACGTTTCGAACGCTGCGACGGCGGACGCTTGGTGGTAGCGTCGATGGCATTGGGAGCGATGCCCAAGGCTTACTTAACTCGCCCGAGAATCATATCGTGGAGCAGGTTCGAACACTTCAGCGACGAGTTGAGGCACTAGATGTGGCCCGATGGCGCGAACAGTCAGCCTCATTGAAGGCAGTCTCCTACGAACGTGAGCGTGCTGCGCAGCTGCAACAACGTCTGCGTTCGCTCGAGTCGCAGATGCTTCGCCACACCTGCGCCGAAGTTGCCAACGAAGCGCTGCACAAAGCTGCGCTCGCAGCTGTCGATGTGCGGCTTGCTCAGATCCAGCAGTTGATGCAAAGCGAGCGGAATCGAATGCAACAGCTGCATTGTGAACTTGAACACGTTCGACAAGTCTGCGCAACCAAGCAATCCCGACTCGAGATACTCGAACGAGAACTCGGTGAAGCGCGCAGAGAAATCGACGAACTACGCCAGCGTGAAAGAGCTGGATTTACTCAAACGCAAGCGAAGACTTTTGATCATCTACGCAATCGCGTTGCCGATCTCGAAGCGAAACTTCGTTCGCAACTCGCACTACGGCAACAAGTGGAGGCCTCGCGAGGCGGAGTCGAACGTGAACTGCGCAAATTGGAGCGCCAGAATCGAGCACTGGAAAAGGAGCTCGCCAAGCTCCGCGAACAGCGCGAACGAATCGAGCAGGCGAAGCTCACGGTAGCGCAAGCGGAACAACTTCGCAATGCGTCAGAACAAGCGCAACGCCAAGTGCAAGCTGAGCGGGATGCGCTGCAGCGCCAGTTGAACGAACTCGAAAACGCCCACACACGCCTTCTCGCTGAGCGTGATACCTTGCTGGAGTACCGGGAGCGGCACCAGCAGGCCCTCGAGCAGCTGGAATGCGCCCAGCAGCGGATCGCGGATCTCGAAGCGCGATCTGTGCGCTCCGCTGACTGGGAAGCGCGCTGCGAATCGCTCTCCGGGCAACTCGAGGATGCCAGGCAGCGTATTGCTGCTTTGGAATCGCAGATCGAAACCAATGCCCAGGAATTGGCTTCATTACTGGACCAGGCAACAGATGCTCATCTGCAGCTAGAGGCGGTGCGATCCCAGGCTCGCGCTAGTGAGCGTTTGCAGGAACAGGTGACGGCGCAGGTGCGTGCAGAGCTGAACGCCCTGGCGGCCAGTCATGAAAAAGAGAGCGCCGAGTGGAAACGCATGCGACTGGACACCGAGACGGAACGAGATGCGCTTCGTTCCCAGCTCGCTGACCATAAGCGTTCGCTCGAGGAGCTGCGTCTTGAATGCGCTAAGCTCGAGTCACGGGCAGCGAAGCTTCTCCAGGAAACCGCGAAGCATATCGAAGAGAAGCATCGTCTCCTCGAGACTGTGCATGCGCGCGATCGACGCATTACCGACCTTGAAAGTCGCCTCCGCGAGTGTGTCGAAGGAGGTGGTCGCTATGCGCGTCTCTGTCGACTTGTTGAAAAGCGCGAAGCAGAGCTGACTCGCGCCCGCGAAACTCTGCGGCTGCTGGAGGAGCGTCTTGTCGCCGAAGGGCGCTCTGCAGAGTTCTGTGACCTCCATGCGAGTGCGCAGCATGAGGCCGAGCGCTTGAGCTTTGAGAAGGAGCTTGCTCGCTCCAAAGAAAAAAGCGACAAGATGCAGCAAGAACGACAACAGCTGTTACTCGAGAACAGCAAATTGCGTGACGTAGTCAAGCACAAGGACCGACAGCTTCTGAGTCTGCAGGCTAAGCTGAAGCACGCCGAGGCAACCATCTTGTCGCAGCGCGGCAATGCGAGTCTTCCTGAACAGGGCACCGTCTCAGACATTTCCATGGGGGCAGGTGCCGCTCCTGCATGTGTAACTCAAAGTGCTCCTGGCGCTCAAGATTCCAATAACAAGGAGAATTTGGGATGCGAACAGGATTCGGAACGTGCTGCTGCTCAGCTGTTCGGATCGCTCGACGACAACAAGTAGTCGCACAGGGCGATGCGAATGACGTTATCAGTTTTGACCTATATTCTCTATTCCATCGCTGAAAGCTATAAGAGATGTGTTCAGCAGAGGCGAGTCTACCTTCGACCTGGTCTCATTGAAAAGGCTGCGCTAGACGCTGTCACGTCGAATTGCTGGACACCTGCATCGTGTAGACATCGCCCAGCAAACTCATTCCCAGCGCATATAAACATATTTATGTATACGGCGTTCCGGCTTTGCTGACCTGTTCATCGTTCCACACCAGTGTCGTGCTCCAGCCAAGAATCCCATGCCGCCTGTGATGCCCGCTGATTGCTTCATCGCATTTCTTCACCCTGTTCGCACAACGCTGACGCCGAGTCGCCAAAGGACACTTCACTTGGACGCTTGCCTGGGCACGTAGCCGCTGGTCGTTCCGGAAGTCTGAGCCATCTCCGGACGCTGATCCAAGTTTTGCAGTCTCAATGCGGAAAGTGTCTGCACGCGTGTTTGCTGGTGGCATCAAACCACAGAAAGCCTCGCGCCTGCGATGGCCTCAGGATCTACGGTTGGTCAGCTCTTCGGAAAGCTTTTTGTGTGTCCGTCTTTAGTTCACGCTTGTCTTCGCTGCCTGGTTCACCGAGGAACGTTCTCTTGTTGCGTATGCGTTGAACTGGAGTCTTGGATGGGCTTGGTACAGCATGGATTCCTGCACGCGTTCAATGCTCTAGTCGGATGAGCAGGTGCGCAGCTTTTTCGCGCTACAGCTCGTATGGCGCCTTGGGCCTCCACCATCAAACGGAGCAAATCGTTGGTCATTGCCTTGTCAAACTCATTGAACTATTCCGCGAATGCATGCTTCGTGCCGCCTCACAAGGGGAAGCGCTGCCGACCCCAGCGGGGTCTCTGGTATCCCTGCCAAGGAGCGTCCGCGTGAGCCGTTTGGACGCTCAGGTACGCAGTGCATGAAGCGTCCAAAGCGTCCTCCTCCACGTCAGCTGAGTACGGTACTCGGAGTGGCGAGGCGCCCGTCGCGACACCGTCGTTGCGCTCGTGCGTTTACCTCCTGGCGTCTATGATGTCTGACGCTCGTCAACATCGAGCAGCAGAAGACTTGAACAGCTTCATCTGCATGCATATTAGGTATAGGGCTCCGTCCTGTTGATATACATGCACGATGACGGCAGTGATGTGCTTCAAGCTGGATTCACGCTCACAACAAAGTCTGTTTCTTCTCCTACCTTGAATGGTTGGGAATTCGTCTCGTTACGCAGCTTGGATCCGGGTTCCACAAAGTACATGCAGATTGGTATGGCGTCGGTCTGCATCGCTCCGGTGAACTTTTTTTCAGCTGCTCCCTGTCATGGAGACAACGTAGGATGAGCTCGCCCGATGCTCTTCGCGAATCGGTTCGAGGGTTTCACAGCTGGTCGCCCCAGACCAGGTTCTTCTGCAATGCGTAACGTACGAGGCCGAGTTGCATCCATGTGACCGCCATATTCTACATCCGTTTTTTGACGTCGGGATTCAGACGCACTGGGTGGACGGTCAGACTACAGCTCGCCATTTCGATGTATCCGTCAATAGTTCCTGGGGTGCCTGTTTGTCGCCATGTCCGTCGCGAGGACGCCGACGGCGTGAAGCGTGCCTCACCGCTCCCTCCTGCGCATGAGCCGAGAAGCAACGCAGCAGTTCAGATCTGGAAAAGGTAGCAGAGAGCGTCTTGTCGAAGAACATCGCTAGTACGGATGCAAACGACGTGTCTGTTGATCCGAGAGTGTAGAAACCGCGATTTTCCGCAGAGAACACGCTTCGGCCTGGATTAAATCGGAGACAATGGACAGCCGTGGAGAGCTGCTTACGCCTCGACGGATGTCCACTGATGGAAAGCGCCGTTACCTAGCACCAGGACATGAACCTGTGCAGGACAAGCCATAGAGTGCTTCGACGATGCATGGGGTGCTGAACAATCCTGTCCGTCTGGTGCATTGTGGGTGGACATTTTATTCAATTGCCACCAGGGTTGACGTGGTCGTCATTCGCGAATGACGCTTTTTTACATACATCGGTTTGCCCGTCTTTGAGCCCAATGTAAAAACGCCCACCATTTCTCCTGAATCAAATCTCATCGAGGGAGGCGATCACCCGTCGGGCCGGTTATACGTATTCGCGTTTCACTAGGAAATCGGTAGCGTGTTGTGAAACGCGCGATGGTCACTTTTAGAAGCGTGCTCGCTCTTCTTTGTCCATCCGTATCTCTCGAACGCCGTTCGTAGCACGGGTACGGAATCTTCACACCCTGCGGCTCCCTTGATCATGTTTCGTTGAGAACATATCGGTGAAATGGAATGCTTGGGAGACAGTTGTGTGAACAGAGTTTGATATGCTTTGTTCTGGGTGCATCTGGTTCAGGATAAGGACGAGGTGGCGTCCTGACCTGTGCATTTGCTGACCGTACAGTAACTGACGCGCACGTGCAATGCCGTATTCAGCGCGTCACCTGTGACGGTATCGAGTCTCCTCATGACCTTTTTCTAACCTTCGGAGCACATTCCATTTGCTGAATACCTACGAGAACAGAAACATATCAAAAACAGGTGCGCCTACTCAGGTACTCCGTAATGCATTGCCCTGAACTAACCCAAGCATGTCCAATGCAGAACATGCGACAGCGACAAGTACCATGGCCTCTGCTGCGAGCAAGCAGGTGCGCGAGATTCGATCCAGTGTTTACCGCCCGTCTAGGCGAGGTCCCGGTTGCAGTGGTACGCTTGTCGACTCTGTGGATCGCTCTGCGAAGCGAGGAGTGTGGCGAGCCACCAAGCGTCTCGCGCTTGCTGGTCGTCCAGGTTGCGCACGGTGCTGCTCACGACCGGTCGACCCGCGCTGAGGTCGGTTGGTACGCGCGACGACGACGACGACGACGACGTGCGGTGGCGAAGCATTGCCTTGCGTCCGGGACACCTGTGGCGTCCCCGATACGCTCGAGTGCCTGATCAAACCGGTGACGTCGGTATGCTGTTGGTGGCGGCGTGGAAAGCGCGTCTGTTGGACTGACGAGTGTCTCGCGTTCGTTAGAATAGAGGTGTCGCTGCAGAGCGGTTGCGGACGGGGTTTCTTAAACGCCGCGTTCCGTCTCGTTCCGAGGCTGTCGCCACCGCTACCTGATGCACGAAAGACGCGCGTTTGGCAAAAACAGACGTTCAGAGTCTCTCGTGCTAGCCGCTACACCATGGGTCCTTTATAATTGTGTGAATCCATGCACGATTTAAGGACCCATCGGGAATCGAACCCGAGTCTAGAGATCTCTCGCTGCACAGGAAAAACACGTCTGGAATTGATATATAAAGCGTTGTACATCAGGGCAACGGCGAGGCAAATACGCGCTGTGGTGCTGGGCGCTGCTGCTCGAACGCATACCAGGTGTCGTGTCCGTTTAGTACAGTTTCGCGCCTGCCCCCGCGAGCGATTGCCCTGCCGCTCGCAATGTAACGTTTCGAGTCCGTAGCTGGGCACAGCGCGCACAGGGAGCTCTGCTGGTGCTGTCGGCTCATGCAGCACCAGCGAAAGCAACGACAGTAGCACCGAGGACATGACTGAACGAGGGCGTGGTCGAGGGCGCATCCGCGTTCCCAATGCGGGATCCGTACGACGTTCACTTGTACCTGTGTGCGCTGACGGCTGCTGTGGTACCGCTGGCGGGTACACCACTGAATAAGCTCTGGTGTGCAGCCTCGGTATTACGGGGGTTTAAGAAATGTGCTATTTTTGGTGCAAGCTTTAGACACAGAAGGCACTCGAAAATAAACGGGCTGGGCGAACAATCCGTGCTTTCGGTGTCCTGCGTCGTTCAGGCTGTGTCTGATCCACCGTGAGGTGCCCTAGACCAGAACGCACGCTTCGCTGCTCTCTCTACACCTGCTTGGTCTTTCGTCGAGCGTCGACCAGACCCAGCGCTGCGAGTGCGACTTGCATTCGACACGGTATCGCGAGCGAGTGCAGGACACAGATGCGGCACGCCGTACCAGGCGATGGCGGCTGGCAGGGCTCCAGCACCTCAAGGTGCACTCTCTCTAACTACGCGCCACCTGTTGAAGCGAACCCCGGACGATAATACGCGTAGGCAGCGTGGTCGTCACTGTGGATTCGTCGCAACCAGGTAGCGTTGGCGATGTATGCCCAGGACGCACGTCAGGTCCCAATGTTGCTCGTCATTCCGTTTAGAGAGCCTATACGCCTGCGCCCTAGTCGGCGGACTTGACGAGCGCCCCAAAACCCTAGCTGTGTGACGGCGATATCCAGTTAGGTGCCTCTGCGACGCGGGACAGAGGCAATCTCCGAATAAAGCTGCCTAGAATTTGGAGATATCTCTTCCGAGCACTCGAGTTTTCACAAAGTCTATCATCACTAGGAACCGCGATCGCCAGCTAAACAAATGCAATAGCGAGTAGCCATACCAAAGCCAGAACGCAACATTGCCATACAGCGGGTCCATAAAGGGAAATTGCAAGACCGAGACACTATTCCCAAGATAGGCGGCAGCTCCTAGGTTTCTCCACTCAAAAGGTGGATACAGGCCCGCTTCTAATTCATCAAAACCTGCCGGCCAACACCGAAATCGCTCATTCAAGAGTCGACCGAGGTAGCGACCCTGTTGGAAGGCAACTTGCGCGGTCGGTGGCAGTGCGGTGCTGTGTTCGTCGACCTTGACAAGCCACTTCTGGAACTGTTCCCGATTAATTGAGGACTGCCCTTCGTGGAAATCCGGCTCAATCATCGAAACAAATTCTGCAAGCTGTGGATACTCATCACGAACGATGCGAATAAAACGTAAAAACTCGTAGACATGAATCCTCCCGTCGCCATCAATGTCAGCCAATTGAAAGAGCTTGTCCAGGTGGCTCTGCGTCGCAGCGCTCTGCAGGGTACTACAATCTCCGGCAGCGTAGAGTGCTCGATGCGGATCGCCAACCACTCCGAGGTGGTGGTTCACGACCAGCGCATAGCGATTCGACTGAGCCTGCGCTCCGAGACGTTCCGCTACACGTCGAATGAGCGGATGCATCGCGAGACCCGCCGTCCAGATACAGACCCCGAACGCGAGCGTCTGTGCTTCCTGGGAAAACTTGTCCATCACCGTGAGCGCATCCGAGGTAACCTCAACTACTCGATGATTCAGCAGGAGCTGAATCCCATCGCGTCGAAACTTTTCAGTGGCGTATTCTGCGATTCGCTTCTCGAAGCCGTTCAGAACCGTAGCACCGGACTGCACGATCGTTACGCAAACATCATCGAGGAGCGAGCGAGGGAAGAGCCTACGAGCGTCCTCGTGGAGAAAATCGTGCAACTCGGCTGCGATTTCACAACCCGATGGACCAGCTCCTACAACAACGAACTGAAGGAGGCGGTGCCGCTCTTCGGCGCTCGTGGACGGTTCGGCGGCTCCTTCGAGTGCGTCATTCAATGCGCTTCGTATGGCACGAGCATCCTCCGCGCTGCGAAGTGCGTGACAACAGCTGCGTACGGCGGGAAACCCACCGTCATTGGTGCCGGACCCCACAGCTAGCACTGCAACGTCGTACGGGACGGAAAAGCGCGCCCCGCCGTGCACCGCACTGCAGTGGACCTGTTTGGTGAGAGGGTCCACATCCTCGACGCGTGCATTGATGAAGGACCACTCGGTTGCGGGCACAGCTTGGCCGCTTTCCGTGAGCAGTTGCGGCCAGTGCCACCACCGCCGCTGGAGACGTGCCAGCAACTCCCGGGCCGGGACAACGATAGAGCGCAGCTCGACCGATCCAACACTCGCCGAGGGTAGCAGCGGCGTGTACACAAAGTGGTTCCGGTCCGAAATCAATACGACATCGCAGAGGCGCGGATCTAGCGAGCGCAGCAACGCGTGGCTCGCCCAGCCGGTCCCGCACACGACCAGCCGAGGTCGGGCGCTGGGACGCAACGACGGCGGCCCCGCAGGTTGCGGCGGGTTCAACACCTGAACCGACCGATACCCGAGCCACAGCGCCGTGCCAGCCCCAATGGTGTAGAGGCCTAGCCGCACGGCGTGCAGCATCCTCGTGAAACGCACCAAACGGGGTGTATTGGCGAGCGTTGCAGCAGCGCGATGAGACGGATGCATATTCGAAGGCCTTTTCGTGGCGTTCGCGTACCGGCAACGTCGCTGCAACGATGTCTATAAACATACTATCATATACAGGTTTCCAGTGGTGTGAGCTTTCTGGCGCGCGACACGCAGGCGCGTGCCCCATGCCACCCCGGGGCACCGCGGGTAGCAATGCCCCTCAGGGTGCGGTGCGCCCGGAAGTTCTGTTCCGGTTTCTTTCATGATTCCGGATTGACACAGCCGAAAAGACTGTACTGGATGCGTGATTGTTCCTTGAAAACAGGGAAACGCCTCCGGTCCCCGCGCAGAGGCTTTCACGGTCCATTAGCACCAGGTCAGCGCATCATTCAGGAACTCGGGATGGAGGCGGCCCTGCTTGATTGCCCAGGGAACTGATTTCGTGAAGCTGGTCTCGATATATCACGCGGCTCTGGCTCAAGACTGAGGTTGTTCTCAGAACCGGGCTTTATATCTCGCCTCAATACGAACACGTGAATCGTTGGACGGAAGGGTTTCGAATACGCGCTGCGAAAAGGCATCCTGCGCGGCTGTTACCATACTCATGCACCAAGGCAGCCGCATACGCAACCTGTAGGTAGGTGCGTATTCCGCGCACGCTACTGGACGACGGTACGAGGCCAAGGACTGTAAGCTGCTGGGGCGCGCGCGCGCGCCTACGCGAATGAGAAGACGACGTCGAGGGGAGACGGCTCTGCGCGATGAGCGACCCATGACCGAGGCCCTTGGCATATTTCGCACCAAAACTGAGACAACAGCGCCTGCCGGATACGCCTGCCTTGGTTCCGTATCAGATAAAAATTGAAAACGGAATTGATCGTTTCATTCCTGTAAATCGATTCTATGTACCGAAAATGTTTAGTTCGACAACGTCCACATTCGAACTGCAGCGATTCAGGCTTACGGCATCATGCGTAGTATAGGGATTCGCGGTCGTCGAATTTGGGGTGGCTCCTCCGACTTTTTGCCGCTGGGATTCGTTTCGGTACCGGAATCAAGATGAATCGCAACGCACGTCAACTATGCTTCGTAGAATGGCGGGTATCATGATCCAATTCATATGAATAAGCACCCAGGCTTCAGCTCTCCTTACGCGCAGCGGGCTCAACGCTCGTGTGCTTCGAGGCAGCCATCTTTCTCTTCCAGGGCAGCGTGTGTAGGCTCAGCGATTCGCGCTGCTAGATTGACGATAAAACGCAGTCTACGTCGTCAATCTAGGACTTGTTTTCTGGTATGGATTTTTCTTCCTATACTAGTGTCATCATGAACAACATCACGCGCCACAGATCCTCTGTCGAATGGAACGGTGAGCGCCTGCTCGTGCAGCCAACAGCGTACCCCCCGATGGAATCGACCGGAACGAGCTCGTGATTGCAGGGCACGGCACTGGGCGCAGAAACCGAGCATGGCATCTATCAAAGCCTCATCTACCCGCCAAAAAAACATGTACCAAGCGATGAAGCAAGCTTTCTGGCGCCACATGGCGGAACGCATAAGATGGTTGTGGTTGACCTGCGGGAATCCTTGACCAAAACCGAGTGTCACAAAATGCGCATGGCGCACCCCGGGCAATACGCACAGGACATGCAAATGGCAAGCGAATCGCAACCACCGCCTGTGCATCAAATTCGTCCACAAGCTGCTAGAAGCGACGAAATCCGCACCCTCTACGCTGCTAGCAACATTCTTCGACTGTTGACAATGGAGCTTCAAGGAACAGGCAGTCTGGTTCATCGCAAGCCGAAAACAGAAGAGAGGAAAAGTATTCAGTCTCAGAAAAATTCCGCAAAAGACTGATGTTGATGGTAGCGGAAAACACCCAAACTGTAGTGTGGGTGTGTGGACGCCCCAGTTCGCATCGAAGATGCGTTCCATCGCTTCCCCACCACGGGGGGGCACGGAGCGCGCGCCCTTGCACCCGATCGCGACACGCTGAGGGCACGTTCAGGTCGAGACTGGATGACCTCTCGTGTCTCATTTTACGTGTGCAACGTCGAGGCTCGCGATCGCAACAGTCACCATCAACGCCGCAGCGCTGCGCACGGATGAGAGGCGGCGCTCCCTCGCATTGTGCATCATTTTGCCAGCGCTGGCGTCTGTATGGTGGACGCTTACGCTCTGGAATAGAACTCACGAGTACCTCTAACGGACCCAGGAGCTGGTGCGCCCGTCCAGAACTGTTCGACAGGTGAGTGGAACGAGTCCCTGGACGAGGGAGCAGCAGCCTTCTTGTGCTTATGACTGATGTATCCGTACGATTTGAGCTGAGCGGCCTGGAGCCTCTGTTCGGTGTGGAGCCCTGCATCTGTGGCTCCACCCCGGAACTCGGCGAGTACGACCCACTTTTCGCAACATCCATGACTTACGACGAGTCCAGAAACGTGTTCGTCGCTTGGGTCTGCTTTCTTGAAGAGGACTATCCGGTCCGGTATCGGTACTTTTTACGAAAGCAAGTCTGGCAGCGAGCGAACGTTTGGCAGGTTCAATGGGAAGGCGATCTCGAGCCGCCATACCAACAACATGACGATGAGGGCAACCTTGTCGAGGATGCAAACGGAGGGGCTGCGTCCGCGGGGGCGCAGTCGCCAGAGCGCAGCGGTTGGGCGCGTCGAATCCTTCCTGTGCCTGTTAGTCCTGTGACAACAAAGGCCGCTGTGTCTCCTCTACCGGAGCGCTGGAAACAACAACTCGAAGAAGGCGCACGCGTCTTAACGCTGCCTCAGGCTAAGAAACCCTTTGTCCAGCGCGACGAGTGGAAACCCGCTATGAATGATACGTGGATAGAACTGCCACGCGGGGTTGCGCTTCCAAAGCGACTGCGAGCACGAATAAGTGAACGCGAGCGCATTCGTCGTAAAAGAGCGAACGGCTTGAGTTCCGAGGCGCTACTTGCTGCGGGCCAACGAGAGGCTGAACAGCATCGCATTCGACAGTTGCGTCTCGCCGGGAACGAAGACGAGGCGCAGCTCGCTGATGTTCTAGAGGCTCGTCAGCGGGAACTAGAACTTGAGAAAAAAGGAACCTCTCAGGCGAACGTCGCCTCTAAGCGGAAACGAAAGACGGCGGCGCATTCGTGTCGTACGCAGTAGACAGAGCCGAGCGGCGTGCCATCATCCAGCTACGATCCTGCTACCGCCACTCCGTCTGACTACGAGACATTTTGGGTTTCTGGTCATACTTCTGAACAGTAGACAATGTTGAGCCACTGGCCGTTAGAGCCGCAAGGCAGGAACAGTCTTTCAAAGGCCGCGATTTTTTCATGTTGCAGCGTCGGCCTGTCTTCTGGAAATCAAACGGCCAAGTGTTACGTCTGCCTGCGGCTCGCTCGGCGAACGTCTCCGCCGCGCATGATGCCCATGCGGTAGCGCCGTGGGCACGGCACGACCGGGGACTGGACGGGGTTAAGGTGCTGGCACACAAGTCGCAGCTGCAGTGTCGCTGAACACGTTCCCAGCGGCTGACCGGGTGTGCCTAGATCATGGTCACACGCCATCACACACACCGACCGGACATGGTATTGCTGTGTTTTCATTATCGGCAGCGGCCATGTTGCTGCGTACTTTAGGATCGATGAGGTGAGCGTTCGGCGCCAGTATCGTGGCGCGAATATGGCGGACGGGCATCCCGTACTGGTGTTGACCAATGCGGGGACGCTCCTTCTTCATCGGTTTCACTCGCGAAGAGATCCTGGAGCATTGCGTTCAGACGTAGCCATCGGCGTTGCAACTCGTCAATGACTCGTTCCTGGCGAGCGCATGCCGTATGCAATTTGCAGAGCTCTCGCTCGTAGAGTTGTTCCCTCTGAGCGTTTTCAGCCTCGGCTGTGTGCCGGACTTGCTTCAGTTGTGCCTCGAGTGACTCCCGCTCTTGTTGTGCACGTTGTTTTTCCTGGAGAGCGTTCTGCAGCAATATTTGTGTGTGTTCGTGCTCCTGTCGTAGCGCTCCGTACTGCCTGCGTGTCTCTTCAAGCTCATCACGCACTGTTCGCCAGTGCTCGCTCTTGGTCTCGAGGGCGCCTTCGAGGCGGGCGATTTGCAGACGTAACTGTCGATTTTCATTCTGGGATCTTTGGCACTGGAGCTGCAGCCTGCTGAGCTCCTCCTCAGCACTGCATTTGGACTCGAGCAGGTTCGCAATCTGGTTCTCGAGTTCTAGCAATGAGGTGTCCGTCAGGACGGTAGCCGGGGGCGGGTGCCCAAACGGCTCCCTCGAGGCATATGGAGCCTCCTGACGCTCGCTCTGTAAAGCGTTGTGCTCCTTGTTCGACGTACACTGAGGAAAGTTGGCGGTCACTCGCTGATGATAGCTGGTCGAACCGGCCGACCGCGGCGTCGGCTCCGGGGACGATGCTTGGCCGCTTGGCGTCGACATTGCGCACTCTTGTCGCTGCTGCTGCTGCGTCGCCGGCGGTGGCGCTTGCACTGGACCGAACAGCATCTTCCGAACGGGGGGCGTCTTCGCAGTGCCATTCGCCTGATCCTTGGCGATGCGTTGTCGCCACGAAGCCGCGATCTGGTCGCACTGCGTCTCTCCTAGGGGGTTACGAAACGCCCGCTGGGCGCGCCGGTTGGTCGCTATGGAGCTCCCCGGACCAGACGCTGCCCCTGCGTTGCCGTCAGAGCGATATCGCCGTCTCAAAATGGGAGGTTGCTTCGACGAATCGACAGCTGTGCCTGTCGGTAGCAGTTTCCTTTCCAAAAGAATTTGCTCCAACTGCTGGAGCGCGTCCCCTGGAGGGCACGCCTCTACTCTTCCCCACGCGCTGCCCAGAGACGCACTTCCAGTTATAGTCTGCGTTGGCGCCTCATTTTCCTTGTTAGGCGGGGCACTGGCCCGCATGGCTGCTCGAGTGCTACCGAGCTCTGCGTCGGTCTCGAGGCGTCGGCGAGCACCCCAGCTATCAGAGCGCTCGGCCGCGCACCGTGGTAGGTCTCTCGTCTAGGAGAGGCGCGCTTCTCCCGGACAAGAGCACTGACGTACGCAGCAACGACTTGCAGCCGATCGATCGAATTAGCCAGCGCGTCAGGTAGCTGACCAGTCAGCCTTCAGCGACAAGACGCTCCCGACAGACGATCCTGACTGCGCTTTTTACGCAAACGCTTGAACGGATACGGAAGCGCTCGATTGGTGCCCGGCATCCGCTTCTCCGCGAGTGCGGCGTGCGCGCCGGCGATTCGAAACGCTCCCGAATGAGCACACGTACACGCATCCGCGCATCCGTGCACGCATGCGAACGGAATGCGTAACGCACCGCGCACACGTCGCCGCTGAACGTCACGCGTGATGGATCGCATTGCACGCCGCCGTTTGTACACGCGTCGATTTGCGCGCCAGCAGGAGCAGCAGCAGCAGCAGCAGCAGCAGCAGCAGCAAATCGACGCTGCATCTGACTTACCTCATCGATGTTGCAGTGCGTACGCGGAGAGGTACGTATGCAGGAACCGAGCCTGGCGGACGCATCCGAGGCATATCACTTGAATGCATGTCGGTGTTGTTTCGATAATCTGGTCTGTGGTCGGCGAGTCGACCTGCATTGCCCACGTGTGTGGGGAGGTATGTGACACGGGGGGCACGCCCTCGAGCCGTTCCCGGAAATACTCCCTGATCCAGCTTTAAACCCTCGATTTGTATAGCATCCTGGGCATGGTGGTTCCAGGGTTACTGAGGATCCACGGCAACGTCCTTCGGTTCTGTTTGTTCTTCCTGAGGCGGCCTCTCGAGCATTTGCGGTATCGCTGCTGATGTTTCTCTTCCAGCACGTGACGAGAGCGTCGTCCTGGCCGATGAAGCAAGCTGCTCGTGAGCGCTGCGGGCATCTGCGAGCGATTGTCTCGACCTTCAGGCCCAAGTGACAAGCAAGCGCCTGCTGGCCGTCGGTTGTATGCATATGCTGCTCGCGGTAAAAGTTGGTTGTCGTTCCTAGACAGCGAATGGAGCATCCACCGACGAAGAGATGTACGCTTTGACGCCGACTGTTTGCCCCCTCGCCGAGAGCGACTGGTGCGGGCTCGTTGCGCGCAGTCACCGCACAGTTTCCAACGCTCGACTCTGGCCAGTGTGTGCGTGCTCGGGCGCCGCGTGGGAACACTCGGAAAGCTCCGAGTCTTTAAACAAAAGTCATGGACACAACTGGACGCCCGTGAATCCATGGCGAGCAGATCGGTGAAGCACTTGCTGTTAGCAGAAGTGGGGTTTCAACGCCATGCGCCGGTCTGCTGTAGCCGTGGTCCAGATGCCACTGACCAGACTGCATGCCAGCAAAACGTGCAGTGGTTGGTGTACGGTTTCTTGGGTGCTCATTTTTCGAGTTCCTGCGCCCCTGTGACCTGAAGACGCAAGCACGCGCAACCAAACGAACCGTGCATGCGATGCATTCGAGTTTTTGCACAGCACACAGTTCGGAGCGCTCCCAGCACCCATGTGCTCAGGCTTCGTTTAGGATATGCCGATTTCATCGAACGACACTGACGATATGGATCATATGGTGTCGTGTTTGGGTTTCCGCAGGGACCCGCAGCCACAGCACCTGGACATCCAGCTCAGCTGTCGTGCGAGGACATTCAGGACCCTCCGCTACGGGTCCGAGTTGCGCGCGCTTGCCTCGCCCGGCACCGTCGCGGCACATCTGCGAAAAGATTTCCTCGTTTTCGGTGCTTTAGGAATCTGATTATTTCAGGTTGAACAGGCTTTGCGACTTTCTGCAACGCGAGTTCGCACGTTGCCTCGCTCTCTTGGACAGCATGGAATGAAATAGAGACACTGCACACTCTGTTATAGTCGTCGTCGTCGCTTTTTCTCTGGGAGCTATCCTGAACCCGTCGCTTCACCTAATATCCTACCACTAGCGCCATCCGATGATCCATCCTTGCATCCGAGTCCGGTTGCTCCAGCCTGCGCTCAGAGTTTGCTCTGCATCTTCACAGAGAGCATCTGGCGGACATCGTACGGGGCAAACGCATCCCGAACGACGAGATCTCTCCGAATATCGGAAACTTTCTGGCACCCGCACAGCTGCATGGCGAGCTTAAATTCATCTTTCAGTAAACTGAGTAGCCGGTAGACACCCTCTTCGCCATCAACTGCTAGGCCCCAGACAATGGGCCGTCCGATGAGGACAGCATCCGCGCCCAGTGCGAGCGCCTTCACCACATCGGTTCCGCGGCGCACACCAGAATCGATGAAAACTGGGATGCGACCTCGAACACTCTGCGCGACTTCCTCGAGGCAGTCGATGGTGGCGGTTACACCGTCCAGCTGTCGGGCCCCGTGGTTCGATATCCAGATTCCGTCTGCGCCGTACTGCAGCGCACGCTGGGCGTCTTCTGCAGTGACGACCCCCTTGAGCAGAATTGGCAGCCTCGTGATGCTCTTAAGCCAAGCGATATCGTTCCAGTTCAGCGATGCATCAATCAGCGATGCGACGTAGGATGCCAGGCCAGAAGCGCCTGCTCCGCCCTTCACTTGCGCAAAATCTTTCATATCGGCAAAATTCGCGAGAGACAAGTGCGGCGGCAACTGGAACTGGTTCCTGATATCCGCCTCACGCCGACCAAGTTGCGGCGTATCCACGGTGAGGGCTATTGCTCGGAAACCTGCGCGCTCAGCACGCCGCACAAGGCGCTCCGTGATCGCCCGATCCTTGTACACGTACAGCTGGAAGAACTTGGGCAGACCAGGCACGTGCGCCGCAACGTCCTCAAGCGAGGTCGTTGCCCAGGATGACAGACCCATCACCGTTCCGATACGTGCAACGGCTCGGGCGGTTGCCAGCTCGCCTTCAGGGTGCGCCATGCGTTGCATGGCGGTCGGCGCCACCATCAGCGGGAACGACAAGTCGATGCCCATAACCTGCTTCGTGATATCGACCCGAGAAACGTCTATAAGCACACGCGGACGGAAGCGTAGACGTCGAAACGCTTCTTCGTTGTCGCGCAGCGTTTGCTCGTCGTCTGCACCGCTCGCGTAGTAGCCATAGACCATAGCGGGGAGCCGGGCCTTGGCGAACAGGTGATATTCAGCCAAATTCAGCGGTTGTGTCGCCGGATTCACTGCTGGCTTCTCAACCATCTCTACTTTGTTTCGAATACTGGTAAAACAATGTCTTTTTTGAGTTTGCGCTGAATTACCGTGGTAGATACGGCTCTGCGAACGCACCTCTACTGCGCAGTACGGGTACACAGCATCCGTAAGCAGCGCTTGCGGCAACGCATGGACGCCAGCGTCGATCCCGAGACTAGGCGCGCGCGCCCGGGCACGCATCCACACACATGACAGACGGCTGCTGCTGCTGCTGCTGCTGTTGCTGCTGCAGGAGCGGCGGCGGCTGCGGCGGCGGCGGATCGATGCTCAGTGCGCGCCCGCACCAGATCGCGGATCGCATGCGATTTGCCGCGGCGTGGCGTACGCTCCCAGTCATGTGTGCGATCAGCGAGTACTGGCAAGGGCTCCAAGCTGAATGCCCGTGTGCTGCCTGAGGCCACGAACGAGACTCTAGAAGCTCCAGGGACGCTTCTATGTACGGTAACGTGTCGAACATTAATATCGACGAGGAGTGGAAGCTGGGTCTAACGATTGTCAAGGTGCCGTGTGTGTATTGACCACCGCACAGAGAGACGAGGCGACGTCTTCGCTGTAGCATGGCTGGCGTCGCGTCAGTCGTACCAGCAGCGGGGCAAGCGTGCTGTTCTAGTCGAACGCACAGCGCCGGCTCCGAATGCCATTCAGTTCGCGAGCTGATAGAGCGTTTCATGGTCGTTGTAGGGCGTCCATAGAGGAGACTGAATAACGGGTGCAGCACGCTGCTGCCGCGAGTCGTGCGAGGAGCGCCTCTGGGGTATGCGCACCGACCGGTGCGGAAACGGCGCGGCGACGCTGATTTGCAAAGTGCAAACGCAGGGCGCGCGAGTGCTCACTTGCGCTGCAGATGCCGGAACACGTGCGCTGGCCCCGAGACCGATACTCGTGGCTCCTGGAACTGTATGCGGCGCTTTGGACTCGGTTTGAGCTTTCTCGAACCTGCTGTGGATCCGGTTATACCAACTTGCTCGGTACTAGAAGGTTCGGACGACTTTGCGCGAGGATACGACGAACAACATGGCGCAAGACAACGATGGCAACAGCGCGCTTATCGCATGCCAAGCGGGTGCCCGCGGTTGCGAAGCTGTTCGCGACTGACACGCATCTGCGTCGACCTCGTGGGAGCCATGGTGCACGAACATGTGCTCTGCATTGAGAAGCGTCTGTGCGAAAATGGAAGCAAGGTTCAGAGAGCTGGGGTTGACGCCAGGGCGGCCCTCCAATGCATGAGCAGGAGCACGAACAAAACCGGGGAAATACAAACACTGGGCACTTTAACACGAGAGCGACTTTCGTTCGCCATGTCATAGATAGGAGGAATTTTCCACGACGCGACAAGTTTTCAAGATCAAATAAGTGATGCAGTTCGCCAAAGCATTCAGAAACGATGTTGACGCCAGATCTTCTATTCAACAGACAGGTTCACATCGAAAGAGCCCTCGAATGCGCAGATATGGGGCAGCGCTTTTCGGACAAGTTCCAGTTCTCGACGTAGTTGCTCAAGCGTCGGGCGTTCGACGAGCTTCACCGTCTTCACGAGTGCGTCCTGTAGCCAGTATCTGCGCACGGCGTGTGCGGCGTCGCGCTCGCTCACTGAATCGCCAAGAACGAGGAGGTTCAGATTGGCCGGGTAATTTGGATGTCTCTCAAGCTCTGCCCTGAATGCCTGCGTTTTCCAGTCCGATGGCGAGTGCGGAAAATCTGACTCGTAAATGCTTCGGGCAGAAATGATACGAATATCGCTCGAGTCGAGATGTTGCAAAACTCGTGGCATGAAGCGGGCCGCTGAAAGTTGCACCCAACCAGTTTCCGCATTGGTAATGACACATACGCGGCCATATTGTTGGGCGTCATCCAAAATACCAATGACGAGATCTTCTAGTGCATCCAGATTTGCGACAAGTTCCTGCGGTAACGATTCCGTGTCATCTACGCGGAAACCTAAAGTTGAGAGCCACGTCGACGAGAGCAGCGTATCGTCCCAGTCGAAAAGCATGATCGTGCAATCAGGAGCACAGATTCGCCTCGCCTGCTCCCGCTGGGTCGCGAACCCAGGGCTGTTTCGGTCGTGGTGCTCAATTTTCAAACCATTTTCCGGGACGTCCAGAAGCGACCATTCCGCGCACCTCCGTGAAAAGGAATCGGAAGGTTCGGGCGCGGTCACACGCTGGCGCTGCCATGATTCGCCGCACGTCAAATCTACACCATGGACGACAGGTGCACTGCTACTAGCACCGTCTACGTCGCCAGAGGTAAACTCCGCCGCGACTCCAGAGGACAGCATCCAGCTTCGATCATTTTTCCTAGTTTCTGTACAAACATGTACTGCAAATCGGTTGTTGTCGAAGCTCTCATACGAATCTGGTTCACATAACATTCTCAGCGAGTCCCTGGGCAGCATCTCGTCCCCGTCTGAGACAGTGCGGGAGAACGACTCTGCCGCAACGGTTGATGCGGTATCAGGTTCTGATTCGGACTCCGAATCACTCAGGTACCCAGGTAGGGCGTCGTCCTCCGGGACGAAGCGCCCTGCGAGCGAAAAGCGCACGAAAGGGGTATTTTCCTTTTCAGAGTCGCCCAAACCCTCAGATTCCGAAGCAAAGAGACTCTGCTCGTCACGCCAGGACTTGGCCGTGGAGGATGACGAGTTCGCGTGATCCTCGGCGGCGCTGATCGATAGCGAGTCTTCCGGTACCTCGGTTTCCACGGACATACTCGAGGTGTCGTCGGGTGTCAACGAAGGACAGAAGTTCACTCGAACTGTTAGCGTCTCTTGATCCGAGGAGCTGCTCCGATCCAAGACAGAAAGGCGTCGACCTCGTTGGCGTGCGCCGCAACCGTCTCGAAGAGTTCGAAGTCTGTTACGCTGTGAAGCTATTGAACCAGCAACTGCTCCCATCAAACCTGACAGAGCCCACCCTCTATACGTACAACAGATAAATCTAGTCCGTTCACGGACGAGAAGACCGTTCCGGCTACGCTTTCCGTTTCGCTGCAGACGTCTCCGTGCGCGCTTTTCAGAGTTGTCACAATCGCCAGCTCACTGCGTCGATAAATACCACGAACACAAACCACAGTGTGACCAGGAGCCAGTCAGAAACCAGACAAGCGCTGTGGAGTCCAAGAAAAACGAAGTTCCCACAACGCTCGTCGAGGCCTCACCTAGAACACCCCTGAAGACAAACGTCTTTGAAAAGGAGAACGCTGTCGCCGGCGGTGTACAGCAGTGGCGGCAAACGGGTCCTAGACAAATCGTCCCCAACTGATGGGCAGACACCTCGCCGTCTTTCTCGACCGGTCACCCACTACTGGTTTCAACTTTTTCTCATATAGTTCCACTTTGGAAGATTGTCCAATTAAGTTTTCTCTTGTCAGTTATGGAAGTCTTCTTTCCATCACCGCACATCTGCTTATATTGATAGCGGCATTAAAGTCACGGTTCACGAATTCCATACGTTTCTTCCCGTTGACTGTACTTACTAATGCAAGGGGTCCACGAACTTTCGACATCCTTTCCATTTGCTCTTCCGTCAGCGGTCCATACTTTTTTATACCTTCAGGGCTCCGGTGGCACTTTTCCATCTCCACTCTCTGCAGTGTACAACCCAGCTCATGGTGTGTATACGATGTTCGAAACTCATCTACAGGTATTGTAACAAAACGCCGTGCACACTCCATGTACGTTCTTGCCGTTGGAGCTGGTGTACACCCTTTTTGTATCCTCCGGCGCCCTGCTCCGTACGCTACCACGAGCCCTGACTTTCATTCTCCTTCAAGGCACTCATTAAAAAATTCGCGAACGCGCGCCGCTTCCCACAATACAGATTCATTCGCAGACGAGCGCACCGGGGATTTGTATACTCTTCCCACAGCGCATCCCAATGAGCAACACGAACTTCCATGAATTTCCGAAAAGCTTCCAAGTCCGCTCCGCGGCTCGTCACCTCACTCAAAGCTTCCAGGTGATCCTTCATTCCTGCATTCCATGCCTCAATTTTCTTCCTTGCATTCATGATTCCCGATTCTCGATAGTATCTTGCTCTCGAGAGCCTCAAAAGACGCATGTCTTTCCGACGTAAGTTGCCGTCAGTACCATCTTCCGCACGCTTGGGTGCTGCGATGGTTGCGATATTTGTGTTTCCGGGGTCCGCGCCAACGACAAAGTCGTTATTCTGCACTTTCTGCGTCGCAGGATACGCCTCCTTCTCATCTTCATGCTTCGTTACGGACAATATTGAAGACGGCACTGGACGATCTGCCTTCAAGCGCCGATAGTGTACACACGTGGCTACTCCATCGGTTTCGATCATTCCAGTGAATACCTTTTGTTTGCTGACTTTGAGAAGTTTGAAATTGAAGATGTTCTTCCAGTGCGTCTCCCGCTTATCAGCGGAGAACTCCTCCCTGCTGACACTGAACTCCGGACTGATCTCCTACATGATGCCGTAAAGGATTCTGGAGTCGATAGTCACAAAATGTGACCTGATGTTGCACATTGGAACGCCGTTGAAGCGCTTCCCCATTAGGAAAGCCTTCCGTCTCTCCCACGCTTCATTTTTTCCTCACCCAGTTTCATCTCTGCCTCGCGTCCCAGTTCTCGGTCCAGGAACACAAAATATCGCAGAATGAGGCGATAGGATCTTCCCTCATCTTTTTTCAACGCTGATATCTTTTCTGCTGAATTCGCCAACCCCAGTGCCGCACGATGCTCTTTCATAGCCGCACGGATTACAGAATCCTCATTCGTGCTCTCATTTGACTCCTTCTTCTCGACAAATTCGACCTCATCTTCACGCTTGCGATCTTTCGTGATGCCATTGATAATCGCCCATATTCCTTTACGAGACAGGTCCGGGTAGAGTGCAACTACGGCGCGTATCATGAAACGTTCGAGGTTCACGATCAGATGGTTCTTCAGGTTCGTGAGGTACTTCATCGCCCCATAGTCGTACATATCCCGGTCACCCTTGTATCGAGTACCATTAAAGCTGTAAAAGGAGTGTTTTTCGTGGAGGACGTGCACCCGCTCATTTTCCCTCCGCGCTTCCTCTGTACCAAGCATCAGGTATCGAATAAAGGTCTTGTCGAAGAACTTGTCCGGAATCTTGACCGTTTCCATTTGCGTCACGTCGCGATACGTCTCCCTCGCCAAATGCATCAGTCCTGACGACGCCTTCACAATATTCCTGAAGTAAGAGTCGACACGTTTTTCGACAGCGTCTCGCAACTTTTCCCTGCAGGGATCCTTGATATGTCCAAGAAGAAAGGCTTTCACCACCATCTCGTCGTACTGTCGTCTTTCTTGCGGCCTTCGACGTAGAGCCTCCCCCTTTCGGTTCTTTTTCTCTTCCTTTTCTTCTGGACTCGGTAATGTTTATTGTTTTTTTTTCTGGCAGCCAGCCACACTGAGCCTCCAGGATCGTCGACTTGCTTTTTCATAGCCTTCATTTTTTAGTTTTTTTGAAAAAGAACGCTCTTTGAACGCTTCTGTCATATACTGCGAAAAAACACTTTACTAGACTTGTTTGAGGTTTGAGGCACAAATGAAATGAAAAACTGCTTTTTTGTGAAACTCCAACGGAAATCCAACTTGTTCCGGTAGTACACGCTTCTGATCAGAATCGCTTTTCTCTTCAACGGCGACATGCGCGTCTTGTCAGTTGACTGCCCGATCTCCCTGATGCGCTCACCGAGCGGGATTCTTTTTTCATTGACAAGACGTTTACTTAGGCCAGCGTTCTCCGACTGTGCGCTTTTTCTTTTCTTTCTTTTTTTATTTGGTTTTCTGCGCGCGTTGAAGTATCCATCAAACACCCTACTCCCAAGTCACATTACCTAAACTTCTTCTCGGATTTTCTGGTCGTTTCATGCGTTCTATCACACACCTAATGCCTGCCCTAGTCATCCGCAATAGCGTCTTTACCTTCGGTACAGTTGCATCACGGAGACAGAACGGCGTTGCCGTACCACAGAGGGCGTCCGTTCGAACTGGGGTACGGATCATACGTGGATCGCGGCGAACGGGGTTGTGACCGGGTTCTTTGTGCGTCGCTCGAATGTGCGTTTCCTCCAATGCCCTGTAGCTGCTGGTTCAGAAGCATTCGGTTCTGGTCTTTGAATTCAGCTCCGACTTTGGATTACATGAGAGAGCGTCAATTTTCGTGTAGGTCATACCTATTTTCAGCTTTGGTGCGGACGCGTGCACGAACGTCACGCTTTCCAACGACTACATGGAGCCCCGAGCCGTTGGGAACGATCCCAACACGACGAGCTCCGCCGCTCGAGAATACATCGGAAACGATGGTGCACTGCATCCACATGGAACACGAGCCGCAGTCGAAGCGTGTCCCTGCTCTGTGCCCAAGAGTGCACTGATCTAGGGCAACTCCAATATTCAATGTACCGTTTTCAAATGCACTGCATCCACATGGAACACGAGCCGCAGTCGAAGCGTGTCCCTGCTCTGTGCCCAAGAGTGCACTGATCTAGGGCAACTCCAATATTCAATGTACCGTTTTCAAATGCACTGCAAGCGCCAGAGTACTGCAGCGCAGGTGCGACGATGGCGAACCGGACACCAAATGAAACCTTGGACGCACTTGCGCTCCAGCGGCACACACCCGTTCTATGCGAGCTGTCTACTGCGCTATTGGGAGATACAGTGCTGTTCGGGGCTCAGCAAAGTCAAGCAATCTTTTACGACCAGGAGCCGAACTGTTAGTGGCGTCTGGGCTCTAGGGGGCGAACAGTTGAACCGGCTCGAGCCGCTCGTACCAGCGAGGTCAAAGACTTGGGGGTGTCGTGGTGGACACCTCGCCCGACGAGCCGCTACCGCTTAGGTCTGGTTGCGTCGAAGCGGCACGTCCGCTGATGGAAGCACCATCGAACGTGGTTCGAGTCGGCCCCGACCGTCAGTCTGCCCAGGTAGCGCTGAGCGAAACGCTGAACGCAGAGCCTCGAGAGGCGTGCCTCGGCTTTCTCGCCCAAACCTGGCGATATCGCACAGCGACAGCTTCGAGATCCACCTGGTTCGTGTCTTCTCGATTTCGTAATGCCCTGCCACAGCCAAGCCGGACTGCACCGAATCGGGGCTTGAAGCGGCGTACTGTGCCAGTAGCGCGTGCCTCGCCAAGCGAGCGCTCTCCTGCACACGCGGACAGTGGTGGTACCGCGTACCCTCGGGTGGGAGCGCCACAACCAGCGAATCGCCCAAACTGGTTTCGAGTGCCTGCTGTTGGAGCACTCCGTCCGGACTCACGCTTTCTTCGTCTGCGGGAGAGTCTCCGAGCGAGAAAACTGTCCACAGTTTGCGAGGAGGCCCAATGCCCCAATATCGGGGAATGTTGGAACGGGGAGCACGCCACCGCTACCATCATGCTGCTCGGAGATACTTGTACTCGAGGGTGCCGATTCTGTGCTGTGAAAACTGCAGCTCGACCAGGACCACCAGATCCTGAGGAGCCCATGAATGTGGCTGCAGAGGTTGCGAGTTGGGATATTGACTACGTTGTTCTCACAAGCGTCGATCGTGATGATTTACCGGATGGGGGCGCAGCGCACTTTGCGCGCACGGTCCAGTATTTGAAGCAGTTGCGTCCACAGTCTACTAGGGTTTCTTCTGATCAGGATGCACAGCAGATGCCTCCGACGAAGCGGCCACTCTTCGTGGAGTGTCTCGTTTCCGACTTTGCCGGCAACACTGATGCCGTTCGCTGTCTGGCAACCTCTGGACTCGATGTGTATGCACATAATCTTGAGACTGTGGAGCGCTTGCAGCAATACGTTCGGGATCCGCGAGCAAACTATGCACAATCCCTCTTCGTGCTGCGGCTAGCGAAGGAGTTCAATCCGCAACTGGTGACCAAGTCATCTTTGATGCTAGGTCTCGGTGAAACGCCACAGGAAGTCCTGCAAGCTATGCGGGACTTGCGTGATCACCAAGTTGATGTTGTGACGTTTGGGCAGTACCTTCGTCCGACTCCGCATCACCTGTCCGTTGTCGAATGGATTCATCCGGACCAGTTTGCCACGTACAGAAAACTCGGGGAGGAGATGGGTTTTCTCTACGTGGCCTCAGGGCCCCTGGTGCGCAGCAGCTACCGAGCTGGTGAATACATGATGACGCGGCTCGTCGAGCAACGTCAGCAGTTCGCGACTCCGACCTGATTTGCATTCATGTCAGTAGTTTATCTGGATGACGAGCAAGCTTTGCGACTGAGGTCTATGAACGGCGTTCGCACGCTTGCAGACAATGGCAACGAGTCTGTGCTTGGCACGTTCGCGGCACAGCACATGAGCGCGAGTATGACGCACGGTTTGCGAACGAGAGTGCTTCGATTTGCGCGATTCGCTTGGAACGCCACGTTCACAACTGCTACAAGAAAACGGGGATTGCTTCTCTGGTCTCGTGCCGATACTCCAAGTGGATGTATCTGGCAAACCTAGCGACTTGCAGGCGGTGAATACTTGCTTTCGCGGGGCGCGCTACGCAAACCGCCACCAGCTCTTGAACCGAATTGCCGTGGCTCTGTATCTTTTCATGATGACGCTCTGGATGGTGTCCTTGGCGACGTGTCGTTCATATATGCAGCGTTGCCGTGTTCTCGTGAAAAGCTTCATACATTCGACACATGCGTGCATGTCGCGGGACTCGCGATGTCCAGCAATGACGCACAGGTATGCGTCGAATGAAGCACCACGCAAGGGTAATGCTGCGTTGAACGATCAATTGCTGTGCTCCATTCCCCGGGATTTATTGTCTGTGATGGGTCCTTGTACCGTTCCTGGAAATCTTGTGCCCGTGCATCGCGCTGCCGCCTGCAGAACAACAAGCGCATGCGAGTCGGCAGTGCTCCTGGGCAGACAGCAACCGTTCGTGAACGGATCTAAAACTTGGCTTTGTGCTGATATCTTTGGGGATTGCTGCTCCAAGAGGCCCGCGTGCATCGCATTCGTATCCGTCATGCACACCTGGTATGCCTGTCGATCATTCGTATCCTTCATACATGGATACTACGCGTGTACGGTACACGGGGTAGCCCGCGACTCTCGAGAAACGATCTCTCCAAAAGATCGCGAACGGTTTCATTGGAAGGACGCCAGACCTATGACGACCACGATACATCCAGTCATCTGAAACACAGGGCGTGCCTTTATGCTGTCGAAAAAAGGGTTAACCTGCGGCGCGGTCACATGTCAGATGCATGGCTACACTGGTTTGGACCTCTCTTCTCCAATCAGAGAAATGCCTTCCACGGTACTTGGCTGCAGTACGAAAGACAGCCTCACAGGTTATGCGATTGAGCACAATTGTGAACAGAAAGAGAGCCAGATCGGGCTGGCGGAGCGCCAGAAGCATTGCCAGCACTGGACGGATTGTTCGGGTGTTCCAGAAGCCGCCCCATGTGAGGATAAACCACAGCACCCGATGGAACCAGGTGTACTGCACCATCATTCGAACAGACACTGTCGGCATTTTCTGGTAAAACATATAACCCATGATACCGCGCTCCTCTTCTATTTGGACCAAGCGCGGCATATGGTTCAGCTCGAACGGCGGCTTGTAATGGAAAGCCAATGCACCATCAGCAGCCCAGGGAAGTCGAACGTGGCGAAGCCTGCCCTGTGTCGCATGGCGCAACCGCTCGCCGCACTCCAGATCTTCCCAACCGTACAGGCAAAAGTCCTCGTCGAAGCCCCCGCATTCGCGGAAGAGCGCTCTCGAGACACTCGCATTGGAGGTACAAAAAAATGCCCGAGAAGCGTCAAAAAGCGGATGGAATCGCAGTCTCCTCTCATGAGCATCGAGCGTATGGACGTGGAGAACGGGTCCAACGGCGATGCTGGGTACCTGGGGTGCAGCGGCGTGGGCGCCCCAGTGGGCCCGCAGGAAACCCGTTGCCACCATGACGTCGCTGTCGACAAAGACGAGCACCTCACCATTTGCGACGCTCACACCGTGGTTTCTAGCACGTGCAGGTCCCGAGTTACGTTCCAGTTGCAGCAGCCGTACGTGCGGATAGCGCTGCTCGACCTGCTGGGCAGTTCGTAGCCAGTCCGCCGTGCCGTCCGCACTAGCGTCGTCAATCACCAGTATTTCGTACGGAGAACCTGGGTCTTCCTGTTTTTCGAGACAGTCCAGGCAGACTTCAAGCACGGGACGCCTGTTGTACGTCGGCACGATGACCGAAAGCGAAGCGCTTACGCTGCAGCGTCGCTTCCTCTTTGCGACAGCTTGCGGCAGGCGCACGACTTGCCCCGCGGTGAACAGGCGACACGTTCCACGCTCATGGATAACAGCGCGGGATAAGGTTTGGAGTCTTCGAGACTCAGAAACGGCACAGTTTGCGTACATAAGCAGCACGACAGCGGCGTCGCTCGAAGCACGCCGCCCGAGTTGTGTACCACTTCACGTCGCAAGTTTCTGAAGCCACGGGATCGTGCCCTTTGATTCTCTCAGAGTTGACGTCTCACTTCGGACTCGTGCCTTTGGCGGAGCCCGCTTCCACCGGCACAGACGATAAGCCTCTCTCTGAAAAGCGTTTGTTGTGACGGTTCCTTACGGAAGCGATGATACCAGTGTTCGCTGCTGGCGTTGCGCTTGTCGATCCGGCATCGGCCGGGCAAGAGGCGTTCAAGTCACGTGTGCAGCGGCGTTCACAGACGCTCGACATACGAGCCTTCCACGTGTATGTGCTTTCGCCTCCTTGAGGAATGGTACCCGACTATATGAGCAAATGGGAAATCGGCAGATGTCCTGTTCAGGCTTTTGTCCAGAAACGTCAAGGCTTGGAAATGTAGGGGTGTCCGTTTTCTTGGCTTCATGCCCTGAAATATGGGCGCTACACTCTTGTTGGACGCAAATCGAACGGGCGCAGTTCGTGAACTCGGGCGTACAGACATACAATGCAGGTCTCTTCCAACTGAGGTGACCATAGGCATTTGCGGGCTTTATCTGCGACTGCTACCTGTTACTGGGCCTTATCACTGGTGTTCATGAACCCGTTCTCGTCGATAACTTCACCTCCGTTCTGAGCAGACCATGAATGTTGATGACAACTTCAGCGTTCCGAGTTCGCTTTTTCCGGCTGTTGTGGACGTCTTCTACGCAAAAGACGCAAGCCGCAATCTACGCATTGCTTCCCATTTTCATCTTCTATGGATGCAGCATCGTTGTGCCTTGCAAAGTTGTAACCTTTGACTGGGGTCGGGTGTTCCTGTATGTCTTCCACACCTCAGCCTGTTCCGATAGTCACCCTTGGCGCGTGCACGCTTGCTTCATTGCTTGGTACCAGCTCCTGACAGATACAGAGGGCTCTCCTCGATGCCTTGCTCTGTTTCCGCGCCTGGTGCCGTACCCTTCGATCACGGGCTTCTTCTGGACGATCCGTTCGGCATGTACGGTGCCAGCTGCATGTGCAAGCCGAGGATGCTTCATTCGATGAAGGTTTCACGGAACCCGATAATGTCCTCGATGAAACAACCACCAGTAGGGAATTTCAGATTAGAGAAGACATAGGGAAATTTCGATCAGTTTTCGTCTTTTTCAGACAAAGCTGACGTGTGCATGCCGCCCGAGGCAATCGTTATGATGTTTGCATTCCGAGTCCAGGACCCTTTCCATGGACACAAAAGACGAAAGAGGCCCTGGGAGCGTATCCCGTGAGAGGCAGCATACTGTTGTGGAGTGCCATTCGGTCGATGGCTGCCAATAGACAAGGATTTGTGTCTGAATAGAATCGATGACTTAAGGTGGCAAGTTCATTGCACTGTTATGCATGAACTCGTGTGGCATTCTTCATGGGGCGGCATCGAATATTCTTCTCCTCGTCTATTAAGAAGCGCTACTCGCTGCGCTCAAGAGTTGCTTTACAACGGAAAGACCCGAAACTTGAAGAATGCGTGATTATAAAAGTTGTGCATCAAAGAAAACGCTCGAAATACACTTGCAGACCGTTGAGGGCAATATCTCGTAATAATCTGTGACGAGTTCATGCGACGGAAAGGTGCAGGTTTTAAGCTCAGCTCCTCAATCTCGTGATCAGAGCGCGCACATCATGGAACATTTACAAACTTCTCTGTCCAAGAGAGTTCTCGGAAAAATCATTGTCATGGGCATCGGGATTGCTGTCGTGACCTGGGACCCGCTCAAAGCCCTCCATAGTCGGTGTCTGCAAACCCGAAGCCGCGCATCGACAAATCCCAACTTGTGCCACAGCCGTATTTGCCAAGTCACATCTATGCGTTTGTGGCGATGACCAGCTCCACATTCGCCCGTGTCTCCCGCTCGAATAAAGCAGATGCCGAGGCGCTGCACTTGCCACGCCAGTAGCGCGAGCATTCATCCGTTAGCATCGACGTCATGATCGTGGTATCGAAGCTGTTGCTGTTCTGATACGCTTGGCGCGAGGATCCATGACAGCCATCCAGAGCGGGGGCACCAGCGCCAGAAGCATCATCGCCGGAAGTCCCGCCGGGTGCTGCGGCCATTCCTCTGGTCGGTTTTCCAGCCGGGAGTACCAGCGTGCAGCATGTAAATGGTGATCACTGTGATACTCAAGCTTGAAAAGGAGGCAGCCACTGAGCCAGTGGTGATTATTCCACGAGTGTTGGGCAGTGACCGGCTCCTCAGGCGACATGCGTTGTAATCCATAATGCTCGACATAGTTCACGAGCTCTAGCTGGAAAACCCCGAATGCGGAACCAATCAGATAAACCATTAAACCATGGACGTACCTCGATCGTCGGCTAGTTTCGATCATGGTTTCAGTTGCTGGCCACGGTAGTGTACACGCAAAAGCGAATAGCTGAAGAATGAAACCATACGCCAGCGTGTCCAGCAAAATGCGCTCACGCGCATCGGGCCAGGTCCGTGGAGACATCACAACTCCCCGAACTGCTCGAGGCAGGAAGCGGTAGAACGACTCCCCAGGTCGTGCGGTGGCTGGATCATGCGCAAGTCCTACATTCTTATGATGCCCACGGTTATGCTCTACGGCGTACGGCCCATACCCGGCCATAATCAGCAGACATCGCGCTAACAAACGGTACATGACGTGCATCTTGTGGTTCAGTTCGTGTGCGACATTGATACCGAGAGCCATGACAATGCCCAGTGAGAGCGCCCAAAGGAACGTCTGCAACGGTGCCCAGGCTGGGCTGATCCTCGCTACCCGCCAGCTTAGCAGTAGAATTACGAGCGTTTGCACAGGGAGCCACAGAGTAAGTGGTAGGCGGAATAGTGCAGTTTCCGCTGAGGGTTTCCATGAGTTGCGCTCTGGCAAGTCAAGCAACGGTACCAGCACGTAAACGGTGAATGGCAAGAACCACGGCCAGTTGCGCCAAATAGCCCAAGCTTCCAGTCCAGCAAGCAGGTAAATCGCCCAAAACCTCCACCAAGGTGCGCGCAATACGCTCATAAGTTCCATGCAGTTGGGAATCTTCGCAAACGTGGATGATGATGATGATGATGACGACGACGAGGATGCTTTGTCACACTATATACACTGTGGCGTCGTGCTCTGTTGCCACGCGATGAGCAGAACCGATTTTCCCACACCGAGCTCGTCGTCGTCGCCCTTCGCAGTGTTGCTAAGCGTTCTATCCAAGACGACGGCGTATCCCAGCTTTGCTAGCGAGAACACACACACACCAGACAGACAGACAGACAGACAGACAAGTCGCCTTGAACAAAACGTCTAGAATTTGCGGGAGATTGCGAGACGCCCGGCGTGAGGCGCACCCGCTGCCTCCAGTGCGCCGAGTACCCCGACGTGAACTGGAGCACCGCGTGTATCTCACGCAAGAAGCGATGCAGCCAGCGTCTATGCTCATGACGAAGCGCTTTCGGAGCACTTGGCAAAGCATCGACAGCAGGATCATGAAACATATCAGGGCAAGCGCTCGTAGAAACGGACTTGTCGTACAGGATACGAGTCTTCCGAGGCACAGGCCAGGGCACCGCGCATCCCGCTATCGCCAGAGTGTGCTCGAGACAGCGCCCTGGATACCATGGCAATATCGCTGGAGCCTCAAGTCGACTTTGCTATCCAGAATCGTTATCTGGAGCGTGTAGTCATCCGATGAATGCGTACAAAATGGATGAAATGTCTCCGGGTCTGTCCATTCAGCGTCTGTGATCCTCCATGCCGTCGCCCACATGAGGTGACGAAGACGCTGAGTCAGCAGGGGCGGCACGCTCGCCATTGCTGCGAGATGTCTCGCACAAAAGCCGCGATGATGGAAGCGTTGCGAGCATATCCAGCGCTAGTCGGTATGCATACGAGCGAAGCGAACGCCAGCTGCAGCTGGGCGTCAGGGATTTGCCTCATCTACCGAGCGTCTCTTGCAGGGCGGAGCACTTGTTGTGGCCCAGGAATGGGCACTGATCGCAAGGGTGACGCGGTTCATGTTCCGCATGCCCGGCAAGTTCTACGCACCGTGACACAGATATATGGGGAAGCGCTTGCGGGATCCACCATTCGCCTGGCTAGTCTGCCGACGAGCGACACCAGCGTTTCGGTTATCGATTACGGTTGCTGACACTCCGGACGCGCGGGGATCAGGTACGAGTCGTTGATGCTGCACCATAAAAGTGCGTACGACACCAGTATGTGATTCGTGGAGCGTCCAGTCTGCATGGTTCTCTCCAGCGACATGCTTCCTTGCGTCTGCGTACTTGTCACAGTGCATACGATTGCCCGTGACGGAATGCTATCGGCCCCGAGGATGCTCCAAGCCCGTGTCCGATGAACACGGAGCACTGAATTGCAGATTCTGTTCTTGGGATTCGATTTCTTTCCGAATTTTATGATGTACATCTTTGACATTCAAAGTGCAGCAATACCGGCTGACGGACCCTCGTGTGGATTCAGGATTCTTGGACATCTGTTGGGCGTGACGCTTTCAACGTTTTGTCTGCCACTGGAACTCGTCACGTCATTGGAATCAAGATGATTCGGTGCGCTTCCGAACCAGAATTTCAAAAAAACACGTACTCGAATCCGATTCGCAAGTCGAAAGCGTCCACTATTCGCCTGTTCATACCTATGGCAAGCTCAAATCACGCCTACTTCAAGTTTTCGATCTTTCGATGTCAACACAGCTCGTGGACGCTGCAATGCATATCGCTGGATTGATGGGGAAAGAAACTTGACGTTGCTCCTTGACGATTTGTTCACAAGCGCAAGCCGAGAATTCACTGAACTTTTCACGTCATATCATTGATTCCGTTCCAACGCAAAAGCTTCCGCTCTTTGCGTCGATCGACGAAGCGGTGCTTGACATCAGCATGATACCTCTAAGGGAATATGCGTTTACGGGGGCTCCTGTCCCTTCTGTTTGCAGGAAACAAGGTCGTGGACGCGGACATGCGTCGCAGCCACGATCACTCCCATTCGAGCGTTCACCGGTGCGTTGCGCGAAGTCAGTGTAGACGGATTGGAATTTCTGAACCTCTGCAGCGTGGAGCTTGCTTTTGTACTCGTTCGATCCTGGATAACATTGCGTTCCACAAATCCTGTCTCGTATGCAACAACGTGCGCTTGTGCATGTACTCTACCGAGTACTCGTAGCAGGAATCGCGTGGGAGAAGCCCCCGTATCGTTAGGATCGGCACCCGGCGCTCATACGGAGGCGAGTATCCAGGGAAACTGTCAGTATCCGTCAAGGATGTGTACCGAGCGATGAATCAGGCGTTCAAGATCTGCAGTGCAGCCTACGGAGAACGAGGTGTTGTAGTCTTCTGAGAACACCTAACCATACGCAAGTGTCACAGCTTCGAAACGGCACATCGAGGCTGTGTGCAAACTCGAAGTTGAACACAGCCAGCGATGCGTCAATCGCAACCTGTGCCTATGCATGAAATTCTCGGACAATAGCCGGAAGCAGAGAAATCGAAACCTTAACGCTTCCACCAATCTGCTTTTACAGCTGGCAACAGAGCTGGTGGAAAAGAAGACACCGGCGTCATTAAAGCCAGAGACGAGCGAGATGGAGAAGAAGCATTCGCAGAAACAAACCCACAAAGAGCACTATTCATAACTGGAACATGAGCCCCAGACGTTACTGCCCCAAGTCCGAGTACTCGAACGAGTCCCGGTTGATACTGGCACAGGTGCGAAATGCGCTCGAACGCCGAGCTTCACCGGAAGCGCAGCTTTCGCGCAGCTGCGGCTGCAACACTGACAACCTCGTAGCTCCTCCACTGGACTGGTTAGTAGCAGCTTCGGGAACGGGAGCGAGTGCTTTGCGCTACTTCCTTGTGTGTGTGTATGATCTCCGAGGCCTACCAAGACACCAGGGTCTGAAAACATGCACTCGAACTTAATCGTTGCGGTGGCACTCTCGACTGCAGCTGGTCTATCGACTGCGCTTGGAGGCCTTGCGGTCGTTCTGCTACCGGGCGCGAAGAGTGCTTCGGGTGAGCACAGGCTGGGGCGTTGGCAGGGCACCACTGCGGGGTTTATGGTTGGCCTCAGTTTCTTTGATCTGCTGCCGGAAGTATATCGAGCCCGGAATCAACTGCCACTGCCTTCGTCGGTGCTATGTTTTGTGCTCGGTGCACTGGTGTTTGCGCTGCTGGAGCGGCTGGTTCCAGAGCCTTTCACGGAAACAGAGGCGAGCTTGGCCGCCCCGGACGGCATCGGTATTCGCTCGTATTCATCAGCTGAAACGCCGAGTGCGAGGCGTGGACCGTCCTGTGCGCCAAGTTTGAAAGCAGGCTTCAACGCCGAGCGCCACCGCCAAGGCACCAGAGCTGTGGCACTTCGCTCGGCGCTGCTGACGACGCTGAGCCTCGCGCTGCACAATCTCCCGGAAGGCATGGCTGTTGCGGCCTCAGCATTGAGCGGAGGACTCCGGTTGGGGTTGCCTCTGGCTATCGGTATTGCCCTGCATAACGCACCGGAGGGATGTGCGATAGCGGCGCCTGTGTACGCTGCCACGAACTCGCGCATCCAGGCCGTAACCTGGGCGTTGATCGCAGGCCTCGTAGAGCCACTGGGCGTCTTCTTCTTGATATGGTTCCGGCTTAACCGCAGGGCTTTGACGGGACTGTTGGCAGGAGTCGCTGGCATCATGACCATGCTGTCCTGTACCGAGCTGCTGCCCCAAGCGCTCCGTATGAATGAGCAGCGGCCTGGCGTCGTATTCAGTGAATTCGCTTTCGGCATGCTCCTGATGCTTGGTCTGCTTTCCGTGGTCCGATGGTCATTTGGTGTCGAACTGTGAAGACGGTGTCTGCGAGAGCACTGTAGAAGCTCACACTGGCACGTTTTGGCCGGAGCTCTCCAGACGATAACAGAGAGCATTGCTCCGAGGGAAGCACCTATGTGCGTCTCGATATGCGGCGTCCATCCAAGGCCGCAGTCTTCAGATTCTCAAGCGCTCCTGAGTTGCCTTACGAGGAAGCGAAATACTGGCACTTCTATCGTTGGTGTTTGCGAAGACCAGCGGCGGCACGAAACTTCCAAATGATTGTGACGCGATACAGAAGGCGAAGCTCGGTAATCCCTCGATCTATGAAGACGAAGTGTGCTGCGTTAGCATGGAGCGCATGGTGTTCCCAGAGTCCGATAAGACAACTTCCTGGATTTTTTTCTGATCTGAATGACACTGCGTCTCAGGGTAGTAGCTGGTGTCGTGCTTTCGATGTCATCCATTGCGTCTTGTACCTAAAGCGCGCTGTGAAAGCGCTAACACACAATTGATGCTTCTGGCGGTAACGTGCCTGGTGGAATTGCTGTGAAGGCTTCCCCTGGAAAACATATCCGCGGGGAAAATCTTCCGAGTGGTGAGATGCAGGACTCCATTTGGCATCACGTAGCTTCTTACTCGAAAAAGCCGCATCGAGTTTCACGGGACTCGACGCAGCTCAATAAGCGACTCTACATTTGAGGAGCGGACGCAAGACTTCCAGCTGTCTACATTTCCATGGGACTTTTCGATCAAACCTTTGTGCGTCGATGCAGCCAATGCACGGGACAGAAGACGTCATTCAGCCTGATGAAAAGGTCAGCGTGTTGCACATACGGGTGCCAGCATACTTCGATGCGTGGCTGCACCACCTCTTCCACAGAAACGTCTAGATCGCTGGCGCCAACGAGCGTTAGACACAGCTCACAAACCAAAACAATATGCGGGTCAATCTTGGGCGCTTCACGAAGTGCACCTCATGGGCGCCGTATTTTCTATTTACTGCCCCGAACAAGTGGGGATTGATGGAACGCGTTCCTGAACCTGGTGATGCAAGGAAATGGCGAGTTGATGGTAGCCGAAGACGACAACATGGTGGCGAGTTCGAAAGCGATACCCCAACGAGATCGGGAGTCGCCTTGGATCGTCGATGCTGACCGTGCATCGCTCGGCCTTGGAGCTGAGAAGCTCTCATTCAAAAGATGGTGAGATCGTGATGCTTCGCTTCCGGGAATCTTGCGTCAATGCGTTCTGTGAAACAGAAACCGCCGCCCCAGAGCAAAAGCAGACGCGCTCTTCGAATCCGCGCGTCATCACGCTCCTCGAGCATCCATTCGATCCAGTTCTCATGTGTCAGATCAAGTCCGACGATATCGCCGTAGACACTTCTGTGCTCCACGGGGTAGTGCTGCTCGGCTTCCTCAGTGAGCTTCAGTTGATCTCTGCGAGCGAGTACGATGCAGTCAACCAACGTGAGGAGTAGTATCGGTTGTTGCCGTTCAGGGTTTCACGTTTACACGCGGGAAATCGAAAGCAGTCCACGGGTACGATGCGGCCCGCTGGCATATCCATCGAGATGCACTTTGTGAAACCTAGGTCCGAGTCAAGCGGCAAGACTCATTTGCATCTATGCGACATAAAAGAATTGGAAGACCTTGTAGCGGGGCGTGGATCTCGGATTCAAATGCGTTATGGCCTTCGCCATTCCGCCAAATCAGGAGAACGGAGCCAAAGACCTGGACTGAAACTAGACGATGATGCTGCACAGCTTTTTTTCGTCGACAATGATCGAGACTTGGATATGCTGGACACCAGGACGCCCACCTCGATGCGCTGAACGCCGAATCGAGTCCAGGGTGATGCCCAAGAAGCTGCATTCGGAGCGTGCATGAGCATCCCAAATGGATCACGCGGACGGCATCTTTATTTTCTTGGAAGGAATACATGGGAGTGCGCTGGCGTCGCCAACGTTTTCAATTGCACGGAGGAAACAAGCGTACGTTCGCCAACTTGTCCCATGAACTGGAAAAGGGACTAGCAAACATGCCGCATCGTCTTGGGTTCGCCGCTGACGCTGGACGTATTGTGTTGCGCACGGGCTGCATACCTGCATCTTCGTTAGAGCATCCATCAAGTCCAGAAATCGATTCTGTTGGATTTTCGTGAATGCGTTCAGGACGAGGTACACGCATCACAAACGCAGGTACACGCGGACACACTCAGAGAAGTAGAGCATGAAACAGAGCTGAATGCACGAGATGGTGTCCGGTACGCTGCCCGAACGTCGGCTGGCGAGGCAATCGAGGCTGTGCAGTTCGCCACGACATGAGTCTAACAGCGACAGCGCGCACAAGAAGTTCGCATGCACCGACCCTTGAACACCTCGATGAAGACCCGTCAATGTGCACTGCCTCGGGAGCGTCCGACCGCTGGATGTCGAGCGAACTTGCCAATGAATCGTTTCGTACGCAGCATGGGCGTTAATCAAGTCCCGTCAATGTGCACTGCCTCGGGAGCGCCCGGCCGCTGGATGTCGAGCGAACTTGCCAATGAATCGTTTCGTACGCAGTATGGGCGTTATGCTGAAAAACCTGAGACGTCCAACAAAGAAAAATCACCGGCCAGGAACGCGGACATTGGATTCCCCCGCCTGGAGACCAAGGCACTGGTACGGTACAATCAGCGATCCAGTAAAGCTATGGTGCCGTATACCTAGCGTGGAAACGATTTTACTGCGCAGCTGGTATACGATAATGGTGTCCCATTATGCGAAGCTGCCGCTTCCGAGTTACGAAAGCCAGTAGCAGCTACGACGCTGGGAAATGGATCCATTCTCTGGAAGCGTGCTGTCGCCCGCGTTCTCGATTCGGATTTGATGACAGAACATCGTTCGCAGCGGAGCGCGCTTTGCTTGTCAACGCTGGCGCGTGACTTTTACGACGACCAAGTTTAGTCGAATAGACCAAAGCCGAGATCCTCATCGGACTCCTCTGCCGCCTCCTTCGTTTCGGCCGCTCCGGACGCGGCGGCAGTGTCCTCGGCAGATGCCGTGCCAGCTGCCCCAGCTGCACCAATACTAGCGGCGGCGACCAATTCCTCCAGTTTGCTCGGATCTGAAAGGAGCTCTCGCAGCGATCGCGACTGCGGCATGTCGTAGTCGGCGGCGATACTCGCCGCAACGAGGTCCTTGGCGGCGCGCACCAGCAAGTGGGGAACAGCCGGCGCGGTCAGGTAGCCTGTTGCGAGTGAAATCGCCGCTATGGTGTCGACAGCTTCTCGGACTTTGTTCCGCAGATCGTCCGGAGTTATGTCGAGAACCGAGGGTTCATACATCGCGCCTTCTTCATAAATTTGTCGAATCTTCATGCCGTAGGTGAACGGCTCGATGCCCATTCTTTGTAACAGAGCAACTGCTGACGCACTAACCCGCTCATTCTGCTTGATCACTTGCACGTCCGACACAATGCAGATCGAGCCGCGCTCTATCTTCGTTGGAATCGAAAGAGCCTGGAAGAATGAGGTCATGTCTGGGGGCATACCTGTCGGCCCGGCAGGCACGAACACATCGCACTGAGCAATCTGACCCGCCTTCGCAGGCGCTGGCACCTTGTTTCTTAGGATGCAGTCTCGAACTTCACGAAGGTCACCACGAGTGAAAACAAAGCTGACATTCCCTCGTAACGCATGGAGCACTTTCTCGAGTGCAGGCTTCCGACTGACCCGATCTTTCAGCGTTTTCCGAATCACAGTGTTCTTGCCGCATAAGATGACGGAGTCGAGTGCTCGAAGCTCTCGACGGGCGTCTTGAAGTTGCTTCGATCCAACGTTGTCGATCTCAACGACTAGAATTTTGTCGTAGGTATCGAAGAGTTGCCCGGCTTTTACGATGTAGGCCCCTTTGCGTTCCTGTTTCGAAGGCATTGCACGCCTCGGAGTAAGGCTAGGACGCGGTTATCTGAACTTGTCACCGTATTCGATAAACGCTCACGCAGAGTGCCGCCCTCGTGAGTAACGAAGAAAGCCGCCAAGGCAGAAGCGAGCGCCACAGGCTACGCGTGGGTCTACAGCGTCCCCGAATGAGCGGGGTGGTGTGTGGGCCGCAGCGACGTGCGACGTCGCGCCGTCCAGCCGAACAAAGTCTACAATCATTGTATATAATGGGAAGGAAAGGACATGAGCACCGAAAGCGCAGAGCTGTGCGCGATCGCTGTGACGCGAGCGCGCCGATCTGTCGACAGTCGTTCAGCTCGGGTCTGTTTCAGCCCTGCTGCGTGATATCGAATGCTTTTTCGCAGTGTATAGCCGGAGATCGAAATCACGTTGCAGTGAACCACATACAATGTAGGCATCTCGCGTATAGGACATATTCTTTACTGAAGATCGCAACGAGGATTGCATTCCTCGTTCGGGTCAGTTATATCGCTGTACTCAGGTGACTGAGGAACAATGAAAGACCGCCATCAAAGCGCTCCGCGCCGAAAACCGGTGTTGTCAAAGACTGCCTGCGGCCAGTTGTAGAGAACGACACGTTTATCTTCTTGCGGAAAGCAGAAGCGACGACAGTCGTCACCGTGGGCGTCTCTGTTGCTCAACAGCCTATTCGTGTGGTCCAGAATACACTGGGTACAGTCCCAATGTAAGTTCAGGTTCATTCACAGCCATTTTCCACCGAAATAGCGACGACTACGTTGCTGGAACGTCGCGGCCTGTATGACGCACAGGGATTTCGGTTTGTTTTTTTAGTCGATGAGACTTTCCTCGGATGAGACTGTCAGAGCGTATGTAGAAATTCACGGAGAGCGAGCCTGTAGTATATAGCATGGAACTCGGAGAGAACGAAGACATTATCTGTTCCAGCTGCAGTGGATTTATATGGCGGCCTCAGCTTCGCTGATAGGAAAGACTCATCGAACAGCACCAACCACATCGTCGAATCATTGAAGACTTTTTCCAGACGTCTGGCGATGTCCTTCTATAGGATGACATTGTATTTCACCATCCGGCTTGCGTTCGAGCTTTCGCCGATTCTACCTGGATAGAGCTGCTTTTTGAATCCTCCGTAATCTCTATGGACTGACCCCATCGAAGAAGTGTTTTGAATCGGAAAACGTAAAGATCACTCCACTGGGCGATTCGCTGGAGTGTTCAGGACACGGCGACACACCGGGCTACATTACGTCTTTGTTGCGCAAGTGCTTGCCCCTCCGGAAAAGTCCTCATCCCGGGGCATACAGAAGTGTGTTTCTTTTGATGAACTAAGAAATCTGAGGGCTGAGCTGAGGCGTGCGCGTCAGAGGGTCGAGATGGAAAAGTGCCAGCGCAGCTCTGAGGACATAGAAAAATACGGAGCGCTGACGAGGGACCAAATTGAAAACAGGGCGCAAGTTTGAGAGCTATTCGCATGAGTGTATACAACCAACGGCGGCAAGAAACGCAAAAAGTTCGTGATCCGAGACTTTAACGCTGCTATGAATACCAGGAGATGTGCGGTACTAAAAACGAGACCCGCGGAAATGACGCGAGCCAACTCCGTGGGAGAACCTCGCAAGGTCGAACTCTACGCGGAGAAGTCGAAACCTGTCGCAGGGGGCCAGTCCAAAAACGCCGGGATGCACCTGCGAATCGATATTCATTTACCCTGCACACTCGTGAAAACGTTTTGTCAGTTTGCGCGCGCACTCGTTCATGGGTATACGCTGATGCGCGCGGATGCGATCACGCTCGCGATGCGCCTCTGAGGCAGCCTCTGCACTGAATTGTCGGTTGAATCCGTCGACACGCTCTGAAATACGCCGAAAATGCTCTCCTAACCGCGAATCTGAAGCTTATGAGCAGCCATAGTGCAAAGAGCTTTGATGTGACTGGGTCCAAGTGGGTCCATGTGCGGGGCGTGAGGTCGGGTCGGCGGCTTGAAGCGTCCGAGTGCAGCGTTCCAACTGATTCTGCGTCGTCACGGGCTCGTAACGTACGAAAGCAAAGACAGCGTGCTGGTTATGTGGATCTCGAGACGTCTCCGTTGACACCAGCAGCTTCAGGTTCCAGACGGCAGACGGTTGCTGCTTGTGGCAGTTCTCGGCGGTATCGCCGTTTTATGAACGAATTGTACTTGCGCTTGAGTGCGGTTCATTATGGGAGTGTCGGAGGCCTCGGCACTGAGGCCTTGGATTCACCGCTGGATACCTGGGAAGTTGGCGTTGAGCGGCCTCCAACGGAAGCGGCGTGGTTGCACGAATTCTGGACAGATATGCGCGAGCGACACGCCGAGTCTCCCCAGATGGAACGGGTACTTCGAGGAATGGGCGACGCATGGCATTTTTGGGAACCGTTTCGTGAATGCACCGAAGAAGAGGAGAGAATCTTGCTGGACGCCTTGTCTTCGATTCGGAAGAGCGTATCCGCACGCCATCGCTCGGGTGAAGCGCGCACCCCCGAGCCCCCTATCCCGGGCAGCAGGCAGCATCGCACCGCCAGATCGAATGCGCTCGAGTCGCAGATGAAGGCGTTGCATCTTGGGAATCAACGCGACAATTCGAATGACATCGTTTGCGAGGTGGAATCTGAAGAAGAAAACTTTGCTGCGGGCATAGCCGGGCACCATCCACATGCGCGGGTTGAAGCAGCAGAGCATGTATTCCCGTTGGACGAGGATTGCCAAGTTGATCCCGCACCACCCACGTCGCAGCTCGAGATAGCGGACGCAAATGAGGTATCCAGATTGATCTTGGCATTCTTTCGTCTCAGTTACGCCACACGAGAGCTTCTGCGCCGCTATTCCAACGATCTCTGGTTGCTCATAGCCCACCATGAATCCATTTTACACGAGCATGGCCTTGTACCGCACCTGAACCAAAACCACCTTCAGTGGCTCTTGTCTCCGGGTCGCTGTCCACGGTTGTCGAACTCACAGGGTCCAGCAACGGGCCTGCGGCCGACACGGTACGCAGCTTCGGTCCATGGGCTAGCTGATCCGGGGCCAGACTCGCGAACGTTGACCCTTGAGGCGTCATCACGTCTCCATCGGCGCATCCTGATGGCACTAGCCGCGTATCATTGTCTCGACTGCGAGCCTGTCCAGCAGTCGAGTTCCAATCTGGCAGATGTGTCCTCTGGTGCTGTGTCCCAGACAGAGACGCACACCAAAAGCAGACTCCGTCTCGCTTTGAACCAGCATCGTGCTGCCTCTGTGACCGTTCCCCTGGCGCACATTGTCTACCAGCTCAAGTTCTGTGACGCGAGCGTTGACCGGGCAGTGCGGCGTTGCGTAGAGGCACGAGTGTCTGACGTTTCGGCGCTTCCGCAGACGGCGGTGGGTCAGTAAGAAGATCCGCGACGAATTCGCACCAATTCAAAGCGTACAATTCAACTTGCACGCATTCGGGCAGCTAGCTAAAGGACAAGTTGCGTGCTTGAGGGCCCGCCTCGTGGATCAGCGGTTTCCATTCGAGGCGCACCCCGTACTGCTGTTTATCCGTGGAAGCGCTCTTGTCCACCAAATCGAGTGGCTATCAGGTTTCCCTCCTACCCGGATCCTTGCTGTCTTTCACTGACCTGCAACGTCCGTGCTTAGGCAAGGAACAGCAGCCCGCGCGAACCCCCAGCAAATCAACACGAGCGCACCTGAACGTGGACACTGCTCTGTACCAGTCGCTGTCCACGGTGGAAGCACGAGAGGCCGCCCCCAGCTGCTCATCTGGATACCCAGTGCTACCAAACTGCAGTGCAGGTGCTGGGGCACACACAAAAAGTCTGTCAGCCTCGACACGCCAACAGAGACGCGAAACCGAAGCCGGAAAGTGTGCAAGGTGCCCGTGTGGCACACCTGGCAAGGCGCAAGGACAACGCCGCCTAAGCGTTTCGAGAACACCACTTCCTAGTTGTTTTTTCAACAAGCGTACCAGCACGGGGTTTGCTTGCACATCAACAACTCGTCCGGGGTTACCCGCCCCAGCGAGACCTCCAAACCGCTGTCGCCGTTGCCGTGACCCAACCTCCCAAGGCGCACCGGCTGCTCCACTGCGTTGACAACACCGACTCGTCGCTTTGCAAGCGAGTCGTCGCGCACGCTGCGGGTCAGGTGCAACACGACGTATTGACCCCGGCTTTTTTCTCATTGTTTTCCTGCTTCAACCAAGTGACCGGGTCACTGCAAAGCATGACGAATAGGGGCGGTTGGACGGCGAAGGGCTCACAAACAGAAGCACTACGCAGTACGAGAAACGACCACAACAACGACAACGAGCAGCGTCGGGCGCGCGAAACCTCTCCTTCCAGCGCTGGGACTGGTCAGACCGTGCCGGTTTTTCAGAGCGCACTCGTTGAGCAGCTCATGCGCCAACGCTGGACAGAGGTGCTCGCACTCTGGCAACGGCAGAGGCAACAGGCAGAGCGACAGGAAGTGGTCGTTTACAGCGACGCAACACCGGCGTGGAAACAGGCCTCCAAGTCGTTGACGCGGCCACGCTTCCCGGACCTGGTGCAGCAAGGGCTCCAACGTCAGCAGCAAAGCGTCAAGTCACTGGAAGCGGCAGCGTCGCTGACGCCTTGACGCGCTGCGGACTGCGTTCGACGACGGTGCTCGTAAAGCGGCTAGTCGACAACGATGACGACACTGGGCAACCGCTGAGGCGACTCGGATACCTAGCGCCTTTCGCGCTGTAGCACTGACCATGTGTCTGCTTGGAGCGATACCGCTTTGAAGGGAATCGTCTGCTCGTTGAAGTACGCTTCAAACTGGGCTCGGATCGTGAATGTTCCTTGTCCCGGAGAATCCTCGCTGTCGATGCTAAGCAGCGGTGCCTCGTCTCTGCTGTAGCGGTTGCTGTGTTTCAGCGACGGTCTGCGTCTCTCGTGCATGGTATGCGATAGCTCTCGCTGTCCATCCGTTGCAACAGTGCCGCGGGTCTACGACTACTGCTGCTACTGCTGCAGATGATATGCTCATCTCATGCATCCTTCCTGTTCCGTAGATGCCAATCTATGGCGAAAATGCAGCGAGCGAGCTGCTGCACCGCTAGACTGCCGCAAGCGTAGATCGCTCCAATCCACAGTGGAATATGACACCAAACTTCAGGATGAGCGTAGTGGTACAGATGGAGCCCATCAATGAGCCAGAGTTCGACGAATGGACCCAGCATCGCGGTGCTTATCATGACGCCAAACTCCGCAGCAGTGGAGCTCTCCAGTACCCAGCACTGAACTGGAAGCAAGCTCGATAGTACGAGGGCGATCATAGCCGTACCCAAGTGTCCGCTGCCGTCTAAATAAGCGCTCAGCCAGTACTGAAAGGTAAATAGCGCCACGCCAGCTGCTGTTCGCACGACGAGTTCTGGGCGAAACGGAGTCTGGCGGGACTGGAGTCCCAGACGCGCCAGCATCGACCCAGCCACGCCAAAGAGAATCGGTGTCCACCAGGTAAAGCCGACGGCGGTCTGAAAGCCGACGTGAACGTTCCAGTTCACTTTGTGGTACTGGAGTGTACCGTAGGTCGTATGAAACGCATCCAACAGCGGTCCATATACGGTGCTCAAGAGCGCTGTCAGAAGCACTGCACGATTGGCTGCACTGCCAGTCTCACAGGGTAGAGAAGGCTCAGTGATCAGGGGTGTTCTGAGTCTGAAACTTTTAAAAAACGTTGCATGTCGATGCTCATCGCTGCAACAGCGCACCAAAGGTACTGTACATCGAACGCTATGTCTCCGAGGCCAGCGCTTGCCCAGGCCTGACCACAGACAAGCCCCGACGCGTCTCTTTCGGGGGCGAAGCGCTGGCTCTGGTCGACAGACGCAGTCTACTACGAACAGCAGCGTCTCTGGAACTGAGCCTGCAAGCCGGTGCGCGGTGTACATGAACTCCCGAGCCGCAGACCAGCTTGAACTAGACGGTTTGCCCGGAACACCCCCAGACTTTTATCGAGAGCGACAGAGGTCGCGCGTTGAGCGGTACCAGTCGCCGGCCGGTGCCCCGCTGCAGTGTTCGGTGCAGGTGCAGACTACGCAAGAGCACCCGCTTTGGACGTCACACGTGTGGAGCGGGGCTCGCGCTCTTGCCGACACCTTGTGTTGGCAGCCCGAGCTGATCGCGGGTAAGACCGTATGTGAACTCGGTGCAGGAGCTGGCCTGGTCTCGATTGTAGCGTTTCTAGCGGGTGCGGATCAGGTTGTCGCGACCGACTACCCGGATCCGGAAATACTCAACAGCCTAGAAAGCAATATCCGAGAGCATACGGCGAATAGCTGCAGTTCTGAAACAGTCAAAAGAGCCAGCCCAAAGGTCGTACCATATCGCTGGGGCGATTCGCCCGATTCTCTTCAACGATGTACTGGCTTGCAGCGTTTCCAAGTCGTATTGCTAGCGGACCTGCTGAGCTTTCATCAGGCGCACGATGCACTCTTACGTAGCGTGAAGATGCTCTTAGCGCTGCCGGCCAATGATCCCACCGCCGTCGCACTGGTGACATTCACTCACCATCGCCCGCACCTTGCGGAGCGCGATCTTGCTTTTTTTCGCCTTGTGAACGCAGACGGAGCACTCATCGCTGAACCGTGGCTGTCACCGCTGCAGATGGATCCGATGTTCCCGGACGATCCCGGGGATGTCTGCATCAGGGGTCAGGTGCACCGCTGGCGCCTGCGCTGGCGCTCTGCGGCGAGCGCATCTGCTAATATCCCTGCTCATGCACGGAATGAGTGACCTCGAGAAGCGCTATGCTGTATGCATTCGACACGCAAGCTTCTACGGCTACTCGTGTTGATGAGTGACCTCGAGAAGCGCTATGCTGTATGCATTCGACGCGCAAGCTACTACGGCTACTCGTGTTGATGAGTGACCTCGAGAAGCGCTATGCTGTATGCATTCGACACGCAAGCTTCTACGGCTACTCGTGTTGATGAGTGACCTCGAGAAGCGCTATGCTGTATGCATTCGACACGCAAGCTTCTACGGCTATTCGTGTTGCTGTTGTTGCTGATCCTATTGTTGTGATAACGGTGGCGACGACGGACGCCTTTGGCTACGGATCATCACGCTGCGGGCGATGCTGGCAACGAGTCCGCGTGTATCCACAGCCCGCATCGTAGAGGCGTGGATACATCTCGCACGCGACTTTCTGAGAATTCCATGTCGAGTTTACAGTGTGCCTGCCCCGATTATGTGTCGCTACCGCTGTGCCAATGCCGCTTCGATCGGAGACGTCGCGTGACTGGTCAGTGACCAAAAAACGAGCAAGAATCGACTGCGGCAGTTGCGTTACCGAGTGACTACGGGATCGGCGGTGAGGAGCGCCGAATCGCCACCGAGGATGACAGCAACAGCTTGGTTCATAGGCAGAGCGCATCGTCCAACACCTGACTTCACAATGTTGGCGTGTTTCCGGTAGAATACAGCGCGCATCCACGTTGAAGTCGCGAGGCATTGCACGGTCCCTGTGCACCATTTTAGAAAACGGACGCGAATTGCGTGTGTGTGCGTGTTCATGGTCCATGAAAATCGCAGCCTGCAACAGTAGTGCACAGAATTTTCAACGACCTTTACGTCCAGTTTGGGGCCAAAATGGCTTTCGTATTGATGAGGGCGCGCCTTGGTCACTGTTCCGGCATCATTCTCTACTGCTGCTGCTGCTCCTGCTGCTGCTGCTGCTGCTGCTGCTGCTAGGAATGACGCCCATGGATACATTGCAGATCCGCCGATACCCGCCAGCGCCTCGACAAGTCTTGCTTCATGTACTCAATCCCAATAAAACCGGTTCTCATCGGATTGCCTGAATTCAGACCCTAGTCCACGGTGGATTTCTCGGGATCCCGCGGTAGCGTCTGTTCGGTAGGCACGGACTCGAAACCGGCGCTCGTTCGATTCCGGCTCGTCGAACTTGCCTGATGTTCATTCCGGTCGCGATGGATATCGTCGGAGGCTTGCTTCTGTTTGTCTGCACGATCTGGGGCCTCGTTCGGCTGCTGGGGTTTCGATGGCATTGGCGACCGCCGCGCAGGTACCGTGCGTACATATCGCCAGGCTCTGGGGTCGTCTTCGTCGTCCTCCTCTAGATCGAGGTCATCGCCTGGAAACGTCCCCAAATCACCACCACTGCCAGCGTCGTTATCGTTATCGTCACTGAACCACGGTTTCTCTTGGGCATCGTCGTTGTCGTCGTCGTCGCCAATGAAGCGCTCCCGTGGTGCGCGCCCTGACCGTCGGACTTTGCTTGGCTTTCGTTTTGCGGGACGACGACGCTGCCCGTGCCTATACGAGCGCTCGCCGTCGAAATCGTCGCTGTCTTCATCGTCAGTATCGAACCTGTCGTAGTCATCATCGTCGGCATCATCGCGAAACCGGCGACGCGCAAATGCCTCGACCGCTGCCTCATCCACGGGTATAGGCGTCCTGCGCATAACCGACGTTCGTTGCTGTTGTTGCTGCTGTTGAGCCTGCGGCTCCAGCGCTGCATCGAAGAGCTCCAGGAAAAATTCCTTGTTCACAAACGGGTAATCACCAATCCAAACGAAATCATCGTCCTCGATGACGCCATCGTCTACCGAACCCGTTTCATCGTAGAGGTCACGAAGCTCGTCGCTGACGTCGGCAACCTCCAAGTCCGGTGGTATGAACGAGCGCGCCTCGCTCGACGACGTCAGCCGCTGAACGCGAATACAAGCATCGGAGACGCCGCCAACTCGCCGAAAGTCTGGCACATCGCTCGCAACGAGCATGCAAACATCCAGACCAGGCGAGAGAACCCGGTGTTCGCGGCTTCGAAACGGTCCAGAAATCGTGATACGACGACCGCTGGGATCGGCTGCAACCACATTAATTCTCTTCTGGACGACCTCCCGAAAACGGGTCCGACGGGAGCTCGGTATGCGCTCACGGTGCAGGACGGCCTCTGTAACGTACACTTCCCGAACAGTGCCACAGAATAGGCCAATGTAGGGGAAGCGGCGCAGCGCAAGGTTGCGTCGAGAGGCCAGGAATGCAGGCTCCAAAACCCAGTAGAAAAAGAATACCGCGTTCAGCAAAGAAGTGAGCAGATGGTTAAACAGAACGTTCGACAGCACCGACGTGACCAGGAGACCTCCAGCGGAGATCGCCAAACGGTTCAGCAAACGGTCTGGGGTTCCCCAGTAGTACGAGACCTGTTCCAGTGTCGCCCAGGCCGGCAGCGCGTCCACGGTGGCCTCCTCTGTCAGCGGCCGTATCGCACAAGTCCACGGTCGACGAGTCGCTCGCTCCACTGGACACACACGAACACGGGAAAGCGCCTTCACCGAACCTAGTCCCTGGAAGCGACTCCAGCTGACTGATGCGCTTCGCCGACATGAAGCACGAAACGCTGGCTCCCGTCTTCCGCAGTACAGGAAGGTTGGCTGAAACGCTACACCACGGTTGAGCGCCCGTCCAGAATGAACTTGATTCAGCAAACTCATGCTGCCCACGCACCGATTCGTTAGAGAAATCAGCTTAAAAAATAAAGACTCGCTCTGTAGACAAGTCGTTTACCGTCAGTACTGGCGTCGGTTCGCCCTCTGGTGCTCGCGTTCCTGCCAAAAGGCAGTAGCAGTTGTAGCAGCTGTAGAAGTATCAGTAGCAGCTGCAGTACCAGTGCCTCTTTACGACAGCGGGTGGCGGCGCGAGGGGCGCTGCGCGATCGCCAGATACGACGCCACGGCGGTAGATAGGTGGTAGATAGGTGGTAGGCAGGTGGTAGATAGGTGGTAGGCAGGTAGTAGATAGGTGATAGGCAGGTTGTAGACAGTTGGTAGACAGTTGGTAGATAGGTGATAGGCAGTTGGTAGACAGTTGGTAGATAGGTGATAGGCAGTTGGTAGGCAGGCAGCGTACCGTGCTCGGAGGCTCGTTGACGCTGCGGTGCTGTTGCATGATGCTGAAGGACGCTCGGTGTGGTTTTTTGTATGGTTGCACACGAGGAGCCTTGCCTGGGTATTGACCAGCGTCCAGTTTCTGATTGCGCTCTGGTTATCGATATCCAGGTGTGTGTGTGCGTGTGCGTTTATGATGCTGCACCAGAGCTTCGATCGCCATGACTTTTCCATCGCATCAGATTTCGTGGTCATGTCGCTGGTTTGGCGATGCTCTACGTATGCGGTACGCGTTCGAGATCGTGTCTATGGCGTCAGAGCGTGGGTGTAGCTCGGCGAAAGAAGGACGTTGACTTGACTGGATCGTAGCACGGTGCATAGGCTGGCAGGATTCGCCGCCCGACGCTCGTGTCCGGGGTGCGCACGACCTGACCGCTCTTGCGTCATGGGAAGCGGGGGTATCTCCGATCAGGACAGAACAACGTCGTGCGGACAAGCTACGAGGCGGGCATCGACGAATGATCCGGTGGGAAAGGTTTCCGTGCGAATGGCGATTCATTCGCCACGGTACGTTTGAATCGCCACTGCGGCTGATGTCGTCGTCAGACTCGCCTATCGCTTTTTTTACGAATAGCGGTTTCCACGTCTTGGCATACCAAAATACCTGTGTTCGATTTCTCCCGAATATAATCTGATCGAGTACGACGAACACTCGTCCCGGTGGGCGTGTTCACGTTTCAGCGTGAGACCGATAGCGCAACGCGCGATGCGCTCTCATTTCTCTGAACGCGGCATTTCTCTTCATCAGCGTTCGTATCCAAGGTAGAGAAACTTGACATGCCGTGACTTGTCTGGCAGGTTTGCGTAGCGTCCACACTGATGAGACTGGACCTAAGAGACTGTCTCCTGTTTGGATGGCGTTGTGTAAGTTGCACAATAGGGACACGGCGTTCAGCAACGTGCCCAGGCGACGTGGCGTTCATCCAACTGCGTATCTTAGCGTGACTGCTTTGTAGAAGAAACGCCATTGTCGATTGGACACCAAAGACGACATAAAGCCTCTCCATGGCTTGTCTTGAATCTACAGGATATATTCTTTTTTGCCGGATACCTGCAAGAAACATAACCAAAACATGCACAGGTATACAAGAACGCGCTGCTCTACGTAAAACAACAGAGCGCGCGTAACGCACCCGATTTTTCTTCCGATGAACTGGAAACAGCATATACACCAATGTTCCGCATGCAAACATCCAAGTGGCAAGCCCAAGCTGGCCCTGTCACAGCACGCTCGCGAAAACTGCAGTTGCGTCGCCGATGCGGGTATGCCCCCTGCAACCGGGTATTCAAGGGACACCAGGTGCACAGCAAGCGCCTCGTCACAAGCGTACACAAAGCGACTCCCACACTTGCTTTTATGTGATGATTCATGCACATCGAGATCAGTACAAAGCGAAGCTCGCCGATGAAGCACCTGTCTTTGTCAATGCACGTCTGTCTATCGGTGTGTTTCTATGCTTGTCGTGAAACAATCATCTGCGCTTGTCGTCGCTCGCTGGGCAGCGCGTGAGGCCGTAGGCGTACGGACCTCGCACCCCGCCGTGCGCTCGACGATCCCACTGGCCAGTGACCTCTAGTCCAAGCGTATTCCGCAGAAAGTGCTTCATTTTCGCAACAGTTAAAACGTGACCGAGGCAACGGCTTTTCTGTCGTTCATACGAGCGGCTCCTTTCGGAGGTCGTCGAATCCTCGCAAGATGTTCCTGCAGCAGCTAACTCTGCTTTGAGCGCGCGCAAGCGAACAAAGTCCGTATGTGGTCCGAAAACCGTATTCGGTGTGAAACGATAGTGCTGCATCAGGAAGCGCGCGAAGCAGTGAAACGGTTGGTTAGGTTGCAGCGCTATCGCTGCCAATATCTCTTCGCGTTCCGCTACACCGAGCATGCTCGCTCGCGTAGGATTGCGCTGGCCTCCACGTCGCCGTTTCTGTGGCTGCGCTGGTTCCAGGGTCACGCTCTGCGCACTCGTCGTGATAGGCGAGAGCTCCCGACCAATGTCCGCAGTCTGGACACGCTCCAGCGGGTCATTCCATGCTCGCAACTGCTCGTTTGCCGTTGCCGATGCTTGTTCCTGGTTGGCGGCAGCATCCTCTGGACCAGTTACCCAGCGGAGAAACTCATTGAGTTGCTCGGGACGCACTACACTCAGTTGCGAAGACGACCCCGAAGAGCGTCCGCCAGGCTGCATCGCACCAACTTCAGACGCTCCTGCGTCCGCACGTTCGATCCAGGAGGGCGCGTAGCCTCGTCGTTGTCGTTGTCGGCTTTCTGGCACCAACGCTGCTGCTGTATGTACACTGCCAATGCCGAATGCTCGACGACTGTGGTTACCATAGGAAAGCGACTGAAGAGCGTTGTGCTCGACGGTCGGGGCGAGCTCCTCAATGATGGTCGTTGAGCCCCTTGAAAAGCGATCATGAAGTGCGTATGGCGTTCCATTCGTGAAAGAGAACGTTTCCATCCCGGAATCGTCCGAATCCGATGCAGATTGCTCAAGCCACAACTGCGGCTGTTGCAGATCAATTAAAGACCACAGGGATCGGGTTGGTTGTCGCAGTACAAATACACGCCGCATGAGGTCCATGGAGTCGAGTGCTCGCGCTCGAGCCGTCCGCGAGTCCACCACCGGATGCGCATAGCAAGAGCCCAGCGCGATACCCGCTTGCGCAAGCACTGAAGCTGGCGCTCGCCACGGACGATGGACGTAACACGTAGGCAGTGCGGCCAATTCGGGTACCCAGCGCTTCACGTACTCACCATGGGGATCTTCTCTGAGCCCAAACGTGATCGGATTGACGATACACGCAAACGGGAACGCATCGGTGTGGCAGCCTGCCGTCCACTGCCACCCGAGCGTCTGACAGGCTATGTCCCCGTCGAGAACATGATCGTAAAGAAAGCGGAGACCATGCTGCCACGGAATGAGAAGGTACTTGGTCAGGAAGCCGGCGATCATGAAACGAATGCGATTATGCAGGTATCCAGTGGTACGCAACTCCCGAATCGCTGCGTCAATGATGGGATACCCGGTTTGGCCGCTTCGCCAAACCTCGAGCATGCTCTGATCGTTCCAGCGCCAAGGAAAGGCGCGGAATTCGGGCAGTAGCGGCTCTTCGAAGGCCTGTGGATTGTGAAAGAGCAGGTGATACGCGAATTCTCGGAGGCACATGTTTTTCAGGAACGCCTTCACCGCGCTGATGGTCTGTTGTGCATCTGCTGCATCGGTGTGGGTACGTGTGTTTGCCGCGAGCGCCTCGCCTGCTGTAGCGTGACGCTCACGGTTCAGGAGCGCATGCCGTGTGCTCCTTGGAGCCGCTTGATCGGTACCACCACGACCTCCGTCGTCGTTGTCATCTGCTTCATCACCATTATTATTATTATTATCGTCGTCGTCGTCATCCTCATGATCGTAGAGAAAGTAGGTCGTGCCACTGGAGCCTCGTGGTCGGTTCACTTGAACCCGAAGCGGAAACATCGGCGCTCGCTGCGGCTGATAACCGGGAACTGCAGCAGTAGCAGTAGCAATAGCAGTAGCATCCATGGAGTGAGGTGTTGCACTGATTCGGTGTGGCGACTCCAGGTAACCGTTCTGCTCCCTCGAATGCGCTGGTATTCCATTCCCTAGGGAAAGCGCGCTAGGCGCGTCCGACACGATGTCAGCCATGATTGCTGCATACAGCTGCCGCGGGCTAATCTCACCGAAACGAACATGCATGGAGAGGCGGCTCGTGCCGTCGAGCGCACAACGAGACTCTCGACGCCCGAATTTGGGATAACGCTCTCGGAGAAACCTTGACAACGTAATCCACGCTGCTCGCTCACCGACAAGCGGCCACATGCATTCCATCTGGGCACACCATTCCGGACTGAGATCAGAGACCAGCTCCAGCTCATGAATCTCGACATGGGAAACGCGTTGCCGTAAACCAGGCAGCGTCTGCAGCCTCAATGGCGCTGCTACAGGTGGGGGCGGTTTCGGGAAAGCGAGCCACTTTTCCATGAAGGGGTGAAACTCATTGAATGGCTCACCGTTGTCTTGAGCAAGCTCCCACGGCTCCACAAGAAGTTCCGATTTGAAGCTAACGAGTTCAACATTCCAAACAGCAAGGCGTTGTTCCAACGTTCGGTCCACTTCTGCGGCACCGATATCGTAGCAGCGGTTGAAGTAGACTGCGCTCGCATTCGTTTCCCGCGCCAGCTCCACAATGCTTTCCACGAGGCTCCCCTGCAGAACCACCAGCCGCGCATCTTCGCCGTAGCGGTGCGCGAACTCCCGGTCCAGCGCCAGCAGCGACTCTCGCAGCCGCCAGCGCCCTGCTCTGCCAGGTTTACTCATCCACGGCAGTTGCGGGTTCCAAACGTACACAGGAACCACCGGCATACCCGTTTCTGCAGCCGCACAGAAGGCAGCATGATCATCTATTCGGAGGTCGTGCCCCCGGTACCATACCAGTATGGGGCGCTGTGTCGCGCCCTGCGCTGCAGCCACTGCGAGCGCTGGTGTACGTCCCGGTGGCGGATGCGCGTTCACCTCCCGCCCCGCTTCGAGCAACGGGGAGCTGCTCAAAGCAAGCCACGGACACTCCTCTCCACTAGTTTCTGAAGGAGGATACGCGGGCATCACACATGCAGCGTCAAGTTCCACAAAGCACCGCTGACGTCCTCGTGTATCGACGGGTGCTGTTCGCGCGCACCTTGAACCTGTATAAAGCAGGTACCCGCAAGCACTCGGAACAAACCTACCACTTTGTCGTTACGAAGTCTACAAGCGACCAGTAGCGTACGACAAGTGTACCAGCACCCAAGTGCCTGCTTGATTGTCCCGGAAACCTGATAGCACAGAAGCCTTCCGTTTCGGACACCGGTTTGGAGGGGTCAGCTGCGACCAGCACTACGAGCACCACCAGATAATCGATCATATATGGACATTGAGGACGTCGAGGTCGCGATGCAGCGCTGCTGCCGCCGCTGCCGCTGCGCAAGCGATCATCGACTGCCCGTAACACGATGCGTAGGATACCTATGTGCTGGTGCAGTGGAGGCTGCACGTGTCGGTTGCTATGGTCACGTCTGGTGCATGTGGGGCAATGAATTTGGGTGTAGGAATCGTGTATGGAGCCTAGGTTCTCCAAAAATCTTGGACAAGTTGCAATGAGGGGTAACGGATCTAGGTGTCGTTGGAGGGTGCTTGGAGGTCATTTGTCGGGGTGCTTGTGTGTCGCTCCTTGAGCGCTGGCGTTCGATACATCACCGGAATCAAGATGACTCATGACGCTCTTGAACAGCGGTTCGTAAAATAGCTGATATCGTGATGCAGAGCATAGGTACAGGCCCCAGGCTTTTCCGTTCTTGATGTGGAGCGTGCTCGAATCGCGCATGCTTCGAGTTTTCTGTCTTTCTGGTTCATGACGGCGCATGTGTTGCTGGAAGAACGACGAACAAAACTGGACGTCATGTCTCGGCAATTTGTTCACCAGCTCATATCGATCGTTCACTGAACGTGTCTCGTCGAATCATCGATGCCTTTTCGAGCCACACCTGCTTGGATCCTCGTACATATCCACGGACGACATTCCGCAGCAGCGTGGCATTTCTGACGCGGGGCGCTTCTGGAGGCCCCCGTCTGCTCGGTAGACATCTGGAATAGGTCAAGGACGCGCGCTTGAGTCATCGAAGCGACTGCTTCTGGTGGAGCGCAAGTCACCACCACCATCCACGAAAAAGGCGTAGACGGATCGAGAAATCTCGATCTCGTGTCTAGCCTGGATTCTCCTTGCGCGGCTTGTTTCATCATGGGAAACACCACGTTCCAAAAAGATTCTTTATCAAATGGAACATCGTGCTTTTGCGTGTGCCGCTTACAGGTTACGCATCGAAGGCATCGCCCGGAACAAGCCAGGAATTGCCGTGGAAGGCACCAGAGGCGCCAACGAATGAAGACACCAACCAGAGCCCTCTGTAGCCGTCAAAGGCATGTACCGGGATGTGAAGCAAGCGTTCACCTGCCATAGGACGACGCTCGGAGGAGCAGAAGGTGCGGTTTATGTATTAGAACATCTGACCAGCGTCAAGTGTTTTCGCTGCGAAGCGCGCTCCGAGGCTATCTATATCGAAGATGCATATTGCAAGCGACGCGTAGATTGGAACTACTGCTTCTGCATGAAATGCGTCGACAGCATCCATACGCGGCGAATTCGGGACTGGAACGTATCCATCAATACCCTTCGACTGATGATAAGGGGGCCGGAGGCACGCGAGAGACAGGCGTCTGGAAAGCCGATGAATCGAGAGAGACGAAAACGTAGCATTTGCACAAGAATTCCGCAGCGGCTGGTATCGGAGACAGTGGCAGGAGTCCCAAACCTTACAGTGCGCACCTGCGTTACGAGGCCCATTCCGTCGGAAGCTCAGGCTGGTCTGGGCGCGTGCACCATGATGATGATGACGACGACGCGCTGGTTGCCACAATGATGTTGCTCTGGACATTTCAGCTACAGAAAAACGTGCAAAACCTGATAACCAGCCACAGATGCATGGACACGAGTCAAGGCTCTCGAATCTTGCTTGCCATATCAATGTCTGCGAAAAGCTTGTACGAACACCGCATCTCCCGGGGCGAAGGAGTTCGAGCGCTGCACATGTCCTCGACTGGCCGGGAGGCATGCTGCAGGCTCGCGACACCCAGACGATAGCTGCTGCTGCTGCTACTGCATGCGTTCTCGGGAACATCTTGTAGGTATATTTCAGCGCGAAACGCATGCGTCGACGCTCACACCACCTCCCTGTACAAGAGCAGAGCACTTTGACGAATAAGTTTCACAGCGTACCGAGGCCTTGTCCGGCGAATCGACTCGAAAAGCGCGCTTGTTTGCTCTTGCCCCGCATCGGATCGCGAGTTATCCAAGGTTCCGATTCTTCATGTTCGAAAGCGCTGCGCCTCTGCATGAGTTACTCGGGAAAATAGATGACTTTATACGGCAAACAGCGTCAGCATTTGATTTGTCTAGGACGAGGTCTGCAAACGACACCTGCGTGGATGTCACTGCAAGCGCAGCGTTACAAACCTCAACAGCTTCTGGTACCGGCAAGTGAGCGCCCCAGGGCCAACACAGCTGGTTCACGGCTCTCGTTATCCAAGCATACAGCAGGACGCTTCCGCCCCACACGAGTGATTGCATGCAAAGTACAGCACAGTCACGATGAAGGCACACTCGTTGCGCTACTGCTTGCGAGAGCACACGGCAGCAGGGCCAACCGTCACGTAGAACACCCACGCTTGATCAAGGAAGAGCACGCCGCATCGCTCGTGAAACCGGCATCCGCTACAGAAACACCCCAGAAAGAAAAGTTATTCTATTCACTGAAACGGATCGGATAAAGGTACGCCATCCGATCAGTGCACAAGCCAGCGTAGCGCAGCCTGGTATGCAGTTGGCCCGCAACGCGTTACGCATCTGCAAGGCGCATACCTGTCCGTCAAGGAAAAGAACACGCAGCAGCTTGTATAGCACTAGCGCAGAATCACCAGGATCCAGACCGTAACAGGCAGCGTTAAACGTAGCACAGCACCGCGTGATGAAAGCAAAGCATCCACCACAGCTTCCGGTTTGCACAGCACAGGTGGTATTGCCGCTTCTGCGAAGACGCCCAGTGCGTCTGTTCGCTGCCGCAGCTTCAGTGCGTCGCTATCCAGCACAGCGACGCTCATCTGACTCCTGCAAAAGACAACAGCAAGCCGAGGTGACATCGGGAACACCTCCCGCCGGCGCTCGTATTACTGTTAATTCGTTATGCTGTCCTGCAAAACACCAACCAGTTGCAAGAGGCACACGCCAGACGTCCCACTGCCACTAGTCATCAGCGTTCTACTGGGTCCGAGTGTCACCTGCTCAGGCACGTGTGCTTGCAACCCTGTCATTTTCAGATCTTTAGTACCGTACCACTAGTCATCAGCGTTCTACTGGGTCCGAATGTCACCTGCTCAGGCACGTGTGCTTGCAACCCTGTCATTTTCAGATCTTTAGTAACGTACCACTAGACATCAGCGTTCTACTGGGTCCGAGTGTCACCTGCTCAGGCACGTGTGCTTGCAACCCTGTCATTTTCAGATCTTTGGTACCGTACCACTAGTCATCAGCGTTCTACTGGGTCCGAGTGTCACCTGCTCAGGCACGTGTGCTTGCAACCCTGTCATTTTCAGATCTTTGGTAACGTACCACTAGTCATCAGCGTTCTACTGGGTCCGAATGTCACCTGCTTAGGCACGTGTGCTTGCAACCCTGTCATTTTCAGATCTTTGGTACCGTACCACTAGTCATCAGCGTTCTACTGGGTCCGAGTGTCACCTGCTCAGGCACGTGTGCTTGCAACCCTGTCATTTTCAGATCTTTGGTAACGTACCACTAGTCATCAGCGTTCTACTGGGTCCGAGTGTCACCTGCTCAGGCACGTGTGCTTGCAACCCTGTCATTTTCAGATCTTTAGTAACGTACCACTAGACATCAGCGTTCTACTGGGTCCGAGTGTCACCTGCTCAGGCACGTGTGCTTGCAACCCTGTCATTTTCAGATCTTTAGTAACGTACCACTAGACATCAGCGTTCTACTGTGTCCGAGTGTCACCTGCTCAGGCACGTGTGCTTGCAACCCTGTCATTTTCAGATCGCTGCCCTAGCTTTCCTCAAGTAACGCGCTACCCCAAGGCATTCTTGGAGCGCCCCACGAGCACGAGCGCGCGACATGTCCTATCGCCGCTTGACGGTTACGCAGCCAACGCGTTAGGGCAAGTGTGTCTCAGCTGGTGCACTGTCAGAGGGCGAGGCTCAGACGTGAACCGCCAGAGGGCTTGCTTTATGTATAGTTTATGCTAATACCGCAGGGCAAGTCCTTTCAAAGAGGCTCCCGTTCAGTCTCTGCCGGCTCTCTGGACAGCGACAGCGGCGGTTACGGTCGAGGTGCAGTACGTCCCAGCGAGCGGCGAGTGTCGCGTTCTCGTTGGTCAGAGATGGTTGGCAGTGCCCATGATCGACACCAAAGCGGTTATAGGGGAAGTTCGAACTCTCTTCCGACGGCCAGTAGCCGGCAGAGCAGTGTCGACCTTGAAACTGGTCGTTCGCTCCTGGACGATGCCGACGAGAACGACAAGGAGCGTCGGGGCCTCTGGTCCCTGGGTCTCGGTTTTGCGGCGAGCTCTGCGGCGAGTTCGTTGCCATCTGGTTCGGCTACATCGCTTTCAGGTACGAACGGAACGCCTCCCTCGACGAGCATTGTCGAATGGCTGCGACAACGCTCGCTGCGTGGCCTCCTGTACTGGCTTCTCGCCCTGTGTTGTATTGGCCTTCTGCTGGACTACTCGGTGAATCACCTGCTGCATCACAGCAGTTTCTTAGGAAATCATGGGCATGACTATAGAAACCGGGACATGTATCGACCCGACAGACCATGGGGACCGTTTGTTTTCGGGGTTATCACGGACATGGATCGATTGTCTGCCGTACCTCACCGCTCGAAAGCATCCAAAAGCGAGTGGATTGCGTATTTCCGTCGAGGTGAACTGGAATACCGTGTACACGACGCTCGTGGAAACCGATCAGCTGAAGGTGTTTGGACTATCCGCTGGCACGAGCCTGCTCCCGGTGTTCGCTTGACAACGCAACTGAGCGAGGCCGGACGCGGTATGGAACTCAGCGAACTCGTTTACTGGCGAGGACGTTATCTGACGCCCTGCGATCGCACCGGCATCGTGTACGAAATTCTGAACGCTCGCTTACCGAAACCCTATGTAGCATCGCGTTACGTGCTCGCTACCGGTGACGGTGAACACGCGAAAGGTTTCAAAGCGGAGTGGATGACCGTTCAGCATGGTGCACTATTCATTGGCGGACACGGCCGCGAAACCACGGATGCACACAACGGCACTCATGTGGTGAACGACGATGCGCTCTGGGTGAAACGCATCGCTCCAGATGGTGTAGCGTTCGTGGAGCACCTCAACTGGACGAACCGTTATGAACGGCTACGTCGAGCAGCGGGCACCGCATTTCCGGGCTACCTGGAACACGAAGCGGTTGTCTGGAGTGAACGACGCTCCCAGTGGCTCTTTCTTCCACGACGGTTCAGCGTCGAGCCATATGATGAACGAGCAAACGAATTTCGCGGTTGGAATGGTTATCTTTTAGCAGATGAGAACTTTCAGAGCATTCAGCTCAAACACCTGAATGTTCGTGTCGATGGTGAGCGCGGCTTCTCGTCTGTGAAGTTTCTGCCGTTTACCGGTGACCGGCTTGCCATTGCGTTGCGAACGATCGAACACGAGGACGAGGGTGTGTATCGAACGTATCTGACAGTGTTCCAGGTCGACGATGGTCGCGTCCTCTTGGCCGATACGCCAGTCGGTGAGCACAAGTACGAAGGCATTGAATTTTTATAAGTAGCGGAAGCACAGCGTCATCCTGTTCGCCTGTTTGTCTGTCTGTTTCCACGTCTATTAGTACGCGTATGCGTTGATATGTACGTGTTGAGGTTGCGGGCGTGGCTCTCCCAGCGAGCGCAAACAGGACCTGGTGCTTCGCAGGTAAGCGGCAACACCGCTCGCGTATCACTGTGTTGGCGGTGCCGGCTGCGTCCCTGCTGATATCCAGTTTTTAAACAAAAATCAAACCAGATCGTACAGTCTACCTCAACCGGATCATAAACCGCTTTTGAACGAAAACTTACCAGTCGCTCGAATAGGTGCCCGAGTTCGTTTCGCGTCTCTGACCCAGGAAAGCGTACACGTCCATCATCTCGAGCCGGTTAAGGCCGCAACGCTGTCACCGCATCATGCCAAGCAGCAGCACCTCCGATGGATACGCTAGCCCGTGCTTCGATCTGTTCCAGACACGTAGGCTATGTGAACGTGCCAGAAGCGTCGGAAACGCGAGTCTCAGACGCGCTGAGACACACAGGCGCTACAGGCACCTTCGTTGGCAGCGTGACGCTGACTAGTGAGCATGCGCTCGCCGCAGTGCTCTTGTTGCTGTTGTCGTCATCGTCGTAGCTGGCACTGCGCTCATTGCAGGTTGCATCAGCGAGGTGTATTCGACTCGAACTAGGTTTCGAGTGTGGTGTGCGGCACCAGTCTACGATCCCGGTACTAGCGCAGAAACGAAATTCGAAACACTGCGGCACAGCTGGCTCCTGGTAACGTCGCCTCGACAGTGCCTTTCATGAACAAGAGGCAGCCTTGGATACGCGTACGAAACGCTGAGAAGCGGCCTCAGCGGGCACCTGCTGCGAGGTCGCGTCAGGCGGATGTCCCTGGTGTTGCTTGGCTGCATCGACACCGATGCTCAGCCCGATACGCCAATGCTGCCGGTGACTCAGAACGAAACCTCCGTTGCTCAGCAAACGCTCTCGGGTGCCTCAATCCTGGAATCGCGTTCATCCTCGAGCGTAGCGTTTCGGTTGGTCCAGTGATACCGCGGCTGCTGAACCTCGCAGAGGCAGTTCCCGCTATGCTGTGCTATGCTGCTTCGCGGGGGGCATTTCGTGCCCGACCTGGACGGCTTCTCCGTAGCCCCCTAGCCAGCAGATCGCGGAAGCAACAGCAACAACGACGCCTCTGTTGAGAGGCGCTCTAGATCAGCGCGCCTGACGCATTCAGAGAGCGGGTGGCAGTTTCGACATGTCCAGTGGCGCCAGGGAGAGCGGTGGCGAGTACCTGCGCACAAGCGCGGTACGCCCTGTTGTCGTTGTCGTCGTCTCCGTTCCGGTGAGCGCACTCGGGTCCGCAGAGCCGGCATCCGCGATACCCGCTGCGGAACAATGCTCCAGTGCAGTCGTGCCTGTGGTTGGCGATACCGTCGCGTTTCGCCCTGGTGGATACTGAGGCGTACCCGCCGATTCCAGTCGCAGCCGCAGTTCCCGATCAATACGCACCAGTTCCTGGTACACCTCTGCCATCGAGGGTCGCTTCTGTGGCTGCTCCTGTAGACAACGATTCACGAGCTGTACATACGCGCGCTTATCCTCGTGCTGCTTGCCGGCAGGCACCAGCGGCATACTCAGGCAAAGTCCTTGAAAAGCCACCGCCACCAGCACCTGCATCGGCTGTAGACCAGCAAACGGAATGCGTCTGGTGATCACCTCCCAGGCGACCACACCAAAAGAATACACGTCGCACTTCTCGTTGTGCGGTTCGTTACGAATGACTTCGGGAGCGGTCCATTCGGGCGTGCCTCCGGCAATGCGACTCGTGAGAAACGTTCGATGTTTCGCACGGGAGAGCCCAAAGTCCGAGATTTTCACCCGCCAGTTCTCGCTAACGAGGCAGTTCATGGACTTGAGATCCCGATGGATGATCGGTGGATGGCAAGCGTGAAGATACGTCATGCCACGAGCAGCGTCCTGCATCATGGCTAGGCGCCGACGCCAGGGTAGCCGCACGCGGCGCGACGGGTCTGCAGGCGTGTGCAGCAGGTCAAAGAGGCTCCCACGCGGCATCAACTCGATAACGATGCAGAGGTTCGGTGGTGCTACCACAGCACCGAAGAACTGCACGATGCACGGGTGACGCAGGTTTGCCATGATGTCGCATTCGGCGAGAAACTCGTCGAGTTCCTCCGCGGACAGCGCTCGATCGAGAAGCGAGCGTTTCACTGCGACCTCGGTGCCTCGCCAGAGCGCTCGATGCACCGAGCCAAAGCCCCCCGCCCCAATATGTTCCAGAATCTGCAGCTCGGACTCGTCAATACACCAGCGACGACGAGCGCTCACGAGCGACTGCTCAGGATCAGGCTGTGTACATCGATGACCGACTAGAACGGGGGCCCAGGCTGGCGACGATGGACCCCGGAGGCTGCCACTACTGCCACCGGCACCACCGCCATCACCACCACCGGCACCTCGTCGCTGTTGTGGTGTTCCCAGGGCGCTCGTGACCGTATTCGCCTGTTGTTGCTGTTGCTGTGAATCCGCAATCGTTGGCGTCGTATCACCCGTTTCGGAATCATTGGCGATATCTTCGTCCATGGGGACAGGCTCGGGTCGGAAGAGCTCCTCACTGGATCGACTCCGACCCGAGGCTCGTTCCACGTCGGTGTCGCTGGCAGGCTTGGCGTTGGCGGCCTTTTCGCGTTCGCGGCGTCGCTGACGCAGGTACCAGACACCAACGCCGCTGCCCAGCAGACAAGCGCCCAGCACAGGTAGCACAGTTGCCACCGCGATGACCCAGGGCGGAGCACCTCCGGTGCCCGAACCTGGCCCCTGGAGCGTGCTGGTCGTTGGTGCGACACCCAGCGTTTCAACAGTCCCGCCAACGAGTGTAATCGGTACACCAGCTGTCCCGCTCATGGCACCGGAATTGACGTAGTTCTGGAGACCCTGCGTCGCGTTCTCCGCTTCAACCCCGCGAGGAACAATTGCGGTATAGGTAGCGTATACGGAACCTGCGTACAAGTTCGTCAGATAGAACTGCGAGGCATCGAGTATGCCGTTTGTGCTATTTGCCATCCACCGTTTCAGCTGTTCGCTGTAGAGGCTGGTAAACTCCCCCAAGGTCAGATTACGAATGTAGAGCGTCGCCTCCATGTACAAATAGTTGCTGGCAGGCGAGGGCATTGCTGGTGTTGGTACCGGACGCGCTTGTTTCTGGCCAGTCAGGAAGGTGTCGGGCGTAGGCGACGCACTTGGTGCCATATACACTGGAATGTTCTCGTCGACGAGCGTAACGTTCACCGCCGCCGCTCGCGACAGCGCACCACTGTCAATCCAGTCCGTCAGCGCTATGCGGACGGAGCTCGCGATTCGTGTAGGTACCTGAATCATAAATACTGCAATCCGAACCCGAGGCTCATAGTTCGTGAGCGTCACGGGCGGCGCGTGGTGCACCGACGGATAGTGCCCCAGAATGAACTGCTGCAGGCCGGTTTCCAGCCTTAACATATCGTTCTCGTTCACGCTGCCGGAAGATGCGCTCACATTTAACCGTACCAAAAGCAGCTCATCGTCTCGTGGCCAGTTTGATGGTGTCGGGCTCGGCTGCGGCAACGAACTCACGAGTAACGTCGGCGTCAAGGAAACGGGCTCCACGAGCGGCAACGTCGAGGTGGCACTCGCTGGCCCCGAGCACACCCCCAGGAGCGCTAAGATGACAAGAAAAACGATAAGGACCGCACGACTATTGGTCATTGCGACAGCATACCGAGAAAACAGAACCCTTGCTTGTTTTTTGCTGCCGCCACTCGAGTACAGCCACAGCCAGCGAACGTTCCCAGTTTGGGTCCGCGCATCGAGTGAGAAACTGACCACGATTGTGGCGCTGCTGCCTCGATGCGAATGCGCCGCTGCGATCCCAGACGTCTCCGGGCGCCTCGTACTGTTTCCTGATCAGAATTGTATAGTAATAAACAATTATAGCAATATATATCTACCTTTGGTGTTGGGCGATTGCGGACAGCACCGTCGAGGAACCATCCCAGACGTCTCCGGGCGCCTCGTACTGTTTCCTGATCAGAATTGTATAGTAATAAACAACTATAGCAATATATATCTACCTTTGGTGTTGGGCGATTGCGGACAGCACCGTCGAGGAACCATCCCAGACGTCTCCGGGCGCCTCGTACTGTTTCCTGATCAGAATTGTATAGTAATAAACAATTATAGTCATATATATCTATCTTTGGTGTTGGGCGAATGCGGACAGCACCGTCGAGGAACCCAGTGACACACGGATGTGTTTTCGAGATGGACAATGGGCATTCGTCGTTCCTAGCATTCGAAAGGGTGTTGATGATGAGGATAACGACCGCAGCGATCCCGATACGAAATCGGGGAATTAGTGTACGTCATTCATAGCATTCGACGGGTGTCAATAGGGATGTCCATGGCGGCGATCGCGTGACGGTTTCCGTACCTGGGGTTGTTGTAGGCGCAAGCGGTGCATATACGGACGTTTCCATCTGCGCTTCATTCTCGATTTGGCTCTTCTTGTTCGTATACAGCATCGATGTGCGATTCGGAACTGGCATGCTAGCCTGTGGTTGATTGCGGGAGCGGCGTGCCCTCGTATGTCCGCCGTATCGCCTTCTCTGGAAGCTGCACTGCAGTGCTTGAACGCTTGCTCCATCTCTCGGCAGTTGTTCTTCATGAGCACAGAGGGCTTGCCTCGGTGCGTCTCTCCGTGTTGGCGCCATATACCATAGTGCGGAATTACCGCGTCGTTCTGGGCGATGCTGTCCGTGAATATGCTTTCTGGTGGAAGCGCGAGCGCATGCTTACTCGTGCGATAGAGGATTTGCAGAACGCGATGTTTTCCATGATGACACGCAAGAATCGCGAGAAAAATTAAGACTGGTGGAAGCATACGAAACTTTGCAACTGTCGCTGGTCCCATGACGCGAATCGACGACGCACTCTGTACTGAAAGGGATCGCTGTGATAACGAAGTCCGAATTCTAGACCCTTTTCTACGCACACACACACATACACACAGAGAAGAGCCGGAAGTCTCCGGAAGTATACCCCACGAGATGGATCATAGGGCTGCTGCGGGCCTGCCGTTTCGTCGATAGCCACAATGAGATGAGGATTTATCGTCGCAACGGAATCGATCATGTGATTTGAGAAGGTCACGAACTGGTCGGCAGGAGCTTGTGAAGAAATCGTCAAGGGACGCCGTCGAGGTTCTTCGCTCGTCAAAGTCATGCGACGGAGATCTTTGGACGCACGCTGTTGTTTGCTTGAAAAGAAAGATCGAAAACTCGTACCATTTGTGATTTGAACATGCTACGCGTCAGGAACGCAGAAATGTCGAGGCTCGTACATGTGAATTGGGCGATAATTGCGGGTGTTTTCATTCTGAAAAGAACGATCGAAAACTCGTACCATTTATGATTTGAAAATGCTACGCGTCAGGAACGCAGAAGCGTGGATGCTTCTACATGTGAACTGGGCGATGATTGCGGTTATTTTAAAAATGCCTGTTCGAGGGCGTTCCACGTCATCTTGATGCCCGTCACCGGTGGAATTCAACCCGCCATACATCAGAGAATCCACTCCAAAAAGCCGATCGAGCATCAGAAAAGTCATGTATGAATCCGGACGCCGATATCATTGCACACGGAGTCTCGAGGTTGCAGATCCAAAGCACGCTCGGAAACAACATTGAAAAATAGGTTCAGAGCGAGTAGTTCAGTGTTCCGCGTTCAGGCGACACGGGTATATTGTCGTCTGGGTATGCGATGACGCTCCGTAACCGGACAAGCGACCATCTTTTCTCTCTAGACGCCGCCAAGTTCCCCGAATCCCATACGAAACTTTCCGTCGAGATCGACGGCTTGGTCCTTCCGGGGAACCTCCTGGTCTGGTGACATGCCTCGAATAGACGCTGGATATGTCACCGTTTCCGCAGCCTCCATGCGAAGACAGCTGCGCGTTGCGGTGCCGTGGCCGGTGTCAACTCGCGACCCATCCTGCATATGTGCTGCTCGGTCGTTGCACAAAGCGATGGCTGGTGGTGATCCACGAACGTTTGCGTCAAGGCCCGTCCGACAGCGCTCTCCGCACAGGCACGCGGTGTCCATCGTTTTCCAGGGCTTCAGGTTCGATTTTGCGTCAAGGCGCCGTCCTGAAACGGCATCTGATCAGCAACAACAACAACAACAACAACTGCATATGCACGGCGACGACAAGTCCCGAATCCGCTGGATACAGAGGGTGCACGACCCGTCTTCGCTCCAGTTGTATCACTTGTTGGTGTCGCAGTATCGCTGCGCTTATGCGAGTCTCAACCTTTCCATATCGTGTATGCATCGCCTACTATATCGTAGCGCTTCACACAAGAAAACTTGGCGGCATCGTGCGGTGTCATGCGAGTTTAGCATTGTATGCTTTGTGATGCACGAACTTCGGAGCAACCAGGATCTGCTTTCGAATGACCGGATGCTTTTTTGCGTCACGAGAAACCCTCCCTCCATAGACACTGTGAAGGACAAGTGTTGCGCATAACGCGCTCCATGCCCGGCACTTTATCACCAAATGCGCTTCACACAACAGCGTGCCTATGCCTGCATTCCTGGGTGGCGCACGACGCCTCTGGCGCTCGCAGGATGCTGAGTTCGGGTATGCACCACAAGCAGGCGCCCGGGGTGTCATGAACACGGCCGCCACTGGGGCCACGGCAGTTGCCAGAGGCGTCAGCGCAGGGTACCGTGGGCGACGCACAAACGCACTGCTGGAGCGTTTTCTTATGTGGCTTCGTTCATGGTGCAGGATCGGTGCAGTGTAGCTGCCTGCTGATGATGATGCTCACCCGAGTGCGCGGTTGTCTTCGGCAACCGGGGCTACGACACCCGCTCTGCTGTAGACCCATGTGTTTCCCTAGGGATCCCCAGAGCGGATCGGGGCGTCAAGCACACATCATAGCAGGTATGCAGAACACGTCCGTGCGAGCATTCCGGGAACAACAGCAACTGCTACAACGACGAGTGTACCCGTGGTATCGCAACACCGTCGCCACCGGCCAGCGACATTGCCATAAAGCGGCTACGCACAAGCGCTGCAGCTGCCTCTTGAGTCCTCTGCTGCTGCTGCTGCTGCTGCAGCTGAGCACCTGCCTCCACATTCCGACTCGCTGGCGCCTTGGCGAGGACAAACGTGTGCCCAGCAGCGACCCGGCTATGCTGCAGCATCGCTGGTGCTCCCGGGCGCCTTTTGTGCTCAGCGTAGCTCATCATGACGGGTAGGGTGCATCGATTGCTCCCGCTGTGCAACGAATGCTTCCCAGGCGTGGTCATCGACCAGCGTCGCTGCTGCGGTAGCCTCTGTATCCAGTTCGTCCCAATGCGGAATGATACGGCGAGCGCTTTCGAGTTTCGACTCGTGTGTACTCGGATTATTACAGAGATCAATGGTTTTGGCACGAGCCTTGCTCTGTTCGCTGCACCAGGTCTCGCACCAGAGCCATTCGGACGGTAGGGATTCGAGGGGAACCAGCGGTTCAGCAGCGTTCATGGTACCGCTTTGCTCAGCCAGCGGCACACTTGCATAGTTCGGCAGATCCTGGTCCAAATTCGAAAGCGACTCTGGATCGGCGCTCAGTCTCTGGTACAACGCTCGAAGCGTGTCACCGGCACGGTGTGCGCGAAAACGTTTCAGATCAACAACGAACAACGCTGATATGTGGTACGGTTGCCCGCGTAGGTGTTTCGCCCAGAATCCTCGCTTCCAAAACCGATACGCATCCATTTCGGGACGATCGTCACAAAACGGCACGAAACCGTAGACAGCACGTGATCCGAGGGCCAGCTCCCAGAGCTCACCGAGGTCACCGCGAACCACTTGATCCGAATCGATGAAGATGATACGTTCCACATCCGACGGGAACAAAACATCTAGGAATAAAATCTTATACGCCCAGATCAGGCGCTGTTTCTCGTGCTGCGGCCGTAGCCATCGAGGCCAGGCATACCATACCAGTTCGTAGTCGAAGCCGAGGCGATGTGCTAGTCGTGGCAACTGGGCACGAAACCTGGGCGACAGAAAGTTGCCCACCAGCCAGAACTTGCAGCGATACCTCGGTGTCGCTCGGACCGCACTCAGCATCATGATTCGAAGCAGTCGTTCGTACAAATGCCCAGAGGCAATCGAGAACAGATGTATCAGAGGACGCTTGTCCGCTGATGATGACGACGACGATGATGCGCTCGGCGGTAGACAGAGACGCTCGCGACGCTGCACTTGTGACGACGTCCGAAGGGCAGCGACGAGCGCCCAGACGCGCTCATACCAGGTACGTTGCAGGTGCGCCACACGCAATAGCAGCAGCGGCTGTGACTGTGTCGACTGGCCCCACAAGTCGTCCACAACCAATAACGTGGCGTTGCTGGCATCGATCGGCTGCAGGTCCACAAGTCTAGCGGCATAAGGCGCGCGTTGCGCCTCGACAAGGGCAATCGAGAGGTCATCGCGTTGCCTCCCGAACGCCGAGGGAATCGGTATCGGCACAAGACGCCAAATGCCCGGTGTCAATGCCAGCTGAAAGTAGCCGGAACCCTCCATCACGACAGTCTCGACCCGAGACCGACGCTCACGACTGCAGTGATCCGGGTGTCGAATGCCGCCATGCTGCTCCAGGCGTAACGCGAGGCCAGGTGCTCGTGTAGACGGCTGCCGATCGACGACGAAGCCCTCTACGATGAGCTTGCTCAGTTCGTATCGAATGGAGCGATGCGAAGGCGTACCTGGGGGTGCCCACTGCACCAGTGCCACATTGTCTGGATCCAGCTCAGCATGCTGCACTGTTGTGAACCAGGTTGCTGGTGTCCGCAGGTGAACGCTGTGGATCCGGTGCTCGGCAAGTCGATCGAAGATGACGCTGGCGCTGGTACCGTTCGCCAGGGCATCTGCGAAACGCGTCACCAGCTTGGAGCGTACGTACCGCGGCTGGAGCAGGCGTCCGTCATCGCCTCGCCACTGGAGTCGCGGGTTCAGCGTGACATCGAGTTCAGCGTCGAGTGCTTCGCCAAGTAACTTGCGTAGCACCAGGGTGAACGAAGCATCAGCGGCTGTGAATGGTGCAATGAGGCCCTCTGCTCGCAGCGCGCTTCCAGTGTGCTGCCTGGGTACTGCGGGCGCCTTGCGATACCGCAGTGCAGGCACCAGGTGCCGCAAACGACGAAGCGAGTCAAGCGGTAGCTCGCTGGGCGACTGCTGCACTAGAAGCGATCCGCCACTGGGCCTGCAGCTTCCATCCAAAACGTCTGCGAGGATCGTGGAGATCAAGACCGCATCCGCTTGATGCGACTGATCCACAGGGCTGCAGCGCCCAGATAGCGGCTTTGTTTGCCGAATGATGTACGAGCCGCAACGAGCCTCCATCAGAGCCGCTTCCCGCTGGAGGACAGCCTTGAAGAGCGCAGCGGCGTGATGTGCCCAAACCTCGTCCCGATCGATTCGATACCGTCTACCGTTGACAACGAGCGCTAGTTGACCTGGGTCGACGCCCCAGCCGCCAGAGAACAACAATCGGAGCCAATTTGGTGCTGGTGTGCCCGTTAGGGTAGGCGCTGTGGATGCAGGGCTCACCTCCACGCCACCACAGATGCGCTCCAGGCGCCGTCTCAGGGCGTCATCGAGTTGCATCGAAGAGCGCGACGCATTCGCAGGTGTCGCTGTCCACAGCTGCATAAGCGATCGAGCAACTGGGCCCGCCTGGAGACCCGTATGAAAGAGCCCGAGTCGTACCGCAGACGGCCATGCAGCTGCTCCCGGATGGTGTGACGGTTGCGTCCACTGCTGTTCCGCGAGTACGCGCATCGCATCGTGGAGAAACCTGCAGCCGAAAGTTGTATCCAGGTCGAGAAGAAGCCACACGGTCAATGGCGGCTGGCATCCATCGTCGTGGGCGTCAGCCGCATCCACAACTGCCAAGCGATACGGGATGTTCAGGAGATGCACTGCATCGCCCTGGGTATGCTGTTGCTGCTGTGCAAAGAGCGCATCCCAGAGCAGTGCAATCGACTGCAGGCCCTGCTCGATGTGCTCCTGCTGTAGCGCTGTCGATCCCGAGACCAGCTGGGATGTTGCTGAGAGCAACTGCGTCTCAAAGGCCGGCACAAGCACCAGTCTCGTTGCCAGAACCGCAGCAGTGGCGCTCTCCTTGCGTCTAGGCGATGGATACGGCCCTGGTGTGACCGTTGTCGATGTGCGCCAGCTCGATGTCTGGTAGACAACGTCGTCCACACAGGCTGCGTCGGGAGCGAGTCCCGCGCGTGTCAGCTCAGCGAGTCGCTGCACTTCAGCGTTCAGGTATCGAAAGACGGTGGACGCATCTACGGGATCCTTTGCAAGGTCGCCGATGCGCTTTCCATTCAGAGCTAGCAACGCTGACGTATCGGCAGGCAGACCAATGCTCCGTAGCCACTGACGAGTGCGTACTTCCGCGTGCACCAGCATCGCGCACTGGCTCGAGTCGTGAACCTTTGCAGCAGCAGCAGCGCCGCCGCTGCGGAGACCGAACAACGCACCCAAGACTCGCTTCTTGCCGTGCGGATGTAGAATCAGCGATTCGTAGTCGTGTTCGGCATCGAAGCTGGACGAGGTCTGATTCGGAGAAGCCGCTTGCATGCCCGCTGCTGTCTGGAGGAAGACGCGTCGGACCTGGTCAGCTCTTGGTGGTAACGGCGGCAGCGCGATGGTGCTCGAGCGGCCCCCGAGTCCCTGCAGCATCCACAGTGCAGCGAGCGGGTGTTCCCGCTGTACCGTTGCGTGCAACTCGCTCAGAAACGAGGCCGCTGCTCGTCGGGAACGCCGCACATGCAGCAAGTAGTATACTGCTCGGCAGATGACCGCATCCGTTGACGGTTCCAATGGAGAGCGCCTTGGGGGGAGCTCCCCAGGCGACTGGAGATCACCGCGTCTCCATCCCAGCGACCTCAGCATGCCCAGAGCGCGCGACCAAGGAGAGCGTGGTGCACCCGCGGTGTCACCGGCTGAAGCGTTCCACCGGTACGCTGCCTCATGCGGTGGCACCAGCACCAGCGATATCTGAAAGGGAAGGACGGGGTCGCGGTTCTTGACCCATTGGATCAACTGAGCGGACGCTTCGAGTCCAGCCGCGGAGCCTGGGTTCACAAAGGCCACCAGCCGGAAAGCGTTTCGACGTAGTTTCGGAAATGCCTTTGCGCTGGGGCTCTGCAGCAGCTCCTGGAAGCTCGGACTCCAGTTCTGGTATTTGCGATCCCGCTCTATGTCATTCAGGCGGAAAATGAAAAGCTGCTCCACCGATTGTACAGGATCGCTGTCGGATTCCTCTGTACAATCTAAGAGTGCCGGTAGGTAGAGGCGCGTATCGACGATTGTCGTACTTGCTTCAGCTTCGCTTTGACGATGGGTGATGTTCGCAAGAAAGCGTTCTCGATCATCAATCGCCGCTGTTTTCAGCGGATCCATCATGTCCCAGATACGGTAAGCAGCCAAATGTGCGGCAGCGATGCTGGCGGCACAGAGCGCCACCGATGAAGCGTCTGGGCTGACCTGTCGTCCATTGAGAAATAAGACCGAAGGCAGGTTGTCCCAGTGCAGTTCAGGATGCAGGCGACTGAGGTTCTCCGCAGACGCTGTGAGCAGAGCTCGGCTTTGCGCCACGGAAGCCGCAAACGAAGGCTCTGCCTTGGCCTCCTTCCAGAGAGCGGCGCCAATGCTCGGAAGATCATTGCCCAGCTGCTCGATACCCTGCAGCAGCGATCCCGTCAGGTCCATCAGCAACTCCTCTAGCGTTTCAGATGCACCAGTGTGCTTCGTCGCTTCCGACCAAAGCGATTGCATGAGCAGCGCATCCAGAGTCGCTTGGATTTCATCCTTATCGAGGTCCTGAATGTCGATCGCAACAGATCCTGCGGCACCACGCTGTCTGACATGTTGCGTCTTGTTGCGCTGCAACCAGAGCGTCTCGTTCTGCTTCGTGTCTAGCACCACGTAATCGGAGCTTTTCAGCGCCAGCTCTACTGTGTAGCCGCTTAATGACATCATCTGCGTCGCGTCACTGGAAAAGTCGGCCGTTAGCGCCGCTCGACTCGGTGCCGCTCTCCGCATCCGAATGACGTAGACGAGCTCGCAGTTCTGGGCACGTTCACGGACTGCACGATGAAAAGCGGAGAACGCATCGTCACGGAAAACATCTGTGTACAGAATGGCAGCGATGAGCGGTTCAGTACCAGACTGATCGGTCCAGCGTTTGTCGCCCGGGACATGCGGCGCTGCTGCACTGCCACCGACACAGCCCAGGACCGTATCCGACGGCAGCAGGAAGCGTTGGGAGGCAAGATTCCAGCGATGTACCTCGTCTATGTTTCGCGGGAAGCGACTGCGACAAGCATCAACATGATGACCAAGGGAAGCGAGCGCTGCTTCATCGGCGATCGGGATGCGTTCCGCACCGCATACGAGGAGTACCCACGTGGAGTCTACTGCGTTCAGAGCGGGCTCCAGCTGATCGCGATCGTCCGTCTCCAAACGCTCATGGAGCTGTAGGCGTGCGGCGTAAACACGCTGGACAACGAGTACTTCCAAACTTCTCCACGCTTGGCGAACCGCTGCAGTCAACGCGTCAGCCTCTACTGAGGAAGTCAGATCAGCGGCAGCTGCGGTCCACGCAAGCTCCAGCCGCGTTCGCAGCCAGCGTATGGCACTGAGCTCGCGCTCCGAGTCCGAGTTAGCGCTGCGAAGTAGATCAGTCCCGTCCGCGATCTGGTCCAATAAACTCCAGAACAAGCGATCTGAATATATTCTGCGTATGCCTTCTAAAAGCTCTAGCGGCAACGATGATGCGTTCCAGGGTGCTACTACGTCAACGTGGAGTGCCTTCACGCTGCGCCGCACCGCTGCAGGCAAAAAACTCTGCGAAATACCGATACATAATGATGCACAGATTATCAGCGTATACACCGCGCATACCCACAGTCCTAATGAGAAACGTTGTCGCCCGAAGCTCCGCATCAGCACCTCGGCTGCCAGCTCATGCGGAAAGCACCTGGCTGGCAGGGCGTAGCAGGCTTGAGCGGCGACAGCGCGGTAGCATCCGCTGCCGCCTCGGCTGGGAATCGCTCCTGCCTGCGTCTGTGTTGGGCCTTCGTTCAACCAGGTACACCAGGGGCCGTGCTTGCGCTCGAGAGCGCTATGCAGGAGGAGGTGCTTTCGTCGTCCAGTGCGCACCGTTGGACTCGATGCATACTCCCGTGCTGCTTGCTGGTACGTTCGTTGCCAGCGTAAGCTGCTTTGACTGCCTGGTGTTAATGCTGGGGCAAAGGCCGGGCGTTTGATGGTGTAGTCTGAAGTCAATGCATGGGATCTGGTGTTTCCGGAAGCACGCTCGTTGTAGGTAGTCGTGGAATCGACGTCTGGTACGCATGAGATCTGGTGTTTCCGGAAGCATGCTCGTTGTAGGTAGTCGTGGAATCGACGTCTGGTACGCATGAGATCTGGTGTTTCCGGAAGCATGCTCGTTGTAGGTAGTCGCGGAATCGACGTCTGGTCCCTCACGAGCGCTGCAGCGTTTCTGGGCGAGCTCGAGATCGATCTTCTCGTTGGGTGTATCTCGTCGCTCGATCCGACGAGCTTTCGGGTGCTGCGTGTTCTGGTGGACACTTGTCACGTCGCTGCTAGGTGCGCTGCCCCTAGTTTTCCCGAGGGGCACCACGGCTTTGTCATAGATGCAGGGGTATGAGGTAGTCGTACCGATGAGGACGCATGGTGCTGCGGCGAGTCGCTAGCGCCCAGACTCATACCCGTTTCACCACCGCTGCGGTGGATAGCAGGCCATCGACGTCAAGATGTAATGTATTGGAGAGATCGTAGACGAATTGCCCGTAGGATATATTCTCTACTGAATAGTGCAAGGGGACTGCATTCCTCTTCCGAGTCGGTCACATCATAGTACTCTGATGACTGGGGAACACTGAGCGCAACAAGTAGATACGCTCCGCGCCAAAAAGATGGTATTATCAAAGCGTGTTTGTGGTCATTCGTGGAAAACGACCCGTTGATTACCTCACAGAAACCAAAATCAACGATGATATACGCCACGGGTGCTTCTGTTTATCATCAGCTTGTTCGTGTCGTCCTATAAATACTGGGATAAAATCACAAAGAAGTCCAGTTGCACATACGGGCATCTACCGAAATCGCAACTAAAACATAGTTCATGGAATGTCACGACTCGTGTGAAGCGCTGGAACGTCGTTCTATTTCCGCAGTCGATGTCGCTTTCTTCGGATGAAGCGGTCGGAGCGCGTACGGATATTCGCGGAGAAGGGCCCTGTTGGACGTTCGATCGAACGCGAAGACAACGAGGACATTATCATTTATTCTAGCTTTAGAAGATGTATTTGGTGGCCTCAGTTTCGCTCGTAAAAAAGACTCATGCACTAGCGCCAACCAGTTTGTCCAAGCACTAAAGACTTTTCCTTGATGTCTGGTGACGTCCTTCCATTGGACAACGCGACATTTCACCGTTCTTCTCGTGTCCGAGCTGTTGCCGATTTTATCCGGTCAGGGCTGCTTTTTATTCCTTATTACCCCTCGAATTTTTGAATCCAGCAAAGGAGTTTTGTCTATCGTGAAAAGTTATTACCGCTGCACTGGGAAAATCGCTGAAGCGCTCAGCACACCGCAACAAACCGAAGCACTTCGTGTTTCTTCCACAAGTCCTTGTCCATCCGTGAAGGTCCGTTCCTGTGAGCATAAACAAGAACGTTTATTTTCAAAAATTAAGACATCAGCTGGGGCGTACAATGTAAAAGGTCGAGATGGAGAAGACCCAGCGGAGCGTCTCGGCGATAGAAAAGCCCTGAGAACTGATACAGCACCAAATTGCACAGAGCGCAAGCGTTCGAGGACTCCTTGCAATGGTGACTTCCACCCGCGGCAATGCACGCAAGGAGTCTGTGAATCGAGACTTTAACGGTGCAATCAATATCAGGGGATGTGTGGTACTATAGACGACACCTGCGGAGCTGACGCCATCTAACTTTAAGTAGCAACCTCTCAGGCTCGAGATGTACAGGAAGAAACTGAAACCGATCGCAGGATGCCGGTCAAAAAAGCCCAGGTGGCGTCAACGTGTAGACAGATACATTTGTCCTCCATGTTCATGAAACATTCTTCGTATCGCTGATCATGTCTACACGTAGACCAGCCGCTGACGCATGGTCCAGCGGCGGAGACGGCATGCATTCAGTGCATTCCATAAATATACAGATTGGTGTATGTTTTGGGGCAGGGCCTTTTTTGGGTCAACGGCGTCTCCCGGCAGCGGTTCCTCGTCAGCATCGGTGCGCTGCTCACGTCGCTGACCTTCGACGGATGAAGTCTCCCAGAGAAAGTGTCTCTTTTATCGCGCCGCTGAGTGTCCGGGTAGCTCAAGCGAGCTCGCCAGCGTCCGGGCGCTGGGAGCGTCCGCGGCTGCTGGGGAAGGGTGCTCCGCTGGTGCCGCTGCGACGTCGTCCACAGGCCCGGGTACACGCGGCGCTGCGCTTACGTTGCGTCGAAGGCACCGATTCCTTGAAAGGCATTCAGGTCGACTGTGAGCAGAAGATGGAGAAGACTATCGTCTCGCTCCGGAATAACCTGGCAGCGATTCGAACGAGTCGTGCCTCGCCTGCCTTACTGAACCGCATCCAGGTCAAGTACTACGGGGTTGACACACCGCTGCTCCAACTAGCGAGTATATCGACGCCGTCTAGTACCGCCCTCCAGATTGAACCATACGACAAGTCGTGTCTAGGGGACATTGAGCGTACCATTGCGGAAAGTGACCTAGGACTGACTCCATCCAACGACGGCAACGTGATACGACTGAACGTGCCACCGCTTACCGAAGAGCGACGAAAGCAGCTCGTCAAGGCTGCCAAGGAAATGGCAGAGGAAAGCCGCGTTGCCTTGCGCAATATCCGTCGCACCGGCGTGGATGCGGTGAAAAAGCTCGAGAAAGGGAGCGAAATCAGCAAGGATTTGAGCGCTGACGCCCAGGATGAGCTCACGAAAATGATCAAGCGATTTGAGGCAAAAGTCGATGAAATCATGCGCGCCAAAGAAAAAGATATCATGACCGTGTAGAGGCTAGTCCTGGTTTGCTCGTTCGTTGGTCGGTGCAGGCGATCGCCGGCTCGTAGGGACGGACGCTCTGCAGCGCCTGGAGCGAGGCAGAGCGGGGCAATCCAGTGTGGACTGCTGTGTCTTGGTGTATGTGCATACGTTCTTGTGTCGAATCAAGGACGGGCAGCGACAGTTGCTGCTGCTGCTGCTGCTGAAGCTGTGCGCGATCACGCTTATCTTGTGTGGTTTCCGGAACGCTTCAGATCGTAGCTGAGAGTAAATATCGGCCGTCTATGGACACTGGAATCCCTGCTTCGCTAGAAGGAGCACTTTTGATCAAGTTCTACCAGCACTGCCAGGAACAGCACCGGGGGGTCTCCTTGCGCTTGTCTTCGAGCAGGAATCCCCGGGATCAGTTGATATTGGCCGAAGAATCCAGGTCCGTACAATCTACATCATCAACACACGGGATTTACAGCGTTTATGCTGGAAACGTTGGGAGCGATTCGCAACTGGCACCGCAAAGATGCAGTTGGCTCTTTGAAAATGACTGAATCCGTGTCTCTGATGTATACGAATCCAGATATATTTGATGCAATCGATTCAGAGAGGTGTCTGACATGTGCCGTAGTTCAAACGTCTATGTTGCACGTGTAGTGCACCATCTCAGGCGACAGCATAGCGACAGGGCACATGGCTTGCAAGCTGGCAGCGCTATGTACTCGCAGCCTGGCGGGCCGCGTGCGGTACCCTCTCGATGCACCACTCGTTGTCGACGGTGGCAAAGACAGGCATGTTGATTCACAGCACATGGTGTTCTTTGCGACAGCGAGGCGCAGTTGTACGTACCAGGTAGTTCGGGGCGCTCGTTCTCGATGCATCGTCGCGAATGCTAGCCACACCTGCAACCAGGTCCAATGCCCGCGTCGTATGGGCCGTTGCAGCGTCCCTGGAGAGACTGATTTGCGTACGCATCGAGACGGAGTCGCGCAGCGTTCTGCGCTCTCGCCCAATCACTGGAGCAGCATCGGAGAGAGATGAAATCATATCTTGGCGTCCTTGCTCTTACAAGACGAATCCGTCGTGCGACAGACCAGTAGGCAGCACGACGGTGCAGTGCTTGAGCATCCACTGTAGCGCCGCAGTGCAGAGGCGCTTTTCGCCGCCCAGAACTAGGCTGCAGCAAGTTCTGAAGGCGTGTCCATCTCGAAGGGAACCTGAACCCGGCTTCAGAAGCGTAAGAGCGAGCGACACCGGCGATGGTTACTTCGTGTTCCTTGCGCATGAATTGCCACCACCGATCCGATAGTGTCGCGAACAATTAGTGAAACAGGAGGTAGACCAGCGTGTCCGTGTTACCGCAAATACTCAAGTCTATTGAATGCTAGATACGGATTTGGAATCCGTTTCCGCATCATTCCGAACGAGGACGATATGACCGCGCGTCTACAAGTTGAGGCTCGAGGGCGCTCGCGAGGATCCTGCACGACCGAGCCCGCTATGTCGGCTGCAGCGCATCTCAGAACACTGTTATCAATGCGAACGAGGTGTACCAGAGACCTACAGGATACGCCACCAGGGGCCAGTTCCCCGCAGGGATTGCGAGAACGGCAGTGAATATTCTGCTTGCCGTGCTGGTGCACCAGAGCACAGCAACGCCGGCCATAATCGCCCGGAACGCGAGCGGTGGCACCAATAATACCAAGAACGCCAGTACCACAATAGGTAGCAGCCCGTAGCCCAGAACACTTACGATACGATAGAGATCAAGTTCTCTACCTGCCATGAGGTTCAACACCAAGTAGATGCTAAGACAACCGACAATCGCAATACCATAGATCACACCAAAGTGTACTTTTCCTCGCAAGAGCAGCGCCATGCCCAGTAGAAAAGCGTACAGCAGGGGCCCAGCCATATCCGGTTCGTCAGCGAATGATTTTTCAAAACGGCGGAGCGGGTTGAGAACCTGAAGGCTCTTGCGCCAAATGGCTTCAGGATGGATCCCCAGCTCTTCCAGCAGCGGTGGTTCGTCTTCTCCCACAGACGCTCCGGAGAGCGCCCTTCCCAGTTCAAAAGAGGCACTGCGGGCGTGCCAGCTCGTTGTCGCACTAGGGTGCCGCTGGGGTTCCCTAACCGTCGACCAGGCCGGGGCAACGCTCACCGCATTGTCCTGATAGAGTGTCGACGGCCCGGTGCTGTACGGCACACTCGAGCCGCCGTAAAACTCCAAACCGTTACCTTCGCGAGCCCCGCCACTCATCGTACTTGCCGCCAAAACAGACCCAAGTCGGAACTGTTTGCCCGTCGGTCTGCTCGTCCGTTCGTTCCGCCAATTAGAGAATATCCAGTGCTGGTTACGGGACTTGTGTTTCGGCGAGCACCAGACTCGGACCCTGAAACTGTTGGCTGTGGCGGGTCGACGCGCCCCCCCGCGGACAATACCACCTGGGCAGCGGGGCGCACGTGCACTACGGCAGCAGTCCGCGTACCGCTGCGGTTTCGATCGTCCTCGTGGATCGTCTTGTGATGTTCGTTATTATGGATATGACGCTGGTAACGAAGCATGCTTCCCGGTGTTTATCGTTGAGAGAAGTATGTTCGCTTTTGGTGGCAACGCATATCCACATTCTTTCCGATCGAATGTATTTGGCTCTGCTGCGTTCTTGTCGTATCCATTTTCTTGGCGAAAAGAAGTATGCTCGCTTCTGTTGCCAAAGGAATGCCACAGTCTCTCTGATAGACGGTAGTGTATTCGGTTCTGTTGTTCGCTTCGCGCATCCATTTTCTTGGTATAGGCCAATGTCCAGGCTTCTGGTGTCAAAGCAGCTCCGCATTCTTTTCCGTGAGCGTTCGCCGACCATGCGATCTGAATAATTACCCTCCAAAACATCCAGCACGATGCTCCTGTCTATTCTACAGAATCGTTATCTGGGTGCTTGGCATACAACGAGCTTCCTCGGTGCCGACGCAATGCTTCATATTCCGCAGATGCCGGCAAATCCGCGAACTGAAACTACGCGGCTGCCTTCTTCTCATATAGGTACGGTATGCTGCTCGAATCGGAAGAGTTGCTTCGAGCCTGGAAGGCCTCCAATCAATGCACCAAGGTGTCGTTTCTACTGCAGGACACGAAGATGCACATACACGTTGCTCGATGGAAGGCGGTAACCTTTTGTCCAAATGTTGGCTTTCACCTGCACCAGCGAAGATCATGATCGAGTCCCGTTCAGCGGGCTCTCGACTACATATTTGGTTGCTGATACCCACCACCGCGAGTCAGTGTTCTCGCCTGAGCAGGATTCTCGCTGTTGACACGACGGATCCTGACTGCATTCGATGATTGAGCAGGTCCCTTGTGTGGATTACGGCCGCAACGGAACCCCGCAGAGCCTGAAGGAATGCTTGGTCGATGCACCGATTACAACATTGTGAAGAACAACGTCCAGACAAGTGCGAGAGATTGGTTTGCATGCGCATCAACGAAAGCCTGCTCATAACCTATGCATTTCGTGGTGGTATCGGAGCGAGTTTCAAAATACCTCTGGGGCGTCTTCCGGCAACAGCGACACGGTATCGGAGGCCGCGCGTCCGTACGCGGCGTATTTATCAACGAAAGCCTGCTCATAACCTATGCATTTCGTGGTGGTATCGGAGCGAGTTTCAAAATACCTCTGGGGCGTCTTCCGGCAACAGCGACACGGTATCGGAGGCCGCGCGTCCGTACGCAGCGTATTTGCCCATGCAGCGTGAGATATCATCGGTACCGGGGTCAAGCTAATGATTTCGCGAGCCTCATTGCATGACGATGTTGTGCAACGAACGGATGTGCGTCAGATGACTAGGCCTTTGATTCCGGATGCCTGCAAAGTTTTCGGCTGCACTGCAGTCTAGCTTACGCGCTGCCTTATGCCGGGGCGTACTCGTCATGCCTCTGTCGCCGGAGCGACACAACGCCGTGGAGGTTCAGCTGCTGCGCGACACCAGAATCACCATCCATTTGGTATATTTTTGGTGACTTGTGGTTTCATTCCCCAGACAAGCCCACTGGGGAAGCGATCCAGGTAGATCGGGTTCTACGCGACGCCAAAAGAACAGGACGCCGTGTCATTGGACGCTGGGAGCTCGCCCGCATGCATGAGCGCTCACATCACTGGACGGTTGCTTTGAGAGTTTCAGAAAGTTTACGTGCGAGCGGCTGTTGCTCCGTCCGCGAGACGCCGGCCCCGAACCGCACTGCGGAGACTGCGACCGTCCGCTCGTAGAACGATACCCGTCTCGGACGCCTTTGGAACAGGTTCCTGCTGTTTTGGCTGCAGCCACAACTCGACGTGACACGGGTTGCTCTTATACGCTGTGATTCTACCGTGCGCCCTGTATGTTCTTCGCCTTCCCTTCATGGCCTGATTGACTTGAATATGCCGAATTACCAAGGTATCCGTGTCGAGTCCCTTGGCTTTGGCGTTTTCCTCGGCGTTGCGTAGCAAATCCAGGAGGATCTCGCAGCTCTTCTTAGGCCATCGACCCGAGGCGCCAAGAATGCCCCACTGCTTCACCTGAGCCTTCCGCCCAACGCCGTAGCGGTAGCGCACAAACGGCACGATCTCCTTCTTCGCGATCACGTTCTGCAGGTAAGTTTTCGCTCGTTCCAAACGCATGCCCTTGATCGCAGCTGCAGTCTCTCGCGTGTTCTTAAAGTGCACCCGCAGAGATGAACCGCATGCGAGCGCAATATTATCGCGGGACTCTGGTAACCGACTGTACTGGTGTCTGCCCATGGTGACCAGCAAACGGGCACCGCAACGTCCAGTCCTCAGTTGCAGCCTCCGAAGCAGCTTACTCAAACGTACGCTAAGGTTGTGCCAGGCAACGCGCCGCTGCGTCCAAGCCATCGCGCCGGCGTCATCGCCGAAATATGCATATATTCGTACAAAACGCTCTCGTGCCATGAAGCACAAGCGCCACCATACCCCTTTCGGGCCGCTCCGTTCATCATGAGAAACAAGTACCTAATATAGGACGTTTCTGTACGCGCAGCTCTACTACGCACCCAGCGTTTGCCCGGCGCTCTTACGGACAGGTACGCCAGCGCCCGGCACCGATGGTGACGACTCCTATCTCGTACGCTAGAGGCGCTGGAACGCGCTGATGCGAGACTCCCCGCACTGGTGGATTCAGCTTGAAAAGTCTCTGCAGCGGAATAGAGTCCATGCTTTTGCACGCTACTTCCAGGTGGCCACAGTCCGACCAGACGGTCGCCCCGCGAACCGTACTGTAGTTTACCGTGGTACGGTGGAGCGAGGCAAGGACGCTGCACCCTACGTTACCTTCGTATCAGACCTGCGCTCTGGCAAGCACAAAGACTTGGAGAAGTGTACGTGGTGTGAGATCTGCTGGTACATGCCCGTTACACGTGAACAGTACCGAATCACTGGCTGTGCAGAAGTCGTCGGTGCTTCTGGCGCAGACGCTTTCCTCAGAGAGGCTCGGAAAGAGGTCTGGTGCCGACTGACGCCGCCTCTGCAGGCGCCGTTTCTGGCGCCAACCCCAGGTCTTCCGCTACGAGTCGCCAGCGCCTCGAAACCAGAGATCAAGCTCGACGATGCAGGTGTCCCTGATTCGTTCGGTCTCGTGCTGGTTTTGGCAACTCGTGTGGATTACTTGCAACTCGCGAAATCCAATGGACCACCACCACATCGAACTTGTTACTATCGGAATATCGGAGCGCCAGATGTCAAAGATGCGAACGCTGCAACAGAAGTTGAAGTTTGGGAGATGGAGGCACTGCAGCCGTGAAAAATTTGCGAGTTTTCTGCGCAGCGTACCACGCGCGTCTTCGTAGATGCGCTCTCCCACAGAGCCACGCATGGACACGATGGACCTGCTCTTGAGCTGGCTTGATAAACTGCTATTGCGCCGTCGGGGCGGATGCACACATGAGCCAGGGGGCCAAACACATCGTTCCGAGGCAGGCTGCGCTGGAGCATCAAGGCTCCGAAATCTCTTACCATTCTCGAGGCTATCGTCTCGAGCGTTGCGAAACGACAGCTCTAGCGCATCCAGCGTCGTAGGAAGCACGCAAGAGCGGCTCAGTATGGAACCTGGGTCGCTGGATCGGACCTGTAGCTCCACGGGGAGGACCATTTCGGAGCTTGTGGGATAGACGGGTATTTGAAGGATGTCAAATTTCTCTTCTTTGGTCGGCGGCAGGACTCGCGTGACCGGGTATTCAGGTCAGATCCGTGCCTGTCGTTCCATGCGAAAGACTGGCGGGCACGCGGGTCGCTCCAATGACCGACATCGCCTTGTTCTTTCAGCGGTGATTACGCGTGCCTGCGAGCCAGGCGCTGGTCTTGGTTCCAAAGAGCAACTTGGCCCACAAGAGCCGGGGATAGGCGGTTGCAGCCATCCAAGAGCATACAATGTAATGAAAACATTTCACCAAATTACCGTACGAGTAGCCTTTAGGATGATTGGTTTCGACCAACAGGCAGCTTTCAATGCAATGCAATGCAATGTCAGGCACGCTCACAGGACCTGACCACCGCAGTCAACAGTGCTCTGTTGCCGGGCGTTTATCTTAGAGCCTTTGCTATCAGAACCTTTGCTGTTATTCCCTGTTCCGATCCTGTTTTTAGTGTATGCCTCGCTTCGGCTTGCGGCGATGCACTATAACACGGCTGCACTCGAATGGTCCCCCAGTGGATCAGGCCCATGCGTCGAGCGCGTCGTGAAAGACGGCCACAAACACGAATTCCTGCAACACTTTCCAGACCAATGCTGTATGCGACATGCCTTCGCAGCACGCTCCTCGTGAGCCAGTCTTATGCCTGGTGACCGTTGCTCCCCGGCGCATACCGACATCTTCTACACCAGATGCGGATCATGCTCCAGGCGCTTTTCGAGCGCTCATCCGATCCTCATTCTGCGCAAGTGCGTCAGGCTACCGCAAAATATGCGTATGGAATGAAAAACATCCATACATTCATGACCAAGCTCTCAGCATACTAAACTAGCGTTCCTCAATCGTCCTGAGGGTTTACGCGGATTCCCGTTCCTTTCTAACTAGATATGTGTATTTTTCAGCCAGTCATGTCGAGTGATTGAAGTCGAGAGAGCGCACTCCCAGCTTTCACGATTCTGCATACACGTTACCAAGTTCGGCATACACCGTTCCTCTTGACTGACGACCAGCTCCGACGGTAACAGAGTATCACTGGCTTTTAGGCCGGTTCACCGGCAGATGCGGCTTCTGTAAGTACTGCTGGATGCCGCCCTCCATATCCGCTATGACTTTGTATCCCTTTTTGGAGAGCTCCTCAGCTGCCATAGCACTACGTCTCCCAGAAGCGCAGTTCACGATTAGTTTCCGTTCCAGGTTACCGCCGGTGAGCTTCTCAACCTCACTCAAAAAGTTCGGATTCGGTACCATTTTGTCTCCCTGCTTCAGCATGTACGGAACGAGCACAGAGTCTGGTGCGTGCACTTCTTGGTATTCCTCTGGAGTGCGAACGTCCAAGTGCAGGTCGCACTCGCCACACTGTTTCCGCCGGTGCGCCTCCTCCGGTGAGATTCGCTCTACAATCATTGCGAACGAACGAAACCGCTGGAATTGGGGTACAATGCCCCTGCGCAGCAAACCAGTGTATCCCCCGTGCGTCGAGCAAGTAAAAGCCTTTATCCGAGTGCTCGACTCGTGCGACAACCTTCCCCAACGAGAGACGCTGTAAAGTGTCCCCAAGAACATTGTCGCCGTGAATAGTCAGTGTCCGGAGTGCCAGTCCCCGCGGCAGCGTTTCTGGACCGTCGGCAGCGCAGGGCAACGCCCCTGCAGCAGCAGCGCCTGATGGCCGCAGAGCAGCGCGCTGCTGCTGCTGCTGCTGCTTCTCTGGGAGCGCTCAGGTACGGCATAGGTTGCAACATCCTCGTGGATCGAAGCCTGCATCTGTATCTATGTCGGGTTTCAGATAAAAGGGGAGCGTTGAATGGATCATTCTGCTCCTTCATTCCAAAATTCCGAGCGATTTTGGGTGCACAAAGTCGACAATTGATGTTCGTCAATATGTGGTTACGGATTCAGACGTAGGTTTGGGGTTATTGGTCGTGCTTGCTGGGTGGATCCGTCGCATCGTTGCCGGTGACATGGGGTTACTTCACGGGAATCCAGATGATTCGCGGCGCTGCTGACCAAAATCTCCTCAAATAAACGATATCATTATCGAGTTTATAGGTTGAGGCCTCCGCTCTTCTCCTGTCGTTGAACGTGGCATGCTTGATGCACACACTCTTCGAGTTTTTGAGCTTTCGTCCCGATGAAGACTATCGACGTCGTCTCTTGGACTGTTGTTCACAAGCTCATGCCGAGACATCAGTGATGTCCTCACGTCAAATGATCATCGAGTCCTTCCGAAAGCGAAATCCGCGTCTCTTTGTAACCACCGACAAGGCGATATTCCACAGCAGCGTGATACCTTTCACGGAACATGCTCCTAAAGGCTTCCATTTCTTCTGTTCCCATCGAATAGGATCTCGCAATCGCACTTGATTCATCGTGGCGATCGCATCGCGTGCAGCGTAGACAAGTCAGAATTTCTCTAAGACTTGTCCAGCATCGATTTGCCTCCCCGTACTGGTTTCCAGGTAACAACATCGCGTTCCGCAAGCCTTTATTGGGATGGACAGCTTGCGGTTGCGCGTGCAACGCACAGCCTAGTCGTCGGTGTGATTGCTTCCAAGGAACACGCAGGCTTCGTAGATAGCATCGGGTGCGGAAGCAGACGAGGGCGTCGTGCATAGTCTTCTGTTCTCGCCAAGGGCATCCACCCAGCGATAAGGTAAGCTCGTTTGCGACAGAGCGCGGCCCTCAGTGGATGGCAAGGTGTGTTAGACATGCGGGAACTCCAGATCACATCAGGGTCATCGCTGTGAAGCGTGCACCGACGCTGTACACCCTGAGACGATAAAAGCAAGCGAAGCGCAGATAACGAGTTTCCCCAGTGCGTGCAATGCGTCGACAACGAAAGGGACCCGAAATCCGCCATCAATATTCTTCGACTGCTGACAGCGATGCCACAGGCGCGATAAAGACCGGCGTATTCGGCACCAGGAATAAGAGGTGGCTGAAGAACGCAGTCACAGAGAAATCCCGCAAAGACTGCTCTTATCGTGGAGCCAATCCTGAGCGAAGGCAGAGACCTGCATGCATCGCCCGCGTTCTTTCGCGGACTCAGAGAACTGACCCGCCACTATCAGGTTGCGATGGTTTGCGACGAGGTTCAAACTGGCGTCGGCGCTACTGGTCGTTTTTGGGCACACGAACACTGGTCCGAGGGACTCGAGAAAACGGGACAAGGCGTTGGCACCGGCGCTGCGGAGCTCGCCCCAGACATGGTGACCTTTGCGAAAAAGATGCAGGCGAGCGGTTTCTTTTTCAAACCAGAGTTTCTGCCACCGCAAGCGTTTCGCATCTATTCAACTTGGAGTGGCGACCCGTTGCGTGCGCTGCAGGCAAGCGTCATCATTGACACCATTGTCGCTGATCACTTGGTTGAGCGCGTCCACAGTGTCGGGGACTACCTCATCCATGCGCTTGCGGACTTGAATCACCCACTTGTGGAGCGCATTCGTGGACGAGGAACATTCATTGCATTCGATTTACCGAGTCCAGCACAAAGAGATCATTTGCGTGGCGAAATGCGAAATCAGGGTGTTCTTGTAGGCAGCTCGGGGGGGCAAAACCGTACGCTTACGCCCCGCACTCATCTTCGACAAGCATCACGCGGATATACTCCTGGATATTCTGGCACGCGTTCTCAGGCACATGCCCTGAACTGGCAAGGCAGCTGTGTTGCCTTCACGTCTGCTTCGTAACCGGGACCCGGGTCAAGGCAACATCGTTCTCTGGGGCGCGTACCTGCTGCCGTCGACGAGTCACCGTACACGTGCTACCTGCAATGAAAGCTTCATGCGAGGATACTCTATCTATACACATGTGATCGATATTCTTTGGTGCAGATGCCGGACGCTTATCAGAGGAGCGGCCCAGGCGTGCCGATTGCGGAGCTTTTGCTCGAAAGCTACCAATTCGAAGTCTCTGGACGCGTCTTCGCAGTTGACGAACGAGACGACGTGGGTGCTTGCTGGGCAGTGTTTCCCATCGGGTCTGTACCGCTTGGCGCCGCTCCTGCATATCCCGCGGAAGCGGCTGTGCTCACGCCAAGAGATTACCCGTACGTCTGGGCAGCAGTTCGATACCCGCTGTCGATGATCTGGTTGGAGCGTAGAATCGCCAAGCGCGGTTTCCTTGTGACGCAGCGATGACGCATCGTACTGGCGCTCCCAGTGACAGAGGCTTGCGGAACGCACACGCTCGGAGCTAGGCAGGTGACAACGCCGTCCCGTTGCGAGCGGCAATATAGGTGCCAACCTAAAGCAGCGGATGCCAGCGTGCGACAGAGAGAGGCCCGTTTGCCCGTGTTTTCTACTTGAAGATTCTCTGGTTACAGGCATGGTACGTAGGAACGATGATCCGAACTCGGCACCGTCAGATGCGCCGCTGCCGCTAATAACTCGGGAAGAAACCTTCGTTTCTTGCTGCGTGCTTCAGGGTTCTTGCAGCGCCTCTCCCGAGTTCCGCACGGGTACTCAGATTTGACGAGCGAACGACCCTCGAGCTGCAGCGTCTACCGCAGACATTGTATAGAGTCATGGCCCCATTGATGTGTTTCTGGAGAGGCTTGCTCGGGGCCATCCGCAAAAACTGGCGTTGCACCAAACCCATGTCAGAGTAATATGACACCGCTTCAGTCAGCTGACTCTAGCGAACACATTCAAGTTTAGATCGCGTTTTGCGATCATCGATGCCAGAACTTGGCCGTTTTTCCTTCGACTGCTTCTTTTAGTACGTCGTATCCCCGGCTTGAAATGCGCTGGTATCTCGTTGCGGTCCAGTTCCGTTTATCAACAGTGAGAGGATACTGATGCCAGCGCTTTAGTACATATTTCGTCGGTTCCGACAATTGTTGACCCCTTGCATGCACAGGCGAACGTTGTGATCGTTTCCGAGTTTCATCTGCTTTGTATATAGCCTCGGCGCTTGCATATTAGCGGTGCCACGTTCGTGGGGGAGGGGTCAGGTATTGGCCTACGTCCGCAAGGGTGCCGCCTCTTTCTCCAAGCACTGGCCCTAGGTGCGTGAAAGCTTGGTTCACCGAACGGCGCATGCCCGTGAAAAGCACTGACGGGTACCCTGAATATCCATATTTGTTTCCGCTCTCTGTGCCGTATCCTAGGACCATGGACTCCTACTGCTCGGCGATTTCCTCGACAAGAACGGTGTCCGCTGCATGTGCAAGCACACACTGTTACAGTCGGCGGAGCGTTTATGGAACGCAATGCTTTCCATGATGAAATGAATGTCGGAAGAAAAACCGGGACCGTCGATCAACTCGAGAAATTCGATCCTCCTGCGCTAACTTCGTGCAAACCGGCGAATTACTCCCTATTTGAAGTGATCGCTGCGGTGACTCAGTTCCGAGTCCAGGAACCTTATCTATTCGAATAGAGGAGGTGGGAGCGTCTGCGAGCAAATGCGACAAGTAGTATCATGCCGCTGTCGAATCCAGTTCCGTCGATAGCCATAAAGCGAGGCGGATGCATTTTTTGAACGGAGTCGATTATTGATCGTGACAAGCAGAGTGATGTTTTAGGCACGAGCTTGTACACAAACCACCAAGGGATGATGTCGCGTTGTTTTCCTCGTCGATAGAGCGGTACGCATTGATGCGTCCACGGGTTGGCGTGCATCAGAAAGGTCGCAAACCCGAAACACGCGTGCATTGAGTATGCCACATGTAAGGAAAGGACGGGAACGAAGCCTGCAGATATGGATTTGATATTGGTATCCGTTATTTAACAAACCCCTTGGTGGACGGTGTCGCGAACCCTCCTGTTGACGATGATGAAACGAGCGGCTTCTGTCGAGCGTTGCATGCGCTACGCGGAATACGTGTTCGAGAACCCAAAACTGCTTTTATCCATAAGCCCTTATTGCTGCATATCGATTGTCGAGGCTGTACATGATAAACATTTTTCGGAAAAAACAATGACTAAAAGAGAGCGAGCAGCACAGCGTTCCATATGTATCGAGGACGGCAGCAGAGTCGCCATTCCGAGATAGGCGCCTCGGTGCTGAGGTCAATATCAAGGACGTGAATGTCGACATTGTTCATAAATATACACTACGGAACATATATCTACCAGGTTCCACAAACAGGATTATGCGGAAACAGATCGCCTCGTCGCGTTCTGAACTGGCGACAAGTTTGTACACCGCGAAAGCCTCAGCGGCTTTCAGGTCGTTATGGATTCGCTTGTGCGCTAAAGAGCCCGCGCTCAAGTTCAGCGTCGCGTGGTTGTGGTCTCATTTTCTGGCCTGTGCACTGGGAGTCTTGGAATGGCGCCTGCACCCCTTCATCTTCATCGTCCACGACTTGCTTCATGATTGTACGGCCTACGTCGAAGGCAGTCCCGCAGCGGCAGTTTGTGTCTGCGCTTGTAGAGCAGGTCCAGGCACTGGCTGCGGTTCAGCCTGCACATCGGCGTTTACGAGACGATCGTGGTAACCGATTTTATCTCTTTGAAGGACCGGAAGCGCGACCGCTGCCCTCCGTGACATCAGTGCTATCCACGATTGCGAAGCCGGCGCTCACCACCTGGAGCCGAAACACGGCGCTCGAGGCTATGCGCGACGCGCTTCTTCGCAAGGCCGGGAAGAGCATCACCAACGAGATTCTGGAACAGGCTCTGCAAGAAGCGAAGCAGCAGCCACGAGCACTGGCGGGGCGGGCAGCGCAGCTCGGCATTCGCGGACACGAGGCCTTCGGTCGCGTATTGAGCGGTCTAGGAGCGAGCAAGCCTGTAACTGCAGAGCTTGATCAGACAGTAAGCAACTTTGAGCGCTGGTGGAAACATTCTGGGTATGTGCTAGCGTGCTCAGAACTGGTCGTGCGGAGTGAACGCTATGGATACGCTGGCCAGTGTGATGCGATTGCAGTGCGGCTGAACGAAGCCGTCCGAACAGCGGACGAGTCATCATCGCGACCGAGCGCAAGTCTCGCGGTCTTCGATTGGAAAACAACCTCAGCCATTTATTCAGAGTATGCGCTCCAGGCGGCTGCGTATGCAAAGGCGTTGGAGGAAATGAGCCACGGTACGTTACATGTACACGAAGCGTGGGTCGTTCGCTTCGGGAGAATGGACTCTGAGCCGTGTTTCGAAGCACGCCAAGTTCGTGATATAAGCGCTGCGTTCCTTTGCTTCCGCGCTGCGCTCATCCTTTTCAACGAGCTTGGCGAGACACTATACAATGATAAAGGTGGCTGACCTTTGTTGGTGCATCCCTTGGTGCGCTTTCGTAGGGTGCGAGGCGGCGACGCGGTTCTTTTTGGAGCTTGTTCTGATTGTTCACAACGCGAGCCAAGTTCGAGCGTTTTTGTTTACGTCTCTATCGAGCTTTGGCAGCGCGATTGCGGTTCAGAGGACCGTAGTATATATAGAGATATTCGTTGGACGCTCGTTGTTCATGCATGAAGTGCGCACACGGCTCTTTCCAGTCTAAGCAGGTGACGCTGCTTGCAGGGTTCGGGTAGCCTCCCGTCGCGCCGGCGATCGTTCGATGCACCCAATGTGCGTTCCTTCCGATTTGGAAGAAATCATGCTGGTTGATGATTTTTTTTGCAGACGATCCAGCTCTACGCGGCGATAGACTCGGCTGATCACGTCACTAAATACAATCCACTGGATATGCTGCATTCCTGCTGATTAGGGCTGTCGCTTCCTTGCAATGCTTCTATGATTATTCTAAAGTTGCGCATCGTTGAATTCTCCGTGATGCAACGATCCAGAGACAGAGCTCAATATCCATACACACGTCTCGAATGGAGCCGCGGGGTCTGAGAAAGCCATCCGCTGGTGCTGCACAGAATCCCGGCCTCGAGGGAGGCCTCTTCATGGAGCGCAACCAGGATGGCTTATTAGATTCTCGCGGTAGACAGCTCTTCATCCTGTGAGATATTTCGCTACAGGTTGATAAGCCGTTTTTCGTCAACCCAATCTACTGCTCATGCACTTTGCGCACTTCCATGAGCGCCCAGAATGCACGTTGCCCCTGCTACAAGGGCGACCTTCTGAAAGTCAGCCAGCGCACCTGTCATCAACACCACACATCTCAATCGATCCATCGGTATACTTTCCAGTAGTATCGCATGGAAGAACCTTAGCGCTAGAGCGTAAGCACTTCGCGGTCCTCACGTGTCAATGCTGGTTCGTGGGCGCCGCATCGCTCTTTGTATAAAACAGAAGAGCAAAGAAATGTGCCACACTGGTGTGCTTTTTTGGAATCCCTCGTACAAGACACATGCCTCGCTTTTTAAGGCTGGGCTTGCCCTCTATTCGGAGCAGGCAGGACGTTGCCTCATGGGATGCAGACGGCATCCAGTGCCCATGAGTAAAAAGAACAGCATCGAAGCACTTACCAGCAGCCATAGAACAATTTCTTTCCCCTCTCCTGGAGGCATTGAAAAGGGTGAAAGGATCCCGTATTTTCAAAAGTTTACCTCATGGGCGGAGGGGGCCCGCGAGCTGGACGAGTCTGCCGGGCTCGTGCTTCATGCTCGCCCCGGTGGCGGGTGCCTTGACGAGACCCGAGCAACTAGCCCGCAACGCAGCTCACTCCGGGACTGGCGGTGGTTAGGCTGTGTCTGAGCGTCAACTTGGTCGCGGTAATCTCCTCGTATATCGCTTTTCGCTGCCGCAGGCAGTAGGTCTGTGTGCGCAGCGTGCAGGTTCCCAGAATGATGATGAAACCCGATTCTGTGACTAGTGAACCGCACCTCGAGTCCACGCCCTCAATGATATGGTAAAGACGTTCTCTCTCCGTGCTAGGACTGTATTGACGCTATATGCTCTATCGAGGAGGATCAGGGCAGGTACTCGGCGCACGATAGGACGTACGATAAGACCTGCACATCCGAGTGGAAGTATAAGTAATGGAACTTTAAAGTTCAGTGTAGCAGATTGGAAGCGTTCCCGAATGTCAGTATCCATCCCGCTGTAGGGAATCCATGGTAAACGTAAACGATTTTTTTGACAAAAATATCTGATGCCCTCACAGGCATTCGATTGCTGTCTGTAGCCGATAATCGCCGGCCTAGTGCGCAGCACCTGCATCCCAGCGCGATGAGCGGCGCTCGTAGGGCCGGCATCCTCACTGGTTTAGCAAAGCAGTGCGTGTGTTTCCGTGGTGCGTCAGCAAAAGAGCAGCAGGCGCCTATGCGGGCGTATATGGCATATTTGGCGCCTCGGTGAAGCCTGTGAGCGAACCAGTCTCTCAAAAGCCAATTCTGGGATGTTCGTGGTGGTGGCGGCCAGTGTACCTTTCAGCTGTGGAGCGGAATGATGGACGCTCTCCGGCACGCCGATAGCTATCGCGCAACCGAGGCTGCCTGGCCTCTGTAAACGTTCCGCCTATGAAAAACCTTCGCTGCAATACGTTCCTTCAGGCAGGCATTGCTGACGAGCGCTATTCTGAGAGGTCAGCTCGCGCCCTGTAAAATTCAAGCGAGTACGATATGCGCTACTTGATGGATCCGATATCGGGAATCGCACCACTAGGCTGTGATTTAGCAGTGGCGCATACTCGCTTTTCGAGCAATTTGCTGCCGTGTTTCTCATTGCCAGCGCACTTTCAACTCCTATTCGAGTGAATTTCTAGCGAAGCGACGGCTACACGTTGCATGCATGGATACAGATGATTGCTTGACACGAATTCTGCCCTCGGCCGTGTGCAAACGCTGTTACCATGGAGAATTTCCTACAAGTGTCCATGAATACCACTGCTTCCGCATACGCTCTCGGTAGGCTTTGAAGAGATATTTTTTTCACAGAGGCTTCCAAAAGAGCATTCTTCGTAATTCCTCATAAAACAACGACACCATCGGTGCGATAGTTCACGCTTCCGCGGAAATCCCATGCCAAATTCCAACTTCTGTGCCGCATGATGAAGGCCGCGCCGGTGGCCATCGCTGCGGCAGTGTGGAGCGGCCCAGTTCCGGCGAGCACGAGGGAACCACAAAGCCGCTCCGCCGACGAGCGGAGGCCAAGCAACGACTGCAGCGGTTGTGGCGGCATATCCGGCTTTCTAGCCAGCGCCGACGTGAAGCCCTGTCATCCAGTGAAACCGGCTCGCCGCATCCTGGTTACGCCTCCGCGCCACTGGAAGACAAGTCCCGGGTGAGTGATGCCTTGAGGTGCACGGAGCGATTTCGGGCTTGTTCAACACGGTTGCTAAAAGGAGTCAGGCATCTGGGGCATCTCGATGGGGTGTACCGTTCGCCGCCCATTCATCATCGCAAAAAATAGCGGTGACAGCATGCCCTGATCGCCTTGCGCATTGGAGAACTTTTGAAAAGGCGTATGGAATTCTTTCGACTCAAGTGTGTCGCACCCGTGCTGCGTGTAATCGAATGCTTTTTGGAATGATTAGAATGCGACCGGTACCCAGACGCAATATACCGTATAGATCGTAGACGAATTGCCTCTAGGATATATTCTGTACTGCACAGTGCAAAGGAGGACTTCATTGCTCCCTCAGATCAGTCATATTACAATACTCAGAAGGCCGAGGAGCACCGAAAGAAACAAAAGTATGCGATCCTTGCGAAATACGGAAAATCGCAAAGCGCGCTTGCTGTCAGTGGTGGAAAACGACCCGTTGAGCGCGTTACGTAAGGCAAAAGCGACGATCGTAGCTACTGCGGGCGTCCCTGTTTCTCACCAGCTTGTGCGCCAGTTCCTGAAAGCATTAGGATACAGTCGCAAGAAAGTGTTCTACTTCAGCCTGCAGTCAACCCCTACCGATATTGCAGCTACGGTGTTCCTGGAATGTCCCGATTGGTATGAGGCACCGCAACGTCGCTTTATTATTTCAATCGATGTGACTTCCCTCTGACGAAACGGTCGGAGCGTACATAGGAATTCGTGATGCAGGAAGCCCGTTGTGTGCCCAATCCATTTCGAGGAGATCGAGGACATCATCTTTTTCTAGCTACCGTGGTCTGATTTAGCGGCCTCAGTTTCAATCGTAGAAAAGAATCGCGCAACAGCGCAAAGCCCTCTTTCGAATCACAGAAGACGTTTCACTCGATGTCTGACGATGTCCTTCCACTGGACAGCATGGTAAGCCACCATTCCCATTGCGTTCGAGCCGTTCCCGCTCCTATCGGGGTACAGCTGCTTTTCATTCCTCCGTTCTGTCCGTGGTTCGACCCCACCAAAGCAGTACTGGCTATCGTGAGACTTGATGCGCGCTCCACTGGGAGCATCGCTGAATCGCTCAGCACAAGGTGACAAACCAAGGTACTTCGTGTTTCTTATGCAAGTCCTTTTCTTTTTCCGGAAAAGGACTTGCCTATGGGCACAGAGTAGTGCGTTCATATGAAGAAATGAAAATTCTATAAGATGAGCCACGGTCTACGCTCCAGAAGGCCGAGATGGAACTAAGCCAGCATAGCGCTTCTGTGATAGAAACGTACGGCGAGCTGACAGAGCAGCACTTGACACAGAAGGCACGAGTTCGAGGACTCCTTGCACTGACGAATCCAAGCAGTTGCAAGAAACGCATCGAATTCGTGAACGGGGACTCCAACGTTGCTATCGAAATCAGGAGATAGGCGATGGTGAAGACGAGGCCCGAAGAGCGGATGCAATCCATCTTCGTGAAGCACCCTCTAATGCTCGAAGTGTACAGGGATAAACTGAAACCGATAGCAGGCAACCGGTCAAAAAAGGGTGGGAGGCATCTGCAGGTGGATATTCATCTACACCACACGGGCGTGAGACATTGTTCGTTTCACTGATCGCTTTGCAGATGCGACCAGATCGATACCCGCCTGTATTTTGACGTTGTTTTTTGTCTTCATAGCTGCGCAAAGCGGTTTTTTTGTTTCTGGGCGAGCAACGTGAACGACATATGCCGGCAGCTACAAGAAACAAGTCTGGAAAGGCGGGGCCCGCTAGCAAAGCCGCTGTCGACCTACACCCTGACTCCAAGCCTGAGCACAAGACTAGCAAAGCCAACTCAGGTGACTACCGTGACGTGGTGGTGAAAACTGACGAAAACCAGGAAACGAGCCTTCGCAAACTAGCTGCAACTGGGCCCATAGTGGTTTTTCTCGTCCCCAAAGCGAACACGCCTGGCTGCAACAGGCAGTACGAGTCGTACACACGCAACTACGAGCGGTTTACTGCCCTAGGCGTTCGCTGCTTTGTCCTTAGCAAAGACAAGCCAGAGGCGCTTGCACGCTGGCGGGCGAAGTATCAGAGTCCAGTCCCTGGACTCTCGGACCCGACACAGAACCTCATTGGAAAACTCAAGGCTCGCAAACCACCCGCGAACACAATTAGATCACACTTTATTTTCGCAGAGGGGACCGCGGACAAGCTCGCAGAGGCGATTCCAGTCTCGCCTGACAAGTCATGCGAGATTGCGCTCAAGTCCTTGGAAGAACTCGGTATAAAGAAGAAAGCCTGAGTTCTTAGACTATGTCCGATGTATTCTGGGCGACTAGCGTGGGCAGATGGTGAAGGCCGCGTTCCGTGCCGTCCATAATGGGTTCGGCGGTGCTCGTTTCCGTTCGCCATCAGTAATATGCCTCGCTCATTACCAGAAGATGAGCATTTTGTGCTCTGCATGCTCGAGAGACGCTGGGATCTGGCGAGACCCCATCACATTCAGAGAGAGAGAGAGCACTGACCCCGGTCAACCTGCCGATGACTTGGCGGTGAGCGCTTTGGCGCCGGCCTGGAGCGTTCAATAAACGATGTATCTTTCGCACCGAGTGCTTGTCATGGACACGAGCGAGCGGTATCCTGCAGATCTAGGCCAATGCACCCGTTCATGGTACATGGATGCACGCACCATCAACGTTGAAACAAATCCACTTCGATGAACCGAGTCAAGTTGCGAATGGAACGATACGCCTGCGTACAGAATACGCCCGAGAAACCGATAGCTTCCTACTTTCCCGCTCACTCAACTAGTCAGCCGGATGATGCACGCCTTGTTCAGCCGCGTCACGTCCTGCACGTCTGCCGCTTCGACCGGCAAACAGTACGCGCTGCACGCATCGTCAGCGCTAACAGGTCGCTGCGGTCTGCCAGCTCCAGCCCAGCTCCAGGTGTCACGTGGACGTTCCATGCTGTCAAGATTTTCAGCTCCAGTTGTCCACACGTCCAGATGCGGAGCCTCCGCACGCTAGAGCTACCGACGATTTCGTTCTGCTGCTCATCGAGAAGGCCCCCCGCGACCCAGCACACCTCAGAACTACACGTTCCCGTTCATGTGCACAGGATGTGGCAAAAGCGATCAAGCCTTGGTGTCGGTCTACAGCGGTACGAGCACTGACGATGTCCTAGCACGCTGGCCAAAAGCGTCTGTTGGGTCGTACTCTACCCTCGCGCATGTCTAGCATAGACATACCTTCATGGAGCGAAGAATGACGGCCCTTGGACTTCAAAATTCAGCGCACGGCACAAGAGCGAGGCGGGTGCGATCGGCACTGCGGCGACGGAGGCGCTCAGTGGAGGCTTGGTGCCCTCCTGAGCCGTTTCACGGCGTGGTGCACTGCAGGACGCGATCTCAGCTTTACAGGGGGACATTAGTGTGTGCTTTCGACGAACGCTGGGGTTCCTTGTGAAAAGCTTACGTGTTTTTCGAAGCAGTTTAGAGCATGAACCCTGCAAGCAGACCAGGCTCGTTACCGCAGGGCGAGCAGCGCGGTGTCGCTGGTGACGGCACACAGCGGCGAGTGGCGGTCACGGCGCACGAAGCGGCACCTCTGCCGAGGCCTGGTACGGGTCCATCACCCGCGGACTATGCTACTGCGTCCGCTAGTCGGTATGGGGCAGCGTACGAGCAGCAGCGTTTGTCGGAAAGGTCCACGTTTCGGCAGCAACAACAGGCTTCCGCAGAGTCGCACGGTACCGGTAATATGGGGCAGATATCTGAGGCGCAGCTTGCTCGTAACGTCTCCGATCAAGCTGATCAGGTTACACAGCGGCCGGGGCGCTCCTCTGCCTGGTCGAGTGAGGCTTCCTCGCAAGGTAATGGAACGGCATATACAGGTGCAGGGGCGGCTATGGGCGCAGCGCCGCCTCCACCAGGTCGCCAAAGCGTTCTCCCAACGCCACAGCAACCACAGCGGTCGCCTGCGGGACTGTCATCACGTTCTGGGGCGTATGAGGCAACTGCGCACTCTGAGTCGGCGTCGGCTCTGGGACAAGCGTTGCCCCCACAGAGAATCAGCCCAGAACGCACAGCACCACCCGTCAGGGGCAATATGTCGAACACGATGGCATCCGACGCTCTGCATGCATCTGCCGCAGATATCTATGGATCACCGCGTCGTTTTGATACACCCAGTGACAACCAGGGGGCAATGACCACTGACCCGAGAGCTGCTGCTTCAGCTCTCGCGTCAAACAGTATACCACGAGCGGGAGTTGCTCAAGGTCTACAGGCCCGCCCGATGCCGCAGGGCACCGATTCGCTGTCCAGCGATGGCCAGCATTCCGCTGAAGGCGGAAATCCTACGAACAGCGCACATACTGGTAGAGCTGGCGGGTACGTTCCTGCTCCATTAGGGTCGAGCGCCTATACAGGGCGTGGTGTAACGGCAGCGACACTCGAAGCAGGACAGCACATGGAGCATCAGCGTCCGATGCTGATATCGGATCAGGGGCGCTCGAACCTGAGCCATCCGAGCGGTGCACCAGGCGATGCGAGATACACCCCACAGGCTGCTACATCCCAGTGGGCGACAACTGGCTACGGAGTCGCCGACTCGATTGCTTTCGGTTCCAATCATGGCGATAGCGCAACAGCTACGGCTGTGCAGCATCCATCGGGGATTCGTACCGGACCGGATACGGCAAGGGGCATGCCCTCTGCACAACCGGTACCTGGTTACCGTGCCGCAGCACCTACTGTACCGCACCTTCATCCATCGATGGATGCGTCGATGATGAATGGCGCATCGCCGGTCGCAACTGCTACCAGTGCCGGACATGGAACCGCGGCGGGCAACCAGTATACAGAAGTTAGCCAGCGCAATACGGTACCGTTTTCGTCTCAAGCACCGGCTGTAATGCCTCGAGCACCGCCAGGTGGACCCTCTGGAGGAATCACCACCACAGTGTCGCCTCCAGGCCAGAATCGTGTCCCGTCATTTTCGAATCCGTTGTCGATGGGTACGTCGCTTTCTGCTGGCGCCAATGCGCTGGGATCTACCACGAGATCAACCATCTCATCCGGATATAGCCCCGTCGGATATGCTAACCGACCTGTACCTGGCGTTTTGATGCCCAGTCCTGGAGATGGACCCCCGACTGCGGGGCAGTTCGCTCCAGCAATGGCGTCTGTGGGTCCAGCGTACGCCCGGCAGGGCAATTCTGCTGTTTCATACCAAGCAGTTCCGGGAAACGTGCCGTATCCGATGCAACCCATTCCTGGTAGTGGCGGTGCGGGGCCGCAAATGGCGGGTCCTCCAGTACCTGGTTCCTATGCGAACTTGCCAACCGGTATGTCGACTGCGCCCGGAGCGCCATACTACGGGCCACCTGGCGGAATGGTAAGCGCACCTGTTCAAGCGATTCCAGCGCCAGCAGCAGCAGCAGCGACTCCGAGTACCGACTTTGCATCGCTACCACGCCCCGCACTGGATCCCGACTCTGTCATGTATCGAGTATGGTTCGGTGATGCTTTGCAGCGGGACCTCCTGTGGCCGCAGCAGGTTCTTGCTGGCGACCGTTCCGCCCATGGAGGCGGATATAATCCGGGAGCTGCGGGTGCTGGGATGCCTTTCGAACCTCAGATTAACTTTTGTGCCTTTGATCCAACCTGGTGCTGCCCGATTGAGCTCTTCAGACCCTGCCACCCGTCGCGGATGCGCATGAGCGTCAACTTCTTCCCAAACAGTGCTGCTACTCGCAGCAAGACTGGACTACCATTGGCTGCGATTGTACGCCCTCTGGCACCACCACTGAGTGACGATCCTCTTGATCAGGTGCCTGTGGTGAACTTTGGAACAAACGGTATTGTGCGTTGTCGTCGTTGTCGAACGTACATCAATTTCGGTGTAACATTTACGGACGGTGGTCGACGTTGGCGCTGCAATATCTGCCAACTGCTCAACGACGTTCCACCCGAGTACTATTCTCCCTTGGACGCAAATGGAAAGCGGCATGATATTGCTGAGCGGGCAGAGCTGTGCTCCGCCTCCGTCGAGTTTGTCGCACCGAGCGAGTATATGATTCGGCCTCCACAACCACCGGTTTACGTCTTTGTTTTAGATGTTTCGTATGGAAGTATCATTTCGGGGGCGTTTATTACGTTTGTAGAGACGATTCGTAGCAGTCTGGATCTGCTTCCACAGGATGGTCGCACACGTGTCGCCGTGCTCACGTTTGACACCCAGTTGACGTATTGTGTGCTGCCGCCGGGCCAACAGGGTGAACCTCGTTTCCTGGTGACACCCGATGTCGACGATGTGTTTCTACCGACGCCTGAGGATGTGCTTGCGTCGCTGGATGAGTCGCGGCCGGCTTTATTGAGATTGCTCGACAAACTGCAGACCATCTACGATCCGGCAACGCTGCAGAGTACGGCAACCTTGACGGGGAATGCGCTCACAAATGGAAGCGCCTTGGGCAGTGCAGTGATGGGCGCATATTATATCATGCAGCACTGGGGTGGCAAAATGGTTGTCCTTGGTGCGTCGCGTCCAACGATGGGCATCGCAAAACTCAAGGATCGTGACGACGCCTACGCGCTCTTTACAGACCGAGAGGCTCGGCTGCTGTCGCCTGAAGAGGGCCAATACAAACGCCTAGCGGTCGACTTTGTCCGAGCACAGGTCAGTGTTGATCTGTTTCTGACGCCACCCAGCGGTACCTACGTAGACGTGGCGAGCCTCGGCTGCCTCTCAAAGTACACTGGAGGCGAGCTTCTCTACATTAGTGGCTTTGAAGCGACGCGCGATGGTGCTCGTCTAGCGCGAGCGCTCCGCCGCAACCTCTCCCGCGAGACCGGGTTCGAGGCGGTATTCCGACTCCGCGCAAGCAACGGTGTCCGTTGTTCGCGTTTCCATGGGCGCTTCTTCACCCGAAGCTCCGACCTTTTAGCGCAACCGAATGTCGATTCCGACAAAACCTATGTGGTGGAGCTGAGTTTCGACGAGGCACAGCTGTCAAGTCGCTATCTCTGTGCACAAAGCGCCCTTTTGTACACAACAAGCCGTGGGGAGCGACGAATCCGGGTGCATACAATCGTTGCACCGGTAACATCCATTGTGAACGAGCTCTATCGCAGTGCCGATGTGAACGCGGTTGTGAACCTCCTGGCGCGCTCGCTCTTCGAACACTGCACCATGAAGAAGGCGGACGCTGTTCGTCGGCTTATAGTTGACCAAATTGTTGACATCTTGGCCAAGTATCGTCAGTTGCTATCGAGCCCTGGCAATGTGACGAGTTCACAGCTCGTGCTGCCCGACGCCTTGCGCTGCATGCCTCTTTACGCGCTGGGCATTATTCGCAGCGTGCTGTTGAGTCGCGACGCAGCTACAGCGATGGTACTTCGACTCGACTGCAAAGCGGCACTTTTACAGGCGATTGACAACGGCAGTATTGGCACGCTCATGGCGTTTGCGTACCCCAACTGCATTCGCCTTGAGGACGGCACTGGTGTACACGCTTCGGCTGCTGCTCTGTCTGGTATGGTGCTCATCGACGCGGGCTTTGAGATTTTTATTTGGATTGCACAGGATGTGCCGCCACCGCTGCTCGTTTCGCTCCTTGGTCCAGAGATTACGAGTTTATTCCTGGCACAACCGCCTCCAGCACATGTACCCAGCCCGAAAGCGCTCGGTGAAGAGGTACTGCGGTTGCCGTACCACGAGCCGAACGACCGTGGGCATGAAATGCGCCGTCGCATTCACGCTGTTCTGGAAGCGCGCTGGGACGCACAGCCGGTTGTTTCTCTGGTTCGACAGGGCACACCAGCAGAAGCCCGAGTCCTAACGCTGATGACTGAGGATCGAACCTCCTCGGAGATGGGCTATCTCGAATTTCTCGCGGCCATTCAGCGGCAATTGCAACAGCGTGTGGTTGGCTCGAACGCTGCCGCCGGGCGTTCGTAAGCTACGACGGATGTCAAAATTTGCGGGTACCTTGGTTTGCAGTCTGTTCGAGACAGACAGGTAGGTAGACAGACACACAGACAGATACACGAACACCGTATTGCACAGAGAGCGCATGTCTGATTGCACGAGTTGCCTCTGAATGTGCACATCGAGCCCAGGCGAAACTTCTCCGGCTTGGCGGAGGCCGCATGAGCATTTCCGCGCGTGCTTGGCCACTGTGCATTGCCAACGGCGCATACAGAATAAAGTATTTTCAGAGCTTTGGTCTGGGCTCTTTTTGTTCTCGATTCGTAGGCTTCTCGTCCAGTGATGCGAGATTCCCCTTTGTCATGATACCGACCGTATGGATGCCGCACTGAACCCGATGTGGTAAGGGTACATCAGCAGGGTGCGCTATCGAGCAGTGCGCTTTTGCTGCGCCCCTCGGCAGAGCTGCTTTAGTATTCGATCCTCACCGCTTGCGAGGAAAGGCCAGTAGAGAAGCAGCATGCCGAGCGTTCGGAGTACGTTTTTATCGCGGCTTCTCGTTGTTGCCGCTGGGAGTATCACTGCGACGATATTCGGAGGCTCTGTCTTTTGCGGATCTCGACGAATACCCTCTGGGCAGGAGTTTGTACCGCAGTATGGAACGAGATAGGAGGTTTCACGTGCTTCAAACAACACGACCATCTGCGACAAAGCGTTCCACGGACTCCTTAGTCTAGGACGCTGGGCTCCGGCTGCTGAGCACGCATTGTACGCGGTGCGTGCCTGAATGCTATGATCTGTCGCAGGGCCTGCTGCTTCGTCGAGCGCCACATGCTCGTGCCGTCGAGTACGCGCTGGCCTTAAGATTCTTGCGGCGGCGAACTTGGCTGCACCACTGGAGCTCTATCCATCGCGTGGACCAGAGGATTCAGCGGCTTTGACGGATCGGTGCGAGGTTTCTCGTACCCGTGTCCGTAGATCATTTTGGGAGACTCTCTACTGATCACCAAAGATCAGACGCAACCACTGCCAGGTTCATTGAACAACAGACGCTTTTCGAGCCAGCGGCGTATTCAAAGAAGCCCCTGTGCAGCGCGACACGCGGTTGAAGTAGGGCTTCCAGGGAACGGAAACTCTGGGTGTTGCTGGCACTACGCGTTTGTGCCTCTGCACGACATGGAGCACAACAAGGCGACTTGAGCCTCGAACAGATAATAATAACAGAAAATAAAGAGGCCCTATGATTTCACTCCTTGCGGTGGATACGCCTGGAATGTGAGATCCGGTGCCATCGCTTCCGTGTGGGTTCATTCAAAAAAAGTGGTTCTTCCAGACAAGTCGCAAACGCAGGCCATGTTAACGTAGCTGTTGGATGTCCCCGAAAGGAGCTGGAGCGCTCATACCAATTCACGACGAAAACCCAATGCTCGGCTGATTCCGCGATCATCGGAGGAGACACAGGGTCACACAAGCCGATTTCGCCCGCGAGTGCCACTTTTCCCAAAAAGACCAGCCAATACGACTAGGACCAGGGGGCAAGCAGAAGAAACCATCTCCAGCACAAACAACGAGCGCTTTTGTCATCATTCCCAGCAGTGCATACTTTTCGCACGTCACGCAGAAGATTCCTCGCTACTGGAGAAAAAAACGTATCATGGGGTGCCCGTTCGCAAATTAGTACACCGCTTGCTGTACCCCAGATGTGCTCGTGCCCATCGGCTTGCAAAAAAATATGCGCATAAGCAAACAAATGCGTACAACCTGAAAGTCCTGTCCTGGACACAAAAACCAACAAACACAGAGGTCAACAGGCGCGGCACCATTGCCACGCGAGAATAGTCCCACGAGCAACTGCGCTGCGGTGGTTCTTGCACCAAGTCCGAGCTGAGTCGGTCTTGCGAGCATTACTCAGCTGCAGCTTGCTTTCCATCTTCCTGCACAGCGGCCGAGACAGGAGTGCTGCTAGCGTCGGCGAGCGACCTGTTTGGTGCTGCGGAAATACTTCCGAAACGTGTTCGAGGCGGGATCAACTCTGCAAGAAAGTGCAGTGCCTCGATCTCCTGCACGGTTTTGCTGAAGTCATTATAGTTCAGCCTCTTCACACGACCGCGGGTTCTAGATGTAGCTTCGCGATAAGTCTCCTCCAGGAAGTACTCGAGAAAGAGTTCTGTAGCACGGGCGATTGCCGTGACGGCGTCTTCACGCACGGTAGACACCTCGCTGTCGTACTTGATGATTTTTCGCACACGGGAAAGCGGCAAGATCAACGACTCGGAAGCATCATGTTCTACCAGCTTATCCACGTCATTCTCGTCAGTGACGGGTGTCGGCGGGCGCTCCTGATCCATAGTGCCCTCCACAACCCAGGAGCATGGGTGGAGCAAAATTAAGCGACACTGCGAAGCAGCTCTGGCGCCATCGCAGACGCACTGTCAGGCTCGGCGAAGCGATCGTGGGCCAATGTGGGCGGGATCACGGCATGCATTTGCAACAGTAAGCACGGAGCGGCACAAGTGTCCCGAACGCACCGTCTGAAGTAAGAGACAACCGTCATATGCACTCGCACGGACATATACAAGCAAGTCTGGCACTTGCATCGTACACGGGCTCCCTGCGTGCGATTTGCGCAATAGCCTCAGCTATGGTAAAACCCCTATGATGCTCGAGCGTGGCTTCCCGGGCGACCTACTGTCATGCACCTCTGTCGATGCGCTGTGCGCGACCGCACGAGACGATGTTATGAGCGTGCCCGAAGAGCATGGAGTGTACCGAGCACCCGCGCGTCATCGAGACTTACTCCGTGGGCCCGTCACAGTCTCTCAAGAAATGCACCGAAGAACACCAATACTATTTTGAATGATGTGTCACAGGGATCGCTGCAAGACGGCAGGCACGGACACGTCGTTGCACGCATGCAGGCACGCATGCATGCATTCCGAAAACGTGTCCGCGATTTGGCGCTTCTTCGCGCATCGTTCTTCGCAGGGATGATCCTTATTGCAGCTCGTTTAGGCACACACACAAAAGCTAGAACGAAGCAAAGGGCTTCAGTTGTGCATTGCTGTGCATTGAAGCTGTTATTCGCTAGAGAACGTCGAACTGCCGGGCCGCCTGTATCCACAGTGCCGCGAAAGCGCGCAGCGCCTGCCGCGTCGTGCGCTGCTGGTCCCGAAATCCGCCGGAGTGGGTCGCTGCGAGGACCGCCCAGCGTCCGTTGGCGGTCTAGCGAACGTAGACGAGCCCACGGAGCAGACATGTTCGACGTAACCTGGAAGCGGCTGCTATGGATCACTGTATACTTGGTGATCATCCTAGTGCAGACAAGCAATGCGGTGGGGTTCTACATTCCGGGGGTTGCCCCCGTGGATTATCCGCAGGGTGCTGCGCTCACCATTAAGACGACGAAACTTGTTTCCAGCAAGTCAGTGCTGCCGTACAACTACTATTCACTGCCGTTCTGTCGTCCAAAGAAACTTAAGAAGTATCCTGAAAACCTTGGGGAATTGTTATCTGGAGCCCGCATCTACTCAACGCCGTTTGAGGTGCGCATGCTCGAGGACAAGACCTGCGCCGTGCTTTGCAGGCGGCGTTTGCGCGAGCGTGACGCAAATATTCTCGCACAACGCATCCGTCAGGAGTACCGCGTCTTGCTTCAGCTGGATAACTTGCCCGTAGGAGAACCTATCTACGGTGAGGGGCAGAAAATCGGGATCGAGCGTGGCTACCCCCTCGGGGTCGCAGACGCAGCGGGTACGTACCTTAACAACCACCTTTCGTTCAAGATCTATTACCATAGGCCAAGCGGAGGTCTGAAAATTCCGACGAAAGGCTATCGCATTGTCGGATTTGAGGTTGCAGCGCTGTCTATTCAACATAGCGAGGCTGCGAACTCTGACTCGCGGAAACCGAACACAACGCTGCTATCGACGTGCTCAACCGCCACGGGACCCGACGTGAACGCGCCTCGGCAAGTGGTAGAGCCGGGCGCAGATGTCTTCTACACGTACGATGTGGAGTTTAGTGAGAGCGCCGTGGCTTGGGGCTCTCGCTGGGATATTTATCTGCAACAGCCACCTACCGCCTCGTCGATACACTGGTTCAGCATCTTGAATTCGTCGCTAATTGTGGTTTTTCTTGCTGCCACAGTGTTCATGATCCTTCTGAGGACCTTGCGCCAAGATCTTTTGCGATACAATAGCGCGGCCGATGGCGAGGAAGCGGACGAGGAGGAGTACGGCTGGAAGCTCGTTCACGGGGATGTATTTCGGGCTCCGCGGAATCTGAACATTTTCGCCGTCCTTGTGGGCAGCGGCGCTCAGCTTCTTGGAATGCTTGTTGTCGTACTCGTTATTGCGATGGCCGGCTTTTTGTCACCGGCAAACCGGGGCGGTCTCGTAACCGCGATGGTCATGCTTTGGCTGGTTATGGCATTTCCGGGCGGCTACGTTGCTGCCCGCATCTACAAATCCTATCGTGGCACCATGCCGAAACGGGTGACGCTCTCAACGGCGATCCTCTTTCCGGGTATATGTTTCGCAACGTTTTTTGGCCTGAACCTGCTTCTGTGGATGCTGCAGTCTTCAGCGGCGGTCCCGTTCGTAACGCTTCTGTACATGTTTGTCCTTTGGTTTGGGATATCTATACCGATGGCGTTTTTGGGTTCGTATTTGGGGTACAGGAAGCCAGCGATTGATTTCCCCTGTCGGACGAATTTGATTCCACGGCAGATCCCACAGTTACCGCTCTACGCACGCACCTGGGTGGGAATGTTGGTAGGCGGTTTGCTCCCGTTCGGTAGCCTTTTCCTCTCGCTGTTCTTCATTCTGAATTCAGTACTCTTCCAGCGCTACTACTACTTTTTCGGTTTTCTGACAGCATCGTTTTTCATTTTGCTGTTGACGACAGCTCTGAACAGCATGATTTTTGTATACATTCGACTTTCGTCAGAAGACTGGCGTTGGCCGTGGTACTCTTTCATGGTATCTTCTAGCACTGGAGGCTACGTTTTTCTCTATTCTGTGTTATATTTGTGGAAAAAACACGAAATTGACGGCGAAACAGCAATTTCTTGCTTGCTCTTTGTTGTCTATGCGGCCATCGCCTCATCCTTTATCGGTGTGGCGCTCGGTGCCGTTGGCTTCCTCGCAGCGCTCGGGTTTGTGCGACGAATATACTTGTCTGTGAAGCTTGACTAGTGTCGGAAATCGTACCTGTAGAGGACGCTGTTGGTTCTCGTGCCTGTTGTGGCTTATCGAACAGCCCGCGGATCATGGCCCACGAAGAATAGAGGAGAGCGGCATTCCCGACAGAGGATGCTTTACTGATCGGTACAGTTCCGATTACCAGGTTGAAAATTGTCGTCGATCGGTCTCAGTTCACTATGCATGATTCAGTCGCATATGTTCTTAACATAGCTCGTTCTTGGTTGCGTGAATAGGCTCCATTTGGTCTTGTTTGGAGATCCGTACCGAATTCTGCGCAGGCATAGACCTGTCCTGTAGTCGTCGATATTTTGGTGGGCAGTGACCATAGCCTAGCCTCGCATCCAATGCTCTATTAGATTACGCGCTCGTCTTCTCCTGAGAAAGTGTCTTGCGGGTGGCCTTGCCCGAAGTTTTTGCACAAGCCTGCCGTGGTAATATGTGCGCAGCTTTGTCTGCATATGAGCGCGGCCTCTAAGAGAATCAGGACGTTTGTCGGTTGCCTCTGCTTGTCGTGGTAAATCGAATGCCCCGTCAAAGGACACTTTTTGTATTTTCGTCTGAGTTTCATGCAATGAGCGTGGCGGCCCATGATTATTCCGTTGGATGCGAATTCGGCATGTGTCGTGCTGTTCATTCTAATGGAGAGATCGTGGAAGGCATGGTGTCATTCGAGCATATGACACCTTTATAGAGCCGGCCCAACTGCGAGTGCACGCCATGATCCGTCCAAAGAAGAGGTTGACGAGGCCTATTCATTTGCGCCATAGCGTGCGCAGAAAAAGTCTCTGTTTCTCGACGACGCGTTGAGACTTTAAATTACCTGTGACCTTGGAGGCTTTTAGACAGAAGCTGATCGTTTTGTGCGGAATTGCGGACCTGCTTCCGAATGCAGATCACGATCGACTTATGAGTGACTCTTTGGTCTGTGGAAGTGACCCAAAAGTTCGAAGAGTTCGAGTGAGGATGTGACGCTTCTTTTGGATACCTTTTGCTACGGACCTCATCGCGTATGAGCTGAACCTGGCAAGGTAGACAGACAAAGCCTGCATCAGGACTGCTATGCGAACCTCGACGGTGCTGAAAGAATCCTGGCGTCCAAATGAAGATATTCGTGCAAACAAAGAGCTGTGCACGCATGTCATGCTTTCAATCCCGAAACCCAGTAGTCGTCTTGAACACATCAACGAATCTGAATTTTACTCGGCGCATACTTTGCACTTGGGAGCGGTCAGGCACTTGCTCTACCCAGAATAAGTGTGCGCAACGCCAAGGGGATATGGCTGCTGCAGAGCATGTCGAACATTCTTTGCTTGTTGGTAAACAAAACATAAGGCGTTCTGCGGACGTCGCCGCCATGGTTGGGACAGATTATGTTCAACTGCGTACAGAATAACCAGCGTCTCGATCATCAGAAACCCAAAGCCTATTCGAGATGCCTATGCATCAAAGCGGCACAGTAAGCCTCGCTGCTGGTTAGGCGTGATGATGATGTATCCGGTAAGGTTCAAGACGGTGCATTTGATATTGTTTCCTGGACAAGATTGTCCATGAATACGTTGGCCAGATATCGATTCAATAGATGCAGGGATGCGAAGAGGAAGCGTTCTGCCTCTGAACGCTAACCCCGCTAGTGCATCTGGCGTCGCAGCGGGCGTGTGCAGTTTGTGCGGAAACCGAAGCGTGGTAAGATCTATCCTCCATGTTTGGAAAGGGGAATGCTGCTGTGAAGCGGCAAACAAAAAAAGATTGTGGAAACACTGACGACTCTTCTTTGGATATCAAGAGCTTCTGGGCACTTTGTGCACACGAGGTTTGATGCATACATCTCTCTGTGGAAAACAGGAGCGGAATATGTGCTCCCGAGCATACTCCGAGCGCATCAGCTGCTATAGCATGGCTAGAAGCGATTGCTCATCCGAATGCGGAGGAGCGCGCGCGATGCATCTTGCGGATGGTGCTGTATCCGAGACACCAATGCACGGACACCGCCCCTTTATGACGAAAAACGCGTTCGGTGGCGTTGCGCACCAGTCGTGGCGCACTGAGCCCTGCTGATGAGCACACAGTAGCGTCCATTCTCAGCGAGCGACTCTAGCGTCACGCTTGCACCCCGCTGTGGCCCCCCATACGGGCGACAGCTGCCAGTCAGTAAAGTCCACGCATCCAGTCGCCGCGAGATTCGAGTTCACAAACTAATCTATGACGCAAGCCTCTTCACCTCAGTCGAGACTGTGCGCTCTATTGCATGCGCTGAGCACGCTCCCAGTGCCGACGTGCTCGACAGTGCGCCACTTTGCTGCCTACAAGTCCTAGGGGATGCGATTTCCAGGCCTGCATCTAGTGCATGTCTTTGGAAGAACAACACGTATGCGTTTCCAGCGGTTACACGCACAACCAGGCGTCACAAACAAGGATCGTTCAAGGCACGCATGTCACAAATACACTTGGAGCATGCACACATGCGCATCCCCAGCGGATTCGATCACATGGAGGCGTCAAGGGTATCGATGCACGCATCGGGGTGCGTGCCCGTGACACGCATGGGCGCGCGCGATGCGTGCGCCTCGGTTAATTTCCCGCTGGCAACGCCGCTGCGCACTCGAGGCGCTCCTTTGAGGGCACGCTGCTGAGCTGTGTCGCCTGCATATTCCCATAACGTCGTTTTCAGTGCCATCCCTTGTTGTCGCCAACGCTGGAAGTGTACTTGATCCAGCGCATGGCCTCATGGTCGTCGGCGGTGAGCGCGATGTGTCCATAGACCCAGGCGCGGAAGTACCAGAAGCACCAGAAGACAACGATCCAGACGATACCGGCGAGCGGCAGCTGCAGCACCGACGGTAGCGCCGGCAGATCGAGGACCGCGTGCGCAAAAAGCAGCTCCGCGAACAACAGCGATGGCAGGTAGTGGTAGATAAACGTACTTCGCTGGATCGGCATGTACGGGAGAATGCCGAGCGCATAGCCAAGCAGAAGGAATGTTGCCAGCCGCAGGTAGCGCTCCCATGCGTCCGTGCTCGTTCCACGCTTTTTCCGCTGGCGAATCAGGCGCAGCAAGAACGGCATTGCCGCCACTGTACCAAGCACCGCTGCCAAGCACATCCAGAATAGCAGCGGATTCCCGATCAGATAGATCTGCATGGCGTGATGCGGGCGCAGCGGTCGCCCGTCAGCATCCAACGTACCCTCCTGCCAGCGATCCCAGTAGAGGAGGCCACGGCCTACGTAGGGCCATGTGTGCCAGCGCGCTTGCCACTGGTGCTCATCGAGGATGCGCGCGTTCGCCAGCAGCATCTCCTTGTTGAGCTGCCAGACGAGCTTGAGGAAAGGCGGCTTTCGGGCCTGCGGGTCGTAGCCGTCGCGACCAATGAGGGTCCGCTGGAACTCGGCGCTCATAAAGTCACCGCCTGGTCCATTATAGATCAGAATCTGAAAGTGCGGGTACCAGAGCGCCACGTACAAGAGCAGGGCTGTTGCGGCGACGATCGCGCAGGTGCTCCACTCGAGCGGTTCGGCGGCGAGCGCAGCGCCGGCAACCGACTCGAGGCCGAAGAGGCCGGGCACCACGAGCGTGGTCCACTTCACTGAGAGCGCTGCACCGCTCGCGAGGCCGGCGCGCACTGCAGCCCAGCGTCGAGCGCGGCTCGCTAGAGGCGTGCGCCACAGCCGCACGAACGCATCGATGCATAGCGCGGAGTAGAAGATGAGCTGCGAGTCCGTGAGGATATGGCGCGCCTCGATCAGGTTCAGCATGTCGAAGAGCAGAAACACGCCCACACTAGTGGCTGCGATCCGCGACATACCCATCCCGCGGGCGATGCGGAAGCCTAGCGGAGGCAGGAGCGCCCCGAAGACGCCAGCGCACGCGCGCATCGCATAGTACCGGCTGTCTGGTGGGTAGACCTTGTCGACGTACCAGTCGCGATTCGGGACGTCACCAGCGAGTTTCGCGACTGCAGCCAGCGTGAGCTTCGCCAGAGGCGGGTGGATATCAAAGAAGTAGGTGCGATTGAGGTAGTGGTGTGCGAACGACGCAAAGTGAACCTCATCGAAGACGCATTCGGGTGGCCAGCGGATCCGGTAGAGGCGCGTCCACAGTCCAAGCAGCACGAGCGCACCCGTGAGCCAGGCGTCCGGGTTCGCGCGTACGTGCGCAGTCGAGCGCAGCACTAGTCGTTCGAGTGGTGATGCCTGTTGTTTCCGCGGGTGAGCGCCCTGGTGCTCATGCTGTGGTGTGTCCACTTTGGTGCGGCCCTGATGCATGACGTCCAAGTCTGCCGCCTGCACACGCTCAGCTGACGGCGACGAGGCGGGTAGCGAAGCGGCGGTGGCGTCCGCGGCTCTTCGCTTGACAGCAGGCGCCATTTTAGGTCCGTGGGAGTACGGCCGGCGCAGGAATCACCAAAGTGTCCCGCCTCGGGGGTCACCAGGGGCAGCGGTTAGGCGTGTGCAGTCGTCTGCGGACAGGCCGCTGTCAAAGGCAGGCGCTCGACGCTGCCGCTGCTGCTTCGCGTGTGATTGAAGAACGTAAACTACTCGCCGACTAGCTAGCTCTTTGAACGTTTGACGTGCTTGACAGTGCGTACGCTCCGACGGCGATACTGCGCGTGCAGGCACAGGAGGTAATAGCTGCCTGGGCCTGAGTGCACTTTGAGTGCCGGGATCACGGACGAAGATGACCTGCTCGTTCTCGGCGGGTACGCACCGGCTCGTACACCAGCAACTGCAGCGTTTCCCAAAATCCGGTCGTGTGCCTGGGCGTCGCTCCTGTTGCAACTGGTGCAGTGCTTTGGAAGCGCTCGGCTACTGTTCGGCTACTGTTCGGCTACTGTTCGGCTACTGTTCGGCTACTGTTCGGCTACTGTTCGGAAACGTCTGGTGCTCACCGACGACGAGTCCGAGCTTCCAGGCCACCACCGCCTTTTACACTCGAACGGCGCCAGCGGTGTACAGTACTGGCGAGAAGCCCGCCCTACCAAGAAGTCTCCAATTGC